ACGTTTCGGCTGCGGTCACCACGGCGCCCTCCCTCACCGAGACGGCTGCCGCGGTCCACCCGCAGCAGCGCTCGCGCCGCAGTGGCCGTGGTCGCCAGGGTGGTAGCGGTGGTGGTGCAGGTAGTGGTGGTGGTGGTTGTGACAGTAGTCCGCCTGGGGGGACTAGCATTGGTGGTCACGAGCAGCAGCCTCAGCCGCAGCAGGAGCAGCCCGCGCCGCAGCCGCCGTCCCAGCAGCAGTCGCCGTCCCAGCCGCAGCCCCCGCAGCAGTGGGCTCGCCTCCCGCCTGGTTGGCCCGGCACCTCCGGAGGTGGTGGCCGTGGTGGCGGCTCGCGCAGCTTGGCGTCTACCAGCGGCTCCGGTGTTGTGACCTGCCAGTACCAACTTCAGATCGGGCCCCTTCGGGGCACTCTGTGCCGCCGCCCGCACCCGACTGCCCGTTGTTTCCGCCGCCTCGACGATCTGTTTCGTCGTCGCTTTGGCCCGGCCCCGGACCTCCCCGACTGGCACAGCCTGCTCCGCCAGGGCGTGCCGATCTTTGAGTTAGACATGGATCACATAGGTGCTGCTTTGCATGCCTTGTATTCTGATGCTGCTAGTGTTGCTGGATCTTATTACCCTGTGTTCTCTAGTTTAGGTGTTGCACCGTTGTGTAGCTTAGCCTCCCCTGCTGCGTCAGGCGTAGGACTGCCTTGTTTGTCTAGCCTCGTCTCTGCACCGGCTCCGTTCCCGGCCCCCGCCACTGCTGCGCTGTCCTTCACGCTCGACTCCGGTGCTTCTGCCTGCTTCTTCCGCGACCGTTCCATGCTTACGCCGCTTGCTACGCCTGCTGTCGTCTCTCTTGCTGACCCCTCTGCGGGTCATGTCGTCGCTCGCAGTTCTACGTCTCTTCCTTGTCCAGCAATTCCCTCGGGCTCCCTTACAGGCCTCCACGTTCCCTCGTTCTCGAGGAACCTGGTTGGTGTCGGCTGTCTCGAGGACCTCGGCGTCACCACCACGTTCCCCGGGCACGAGCGGTTCGCTGTCTGTTCTGAGGCTGTCTCAGGTTCCCCCCTTGCGACGTTCCCCCGGGACCCGGTATCCGGTCTGTTCACCCTCGACACCGCTTCCCCCCCGGTTGGTGCGTCCTCCCAGGTTGCTGCAGCTTGCTCGTGTCGTTCCCTCACTCACCCGTCCCTTCTCTGGCACCACCGCTTAGGTCACCCTGCTCTCCCTCGTCTGCGTCACATGCCCCAGCACAGCCTTGTCTTAGGTCTCCCTGCGTCGCTCCCCGCCCTTCCTCCCTCGATTGCGCTACCGTGCACGCCTTGCGTCGAGGGCCGGCTCCGCCGTGCTCCTCACTCCTCCTCGCTGCGCCCGGCTACTGCCCCCCTTCAGACCCTGCACCTGGACGTTTGGGGCCCTGCCCCCGTCCCCGGACTGCGCGGTGAGCGCTACTTCCTTGTGCTCGTTGACGACTACACGTGCTACACCACGGTGTTTCCCCTGGAGCAGAAGGCCGACGTGCCCGACGTTCTTCTCCCATGGGTTGTGGCTTCGCGTCTTCACCGCGGTCTCCCCGTGTTGTGTCTCCACTCTGACCGTGGCGGCGAGTTCGCCTCTGGTCGGCTTGGACAGTTCTGTCGTGCGGAGGGCATCACCCAGTCGTACACCTTGCCGGACTCGCCACAGCAGAATGGGGTTGCTGAGCGCCGCATCGGCTTGGTCATGGAGGTCGCCCGTACCTCCATGATTCATGCCGATGCTCCCCATTTTCTGTGGCTGTTCGCTGTTCGCTACGCTGCTCACCAGCTTAACCTGTGGCCCCGCTCCCAGCAGCCGCAGGTTTCGCCCACCCTCCTTTGGACCGGGTCCCCTGGTGACGGGTCTGCGTTCCACGTCTGGGGCTGCCTTGCTCACGTTCGTGCCTCTGGTACGGACAAGCTCACTGCCCGCATTGTCCCCTGTGTCTTCCTCGGTTTCCCCCTAGACTCGTCTGACTGGCTTTTCTACCACCCGCCGTCTCACCGCTTCCTCCACTCTCGTGACGTCACCTTTGATGAGTCTGTCTCCTTCTACCGCCGATTCCCTCACCGAGGTCTCCTGGTTGCCCCGCCCCTGTTCCTTGCTCCCTCTCTCCCGGTAGCCCCTGCTCCTTTCCGCCTCGTCCTGCCCCGTCTGGTGTCTCTCACGTAACTCCCCTCCCGTCGGTTGTCCCCGTTGAGGAGTCCGCTGACTCTGGTGGTACCCCCGGCCCGTCCTTGCCGCGTCCCCCTTCCCCGGTGTCCTCGCCTCCCCTGTCGCAGTCGCCGCCTCCGCTGCAGCCGCCGCCGCAGTCGTCGCCGCCACTCTTGGCCTCCGGGGGGAGAGGGTTCTCGCTCTGGGGGTGTTGGTTCTGAGGGTGCTGCTGTTGAGGGTTCCGCCGACGGTCGTCCTGCCTCTGCCGGTCCGAGGGTTCCGGCCCAGCCGTCGCAGCAGCCGCAGCAGCCGTCGCCGCCGGTCTCTGCTCTCCGCCTGCTCGGCCTTCCCTCCCTGGACCACTCGTCGGTGTCTCCCCCGCCGCCTGCTGACCTTCCCGTCTACGGTCCTGTGTTCCCGCCGCCGGACTCGTCTCCGGCCCGCCTTCCTCCTCGTTCTCCTCCTGTGTCCCCTCCGCTGTCTCCTGACCCTACCCCTCCGTCCCACGTTTGGTCTCGCCGTCCCTCACGTGCCCGTCCCGCCTCTCCTGTCCTGCGCTCTCACCCTATGTTGCTCCGTTCCCACTTGTCTCGTCCTCCCCTCCTTCCCTCCCCTCCTCCCTCGTCGCTTACTGTTGCGCCTCCTATGTTCTCAGACTACCTCCGTGCCGCTCGTCCTCTTGTCCCTCGGGTTCTTGCCTCCCTTGTTACCGACCCTTCTGTTCCTGTCTCGCGCCTTGACGCGCTTGTCGCTGCTATCGCTAACATCGCCTCCACCCGCCACCTTGACTATGCTACCGCTCTGGTCTCTGACCCTGCCCGTCCTCCGTCCGTCGGGGGTGCTCCTGCCCTTGGCAGTGACGTCCTAGAGGACAGGAAGTATGAGCTTGCTTTCCTTTCCGAGGCTGCTCCCCATCTCTGCTCCATGCTGTTAGTCCCTGAGGGTGACCCCGACGCCTTCGACATCCCGACCCCTCGTACCTACGCTGAGGCCACCTCGGGACCTTGGGCCTCTCAGTGGATAGCTGCCATGGAGCAGGAGATGGCATCTTGGAGGTCCACCGGCACCTACAGTACGTCGACGCAGTTCCCCCACCTGGGGTGAACGTAGTCGATGGTCGGTGGCTCTTCAAGGTGAAGCGCCCCCCTGGAGAGCCACCTGTCTTCAAGGCGTGCTACGTGGCCAGAGGCTTCAGTCAGCGCAAGGGGGTGGACTTCTTCCAGACCTTCGCCCCGACCCCGAAGATGACTACTCTTCGGGCGCTGCTACACGTAGCAGCACAGCGCGACTACGAGCTTCACTCTCTCGACTTCTCTACTGCTTTCCTTCAGGGCAGCCTACACGAGCAGGTCTACCTGCGCTGACCGCAGGGTTTTACTGGTACCTTCCCCCCTGGGACCCAATGGCTTCTCAGGCGCCCGATCCACGGCCTGCGTCAGGCTCCGCGCGAGTGGCACGACACGCTGCGGGCCACGTTAGCAGACTTGCAGTTCTTTCCGTCGTCCGCTGACCCCTCGCTGTTCGTGCATTCAGGCCAGACTACATGAAGGGACGCACTGGCCTCCGTGAAGGCCGAGCTGCTGAAGAGACACACCTGCACTGATCTTGGAGAGCTGCGTCGCTACCTTGGTTTGCAGATCTCTAGGGACAGAGCAGCATGCACCATCACTCTTACACAGTCACACTTGGTGCGTCAGGTCCTTCAGAGGTTCGGTTTTCAGTTCTCCTCTGCACAGCCCACACCTCTACCTGTAGACCACCGGCTTTCCGCTCATGCTCCAGAGGAGCCAGTAGAGCTCAGCGGCCCCTATGCAGAGCTGGTGGGTTGCCTCATGTACCTGATGACCTGCACTCGCCCAGATCTCGCATACCCTCTCAGCATCCTGGCTCACTTTGTGGCCACAGGCAGACACCGACCACAACACTGGTCTGCCGCTAAGAGGGTTTTGCGATATCTAGCAAGTACATCAGGCATGGGGTTAGTGTTAGGAGGACGCAGGCCAGTGGTCCTCACTGGGCACACAGACGCTTCTTGGGCAGACACTGAGACGCTCAGGTCGTCGCAGGGCTACTGTTTTAGCCTTGGTTCGGGTGCTATCTCTTGGAGATCCACTCGCTCGTCGTCTGTTGCTCAGTCGAGCTGTGAGGCTAAGATCTACGCTGGTGCCATGGCGGCACAGGAGCTCCGCTGGCTGACTTTCTTGCTCACAGACTTAGGTGAGCGGCCTAGCTCTGCCCCGGTCCTGTACGCTGACAACAGGGCCATGATACTCCTGTGTCAGGAGCCTCGACTTGAGGGCAGAGCGAAGCACATCCAGCTGCGGTACTTCCTCCTGCGCGAGCTACAGCAGCGCCGCCAGGCCCGCGTAGTTCACTTGGCCTCTGGTGCCAACACAGCTGATATCTTTACGAAGGCGCTTGCGCCTAAAGATCATCAGCGGCTCTGTGTACAGCTCGGTCTAGTTCCTGTAGCCTCTCACTTGCTAGGACCTTGACCTTGTACTGTCCTACATATGTCTATATATGTACTCAGACTGGACTTGTGTCCTCTCCCAGTGGCTGGACTAGTAGTGCCGCCCTGGTCTTGTTCTTGTCTTGCCTGTACTCCTTTTGACTGGTCTTTAGACCCTTGTCTCAGTGGCTGGACGAGTAGTGCCGCCCTGAGCTGCTTGTTCAGGATTTGCCCCTATGCAGTCTAGGGGGTGTGTCAAATATATGTATAACTCATATTTGTATAGACTGTACAGGGTCACCTCTTAGAGGGTACAACACTCTTAGGTATATACCCTTGTTCTCTCTCTCTATTCAACAACCTGTTCAGTTTTCTTCTCGACAGAATATAGTAGTACCGTATCGTTTTTCTCCAGAAATCCCAACGTGAGGTACAATTGGTCGAGAAGGGAAATCAATAATAGTGAATAAGCTTTCTACGAGTTGATAATGCAACCGGTAGTCTGTCAGGCTTTATAGAGCTTGTCCTTTTCTTTGCCTCACTGTACAAAACAACCCCCGCTACAGTAATTCCGTATCCTATCATACCCAATAGAGTTACAGGGTTACGGAATATCATGATTGAGATGACGACTGCAACTGCGCCCTTGGCATTCCCTAGCACCTGACACAAAGCAACAGAAGGAAAATAGAAAGAGAATGAGTGGCATTTTTTGCTCATGTGTAGGCTTTAGGAGCCCTCTTTAATGCTGCGTTACATGGGCATATCTGGCTCGTGTATCAGGTAACCAGCCAATGGTGAGATTGGCCAGGCCCACAATGCACCGGACCACACCGCACCGCACCACATTCAGCATATATACCTGAAGAGTGAGCGCGCTTGTGTGCAAGTTGGTGAGGTTGGCCAGGCCACATCATGCCACCACCCCCACCCCCCGCACCATAACAAACCGCAATGCACCGCATCAAACCGCTAAGTGCGTACCTAAAGCGTGAGTGCGCCCATTTATCGGGTAACCAGGGAGTTGGTGAGATGCACGAAATAGACAGTAGAGGAGTTGACTAGCAGCAGAGGGACGATCCCCCAGTCTTCACCCGCCTTCCTGGCTCTCTTGAGCTGCCTCAAAGAGCAATGCATCGCAATGAACCACAGTACACCGCACTGAACCACATGCAGGGTATATACCTGAAGGGTAAGCGCGCTGGTGTATCTGGTAACCAGGAAGTTGGTCAGATTCACGAAATAGGCAGTTGAGGAGTTAACAAGCAGCAGCGGGACGATCCCCCAGTCTTCACCCGCCTTCCTGGCAGCAACAGCCAGCACGGTTGGCTCCACTATGAGGGTTGCTGGGACAAGCAAGAGGACCGCCATGGGAGCCATGTAGAAGAGCAGGTTCATGGAATTGAGCTTCTGCCTGGGGGGGGGAGGATAGGGGTAAGGAGGGGAATGGAAAATGTGGTATAGGGGGTGCACTGTTGCATCCCTGAGGGTGGCTGGGTCGAGCCGCAGCACCGCCATGGGAGCCATGTAGAAGAGCAGGTTCATGGAATCGAGCTTCTGCCTGGGGGGTTGGAGATGGGCGAGGGAAGAGGGAGGGAGGAGAACACAGCATTCTTGATTGCACTAGAAGAAGCACCCCCATGGGAGCCATGTAGAAGAGATGGTTCAAGGAATCGAGCATCTGCCTGGAGGGTTGGAGATGGGCGAGGGAAGAGGGAGGGGGGAGAGCAGAAGGCACGGTAAGAGGTAGCACGCTTGATTGCACTATAAGAAGCACTGCCATGGGAGCCATGTGGGAGAGAGGGCTCATGGAATCGAGCGTCTGCCTTGAGGGTTGGAGATGTGGGAGGGAGGAATGGAAAACGCTGGAAGAGAGAGAGAGAGAGAGAGAGAGAGAGAGAGAGAGAGAGAGAGAGAGAGAGAGAGAGAGAGAGAGAGAGAGAGAGAGAGAGAGAGAGAGAGAGAGAGAGAGAGAGAGAGCCGGCTTCAACAGCCCGCCCCTGCTCAGCGCTCGAGGCGTCCGGCAAGGGGACCCTATGGGTCCGCTGCTCTTTGCCGCCGCCATGCACCCCGCCCTGCAAGCGACCGCCGCAGCGTACCCCAGCGTCCTGTGCCTAGCGTACGCTGACGACATCACGCTGCTAGGCGAGCCGGCAGCGTGCACAGCGGCGTTCACGCACCTCACTGACGCTCTGACCCCCCTGGGCCTCACGCACAACCCATCTAAGTGCGCGGCCTGGTCCCAATCCCAACCTCCTCCCTCCCTCCTACCCCCCGGCATCCCGTTCCGCGACTCTGGACTGCGGGTCCTGGGCAGCCACATCGGCCCCCACGAGGCTGCGGCTCAGTTCCTGCGCGAGCAGCTGGCTGACATGGCCAGGCAGCTCCCCGCCCTCGCCGCCATGGACCCCCAGTCCGCCTCCCTCCTCCTCCACCGCTGCGTCTCGCGGCGGGTATCTTACCTCACCCGCACAACCCCACTGAACCTGCTCCCACAGGGGGAATGGTCCATTTGGGGGCGGGAGCTCTTCCTTACCCTCCTCCGCTCCTGCAAACTCCAGACACCACGGGGAGAGCGGGAACTTGCACGCACCTGGGAGCAGGCCTCACTCCCACCCTCCCTAGGGGGCCTGGGCTTAGTGGACCCAGCAGTGGACGGTCCACATGCGTTCTTGACCAGCGTGGCCCAGGCACACAGGCTCCTGCTCTCCCTCCCCTCGGACCCCACCGGCCCCTTGGCGACCGCCGCATGTGCTCTCGCACCCCCCTACACCAGCCCCACCCCACTTCACACCTGGCTGGCGGAATGTGAGGCAGCACTCCCGGCCCCGGCCCTGGAGCTCCTGCGAGCCGAGCGCCTGGAGCCCTCAGACGAGCCCCTCCAGCACCGACTCGCCCTGGAAGTCCACGCGGCACGGTTTGCTGCTCTGCTGGCGGCCACCCGGGAGATGGAACTCAACCCCAAGAGCGGCCACACACAACGCCTCCTCTCCCTCACCGGTTATGGCGCAGGAGACTGGCTCCTCGCTATCCCACTCTTCCCCTCCCTCCGCCTCGCCCCCCCGCACTTCGCCATAGCCCTGGCATTCCGCCTGGGCCTCCCCTTCCCCGCACCCAAGGTGTGCAACTGCACCAAGCGGGTACAGATCCTGGACCCACGACTCCCGAACCACCTGTTCCGCTGTGGGACCGGACACGGCCGCACCGACACCCATAACGCACTCAGGGACGAGTGCATCCGCATGGCACGGGACGCCCAATTCATCGTCACCAAAGAGACGGCGATCTACAACCCGGTCGACGGCAAAACCGCCGACCTTGCCATCCAGGATCGGGACTCGGGGGCGGTGTGGATCTGCGATGTCACCGTCACCGACCCGGTCAGCTCACGAGACCCGCTAGCCCGTAAAGGCCGCGGCTACATGGCCAGAGAGCAGGCCGACAAAAAGATCTACGACTACCGCAGCCGGGCGGAGTACGTCGGCTTTTTCCCGCTGGCGGTAGAGACATACGGCTGCCCCTGCGCCGAGGTGCCCACCTTCCTCAAACTCCTGGCACACACGGCCGCCCGCCGCCTTTTCAACGCCGACCCCAGCTCCTACCAAGCCGCAAAACTGCTCAGCCAGTTCCGGCAACGCTGGTCCATCACACTCCAACGGGGACAAGCGCTCTCGTACCTGGGGAAGGTGAACGAGGCCTCTCCCCTTGAGTGGCCCCCCTTGGGCGCCCCGGACGCCTGCATGTCCCTTGGAGACTGTTTTGCAGTGATAGAGCACCAGTGCGAACGAGAGTAGAAGGGGTCCCGATAGGAGACTCACCTGAGCCGAGACACCAGTTTGTACCAATCCGGCATGCCTAGTTTGTACCCAGGATTGCCCATCAACGACGGACCGTTCGAGAGAGAGACCATGAGTCTCCCTCTAGCTAGTTAAGTCCTCTCCCTAGCTCATTCTCCTAGTTTAGTTCTCCGTTATTCAGATTCTCTTCCCTTTGGTGGCGGCTCGCGCCGGCGGCCTTCGGCCGCCGACGCTCGCGGCGCGGCCTGCGGCCGCGCGTTAGGGGACGGCAAGGCAACAGCAACACCAAGTTTGCAACTTCAACAATACAAGCTACACAATTTCCCTAGCGGACTACTGTGGTGCTCAACAGCCACACTTCTAACGAGGCATGGAAAGCCTCACCGAGCTTTCCAGAGCGCTCACACTTGCGCGCACTTCACCAACGCGGACCTACACTCGACGGGAGCCCGTCACGCGACTTGGTCCGCTCCAGCTTCCTCCAGCAAGGCCGTCACATAGCCCACCAGGAGCATCAGCGCTGACACGGTGCCGCCAACGATGTCTACAGCTGCAGCCGAGTCTATGCTCGCCGATACTCCCCGCATCACGGCGAGCAGGCGCGGGTCCAACACGATCCCCGGGGCGGGCGCAGGCTGCACTCGCGTTGACACGACTGCCAGATCAGCTGCAGCCATCGCGCAGCGGTGGAGAGGATCGTGGGGCATCTTGCACGGGCTCGCTGAGCTCCGTAGAACGGAGTGTGAGTCCGTCAGCATCTCCACAACATACCCCATCGCCCGCTGTGCGTGCCAGAGCCGACGAAGCGTGGCGACTGGGATCACAGTCTCCGCCAGGCGCTCCCTCCCACGCAAGCGCTCTAGCTGCGCTCTCTGCGGCATCCGCAGCCCAGCCGAACGACGCCGCCCCAGGTCCCCAGGAGGAGAGTCCTCACGGTGGACTCAGCCCCCCCCATCTCCGCTGCTTCTGCCCCCCCCATCTCCGCTGCTTCTGCCCCCCCCCCTCAACTCCAGTCGGCGACTCCAGCGCGCGACGAGGGGGGACAAAGGGCGCCGTCGCCAGATTGCCGAACGACGCTGGCACCACCGACGGCGGCCGGCCGCTGGGCGAACCTATCACCGATGCCTCCAGGGGCGTTGGCTGCCAGCGCAGCAGGGCCTCCGCGGTCCGCTCGTTCAGCGGGTGCGGCTCCACTCGCGGCTGGTGCGGAGCGAGAGGGGCGGCAGAGGGGAAGATCGGCGGTGGATGCGCGGACGGAGGAGGCGGTGGAAGCTGCTGGCTGTTTGGGAGCAGCGGAGGCGCTGCAGTTTACGGCGGGAACGTATGCGCCGACTCCTGCAGCGACGAGAAATGCGCCTGCTGCTGATGCGCCTGGTGGTACTGCTGCGACGATAAATGCGGGGGGGGGATATGCCAGTAGCTGCCGGGGCTGGGCGACAGCGCGGAACAGGCCCTCGAGTGTCGCGGCAGCTCGCCCCGGACGTCCCTCTGCAGCCAATCCGCGGTTACTCCCCCCGCCGGCCCTCCAGCCGAGGCGCTGGCCAGAACGCCCGCGCTGCGCCTGCGGAGTCCGGTGCTGCGGCGCCGGCTGCGCCTGCGGGCGGCGCTGGGGCGTCCCACGGCGGGGAGGATGTTGCAGGGGGGGCTGCTGACGCACCCCGCCATGCATCACTGGTCCACGACCGGTTTCCAGGGCGCGCTCGGGAGTTTTCTCCTCGCGCCCCTGCGGAGCGGACGGCCGACTCCGCAACCGACCTCGCATCCGCTCGGGGGTCTGCTGGCGGACTGACGAGGGGACTGGGAGCCCGCGCTCCCAATCACGGTTTGACTGAGCCGGAGGACTCGCCTGACCTTGGGGGGGCGCACTCTCCCCAGTGCTCTCCAAATCGGCAGAGCGCTCACGAACGGGCCGGCCCAGCCCGAACCCCGATGGTTGGTCCATCAGGAGGCGACACGCCGCGCTCGGCTCCTCCCACGACCCGACACGAATAACGGACGGCGAACAGGGTCGCCCCGAGAGGAGACCGAGGAGGCGGGGGTAGGAGACACGCTGGGCGGGCAGCAAGGGGTCGCGGACGCGGGCAATCTAGGCGAGGCGATCTGTCCTCCGACGGAGGTCCGCTGGACGGATTCCAGCAGGCCGCGAATAGGGCTTTAAGAGCTCTGGGATAACAAGGAACTACTGGTGAGGAGGAACGAGCCGATGGAACTTATGTACCTGGGGAGCAGAGGGAGTCTACAACGGACGCATCTAGCGAGGAGGGAGGCGTGGAGACAAACAGGCGCTCTGAAGGAGGAACAGCTGGCCTAACTCCCAGATCTGGGGGACGACGGTCCAGCGGCATGCGTAATACACGGGTACCGCTGGACACCCACCCCCAGACAGCCCCGCAGCTGTCCCCATAAGAACTAGCGAGCGACGCCTCCCGATTCGTCGGGATCGCCAGCTGGGACATCGCAATACTATGCGACAGCCGCCAACCCCCGCTCTCCCGCCGGTTACCTCCCCAAATTCGTCAACTTTTCGCGCTCGCCTTGCTGACACCCCTCCTTTTCCTCGCCAAAAATCCAACCTCCACTGAGGGTTGGATTTTGTTACTCTACCTCCCGCGTCTCACCCTTCATCTTCCTTCACCAAGACGTCCCGATTGGCCCGCGGCAGAAAAACGCCTCCGACAATTCCTCGCGGGCCAATGGGACGCTCTGTACCAAGCTGCCGCATCTGCTGTCACCCTGCCACCCCCACCCTGCCACGTACCTGACTTCCTCGAAAAAATATCCCGTGCCGAGGGGCTGGTGCGACGCGGTAGCTTGCGACGAGCACTGCTCGCGTTGACTTCGACCCCAGTCAGCGAGTCCACCCCTGCTCTCCTGGACGCGCTGAAGTCAAAACACCCCCCCCCGCTAGCCGAAGACCTTACCTGGCCGCAGCTGGGTGAGGACTGCAGACCGCCCACAATCGACTTCGCCGACTTCGTGAAACTCCTCTCACGCTGCGAAAATGGGGTTGGAGCGGGGCCATCGGGAATGACTTTCGAGCATCTTCGCGATGCCTCGCTCACCAACCCCTCAGTCGCCAGACACCTTCACCAGCTCGTCCAACGCCTCCTCGCTGGTAGCCTGCCGCACGAGGTCAGCCAGCTCCTGACTTCCTCACGCCTCCTGGCAATCACCAAACCAGACGGAGGTACTCGCCAGATCGTTATCGGCGAGTGCCTGCATCGACTGGCGGCTAAATCCGCGCTCGTCTCTTCAACACTCCCAGCACAAGCTTATTTTCTCCCGCACCAATTCGGGGTGGCAATCCGGAGCGGAGGAGAGATCATCATCCAGGCGACCCGGGGCTTCAACTCCGCGAGCCCGGGATCGCTGATCCTGCAGGTTGATCTCTCAAACGCGTTCAACAACGTTGACCGTGGGGCCATTATTTACGCCATCAATCACTCGCCCCTGCGCCCCCTTCTACCGTTCATACAGTTCTCGTACGGGGCACCGTCCCTGCTTTACCTCGACGCGGAGTTCGGCAGCCCACCCCTACTGAGCGCACGGGGAGTCCGCCAAGGGGACCCCATGGGCCCCCTCCTCTTTGCAACGGCCATCCACCCTGCGCTCCAGGCCACGGCGGCAGCCCACCCCGGGGTCCTCTGTCTCGCCTGCGCGGACGATGTGACCTTCGTGGGCGACCCAGGGGCCTGCACCTCGGCGTTCCTAGACTTCACCGCCGCCATGGAAGGCATCGGCCTCTCTCACAACCCCGCGAAGTGCACGGCATGGTCCGCCGAGCGCCCCGCGCCTGACTGCCTTCCGCCAGACATACCCTTTCACGGCGAAGGGGTCCGTGTGCTGGGCAATTTTATAGGCACACCGGAAGGCACAGCGGGTTTCCTCCGCACCCAGCTCGCCGCGCTCGCCGAACCCCTCGCCACACTGGCCACGATGGACCCACAGTCCTCCTCCCTCCTAAGTGGGCAAATTCGTTGGGGTCCCCCAGCATTTTGCGTAAATTCGCAAACGCGAATTTACCTGAAATTCGTGAAACGCTGGGGGAAAATTTTTGGGGCAGCCCGGACAAAAAAACTCGAATTTCCCAACTTGATTCGCAGCGACTTGTCGAAGCCATCCGTGGCCTTGCCAATTCGCGATTCTAACTTTTGAACCTCCAAACATGCTCCCAACCCCTCCCACGCTCCCAACCGCATCAAACCCCACCGCATCTAGAGAACCCAACCCATCCACCACCCAACTTACGCAACCATATCACGCACGCATCTCACACGCTACACTACCAGACGTAGAGTAGATCTAGCTTATCACTCCGCGTCATAGCTAGAAGATCTAGTTTTAAGCATAGACATTAGCTTACCTCATGAGTATGGTTCATCATCTTGCTGTAGGTTGCTGCAGGGCTGTTAATGCAAAGGATACCCCCCAAACTCTAGAACATGCTATTGCCATAAACTTTCAGAAGCAATAATAATTTCCTGCAAAAACTTTCTTGCCTAAAAAGAGTTGCTCTGAAACCCCCCACGCCCCCCCTACCTGGGGACTTTTTTTTGGGGCCTGCCCGGGCATTTTTTTCCTGCCCGGGCGGAACGAATTTCCCAACGAATTCAAAACAGGGCCCTGGCGTTCGGGCGAATTTACTCCAGCGTAAATTCGTTAGCGAATTTACGCGAAACGCGAATTTTCCCACTTAGCCTCCCTCCTCCTCACACGCTGCGTGTCCAGGCGCGTCTCGTACCTGACCCGCACCACCCCCCTGGATTTCCTGCCCCTGGAGGCTTGGTCCGAGTGGGGCAGGGAGCTATTTCACACCCTACTACGCGCCTGCAACCTCCAGCCACCACGGGGCGAGTCGGAGCGGGCGCGTACCTGGGCCCAGGCATCTCTCCCTCCCTCTCTCGGGGGGCTGGGCCTCACCGACCCAGCGATTGAAGGGCATCCGGCCTTCCTTACCAGCGTCACCCAAGCTCAGGCCCTCTTAGCTGCCCTCCCAGCAGCGACCAGCGGGCCCCTAGCCGATTCGGTGCGACACCTCACACCACCCTTTACCAGCCCCACCCACCTGCATACCTGGCTGGCGAGGTGTGAATCGGCGCTGCCCCCGCGGGCCCTGGAGCTTCTACAATCCGAGCGAGGTGAACCCTCGGGCTCCCCTCTCCAACACCGCCTGTCCCTCGAGGTTCAGGCCGAGCGATACGCCGACCAAGTCGCCGCATCGCGGGCAATGGACCCAAACCCATACTCCGGCCACATGCAACGCCTCTTCTCCCTGGCCGGGTATGGAGCAGGGGATTGGATCCATGGCATTCCAATCTTCCCCTCCCTCCGTCTCGAAGCCCCACACTTCGCCATCGCCCTGGCCTTTCGCCTCGGCCTTCCCTTCCCAGCTCCCCGCATCTGCAACTGCGCCGAGGAATTCGAAATCCTTGACTCACGGCTACCCAATCATCTCTTCCGGTGTGGCACCGGGCACGGGCGGACAGACACCCATGATGACCTGCGGGATGAGAGCATCCGGATGGCACGGGATGCTGACTTCATAGTCACTAAGGAGACAACCATCGACAGCCCCGTCGACGGCCACAAGGCCGACCTCGCAATTCCGCGACCGCATCTCCGGCGCCGTCTGGATCTGCGACATCACCGTCACAGACCCCATCAGCAGCCGGGACCCGGATGCACGGAAGGGACGGGGTTATATGGCCCGTGAGCAGGCTGACAAAAAGACCAACCACTACCGCAACCGGGCCTCCTACGTGGGCTTTTTACCACTAGCGGTCGAGACCCTGCGCCGAAGTCCCTACCTTCCTGAAACTGGTTACCATGCTAACCCATAAGATTGTAACCCCAGGTCCTGTAGCACTGTCTTGAGTGCGCTGGATGCTGTTGCTGACGCAAGTAGCCCGGCTCTACGTGTAACGTGGTTACCACACACTCACCCATCGGACTGTAACAGCAGGCCCTGTAGCACGGATTTGAGTGCCCTGGCTGCTGTTGCCGACACGCAGATGATGAACCCAAAGAGATGGAAGCTGGGCTCGCTCTGGGTTGTGAGGGGGAACAAAGCGGCAGCAGGTGGGGAGGCAAGAATGACACAGAAGGGACGTGAATGACACCACTGCTGTTGAGGACACACAGATGATGCAGCCAAAGAGATGGAAGCTGGACTCGCTCTGGGTTGGGTTGTGCGGAAAGCAGGTGGGGAGTGGGAGAGGTTAGTGGAAACACGAGAGCGGGAGCTGTTGTTGCCAACACACAGATGATGCAGCCAAAGAGGTGGAAGCTGGGCTCGCTCTGGGTTGGGTTGTGCGGAAAGCAGGTGGGGAGTGGGAGAGGTTAGTGGAAGCACGAGAGCGGGAGCTGTTGTTGCCAACACACAGATGATGCAGCCAAAGCGGTGGAAGCTGGGCTCGCTCTGCGGTGAGAGGGGGAACAAAGGGGCAGCAGGGGCAGGGGTGACGGGAAGAGGAGGTGGGGAGGCACGAGTGACACCACTGCAGTTGCCGACACACAGACGATGCAGCCAAAGAGGTGGAAGCTGGGCTCGCTCTGCCACGACACGAGAGGGGAAAGGAGAAAGAAACAAAGGGAGGAGGGTTGAAGCTGCCGTGTTGTGTAGCGGACACACAGATGATGCAGCTAAAGAGGTGGAAGCTGGGCTCGCTCTGGCATGAGGGGGGTCGAGGGGGAAAGCAGCAGGTGCAGGGGTGGGATGGCAAGCGGAGAGTGGATCGCAGGACACACACAGGAGAGCTGTCGCAGGAGAGCTGTCGCAGGAGAGCTGTCGCAGGAGAGCTGTCGCACGAGAGCTGTCGCACGAGAGCTGTCGCAGGAGAGCTGTCGCAGGAGAGCTGTCGCAGCTGTCGCAGGAGAGCTGTCGCAGGAGAGCTGTCGCAAGAGAGCTGTCGCAGGAGAGCTGTCGCAGGAGAGCTGTCGCAGGAAAGCTGACACACGCATGGCGACGCTGAGCATAAACCCCCAAACCCGAGTGATAATAATTGTGTTTTGAGTCAACTCAAAACGAAATTACAATCACACTTCCTATGGCGACGCCGGGCATGAATCCCCAAGCCGGAAGCGGTGATGTCATTATGAGAATTCTCAGAGCTGTCCCTGCATCCTATGGCGACGCCGAGCATGAACCCCCCAACTAGACTTGGGCATGAGCCGAGCCTGGCTCGGCTCGGCTCGTTTTGGGGTCGAGTCGAGCCGGCTCGGCTCGCCACGAGCCGGGACCCCGAGATGCCCGGCTCGGCTCGCCCCCATGTTGGCGAGCCGGCACCGGCTCGTCGGCGAGCCGGCTCGGCTTGGCTCGCCTTGCTGTTTTTTAGGGGTTAGTGGGTTTTTGGGATCCCTATTTGAGGCCGCCAAGCCCTACCTAAACTCCTAACCTAGACTAGGTAATGGTTTAAAACTGGCTAAGGCGCTCGCTAGGTACGAACGATGTAGTTGCTGGCTAGGGCTAGTGTGATTGGGGTGAGAACGGCGTGGTAGTAGTTTGTGAGGAGAGTGTTTTGTCGATCTACAAACTGTGCCCACGCCAATCCCCCCAAATCCGGAGGCACGAGCCACTTGGCTTGAAATCGAGCCGGGGGCGAGCCGGCTCGCCCTGGCTCGCCATCAAAAACAGCAACGAGCCGAGCTGAGCCAGCCGGCTTGAACGAGCCGAGCCGGCTCGGCTCGCCACGAGCCGGGTACAAAAAAAAAGGGGCTCGGCTCGCCAAAAAGGCGAGCCGAGCCGAGCCGAGCCGGGTGTGGCTCGGTTTGTGCCCACGTCTACCCCCAACACCCGGAACCCTGAAGCTTTGAGAAAGCCGCAAGCGAGGCAGAGAGAGGGCTCACCCCGCTTGCAATGACGACGCCAAGTACGAACCCCCAAATCCGATGAGAGCCATAAGAGAGAGATAGATGGGTGAACAGATGAACAGATAGAGAACGTGAGTGCTCACCCTGCAAGGATGACAACCCCGAGCACGGCGGGAAAAGGAGCAGCATACGTAAGCCAGGCCTCCCTCTTGAGGGTCATGAGGTAGGCAAAGTCGGCCGTGAAGATAGGGGTGGTGGGAGAGAGACAGCAAGCCAGGGGGAGGTGGGGAGGGAGAGGGTGGGGAGGGGAAGAGAGAGGGCTCACTCACACCACTAGCGATGACGACCCCGAGGACGACAGGTACGAGAGCGGCGTAGGTGAGCCAGGCCTCCCGCTTGAGAGTCATGAGGTAGGCAAAGACGGCGGTGAAGAAAGGGGTGGTGGCGCCGATGGCTTGGTTGAACGACACGGGGATGAAGCGCAGCGAGGTGTTGCCGCCCACCACGGAGAAGCAGAAGACGGCGCTGAGAGCGAATATTTTTAGTAGCTGGGAGGTTGACTTGAGTGGCTGTTGGGGGGAAGTGGGGTGGTATGGGGAGGAGAAGGGAAGGGGATGGCAAGGGAAGGGGGTGGTGGCACTCAGCGAATTATTTCAGTTGCTGGGAGGTTGACTTGAGTGGCTGTGAGGAGGAAGGGGGGGGGGGGGGGGTGGGGTGGGGGGGGGGAAGGAGAATAGGTGCGATGAATCGCAGGGAGGTGTTGCCACCGACAACCGAGAAGCAGAATACGTCAGTGAGAGCGAGGATCCCGAGAAACTGGGAGGTGGACTTGAGGGGTCGTGAGGGGATGTGGTGGGGTGTGGTGGGGAGGAGAAGGGAAGTAGAAGACGGCACTCAATGCAAATATCTTCAGTAGCTGGGAGGTTGATTTCGGTGGCTGTGATAACGATACTGAGTCTGGTTATCAGTATCTCTCTTCCATCTCTCTTCCATCTCTCTTCCATCTCTCTTCCATCCTAATTCAGAGTCTGGTTACCTGATAACGATACTGCCACGGCGTCACCTACCAGCAACGTTGCACTCCGCACACCTGTAACGTCATCTGTCCCTTACCTTACTTGTAACGGGAGGGTCTTCATCCAGACAATGGCAATGTAGCTGAATAGGGAGCAGGCGGCCACGTGGCACATGGCCAGGAAGATGGGGCACTTACGGTAGACCTCACAGTCTGGTTACCCTGTAACATTGCGTTTCTGTTACTTATGACATTGCAATCTGTTACCTGTAATGGAACGATCTTCATCCAGACTATGGCAATGTAGCTGAAGACGGAGCAGGCGGCGGTGATATGACACATGGTCAGGAAGGTGGGGTACTTGACACGTACCTTCCAACTGGTTACCCTAAAACGTTACAATCCCCTCACCTGTAACGGAACGACCTTCATCCAGACAATGGCAATGTAGCTGAAGAGGGAGCAGGCGGTCATATGGCACATGGTCAGGAAGATGGGGTACTTAAAGCCGTAGTTGCTCAGGAGGAACTTATTCAGCAGCAGCACCCCGATGTTGCTTATGTACCATGCTGCTACAATTGCCAGGGTAAATAACCCTGAGGTCCGCTTCGGAGGGTCCTGCATGGTTGCAACTGGAAGCACACACAGAAAAACCACAAGAACAGGCACAATCAGATAAGCACACAGACACACAATCACACAATCGGATAAGCACATAATCACATATAACACAATCACATGTTAAAACAGTCAGATGGGTGGTGGAGGAGGATCAATCTAAGCACAATCAACACGACATGTGCCAAAATATTCGTCATATCCACCATTACTATAATATATTTTATCATCTCCTTTGCGTGACCGGTTATTCTCATCAACTCTATACGTCTCGCCCTACCAGCAGCAGCTTACCCTTACCTAACCCATCCACTCCAATAGTCTATGGCCATATGGAGCCCTATGACCTATGCCCTTTTTCCTTTAACCCTTTCTGAAGCGCCTTAAAAGTTGTTCCGCCCTAACAACGGCAGCGTCACCCGACCCCATTCCTTTCAACCCCTCTGCATCGACCTTTCTGATTCCCCTCTATTCCTTTCTCTACACCTACTATGTCTCCCGTCTTCTCCCCCTCTTCTCCCGCTCTACGATCGTGCGGGCTGCAGAAGAATTACTTAAGCAATGCGTTTAACAACCCAAAAGGGAGCTTTGAGACGTTATGAGACGCCGACTATAAAAGAAACTTACGTCTTCGCAGTATGGAGGTTACACAACCCGTGGACCTTAGTACGAGGACCTCGGCCTGTTAAGAACCCTGCTCATGCCCAGATGAAACCCTAATATCGGCGGAAAGAGTTCCTCCAATCGGCAATGTCAAAAATCTCCTCAATCAACAATGCCAGGATATCCGTCGATCCCGGAAGCCGCTAAAAAGAACTCGACTTCGAGGGATTCACAAGCCAGAGCTGACTTTTGAGTCGACTCCAAAGTCAGCTCATAGGAACTCGACTTCGAGGGATTCAGAAGCCAGATAACGTGTCCGATTGATCTAGCCTGGCGTTAGAAGAACGGCTGCCTCGAGTGGACCAAAGCAGTGCAATCTCTGGTAGGAATAAAGGTTAGACTTGCGAGCGGTCTCCTCAAAGGAGGTGTGTTCGTAGGAATAAAGCTCTACTTATACTGACAGTCGTTCAGCCCCCTTGAGGTAGGCTGCAAAATCTCGTATGTAGTAGGCATGCGCACCACCTAGTCAAAAATCATGACTAGACTAAAATGCGGAGGAGTTAAATGCATGTGAGGCATGCAAGAATGATGCCTGCTATGTTTGTCGAGAGACTGCCGTCCAGAAAGCCAGCTTGAGTGACACGCTGCGCTAGGAGAGGGGTTCGACAAAGAAATCAGTTCGTGCATTATCTACACTACTCTCGGAAACTGAGTTGACCTTTTGTTGCGCTTAACAAAAGGTAGCTGAATAAAATTAGCCAACTCTGTCCTATGCTACTTGTAGATAATAGTATACTACATATATACTATTATCTACTTATGACTGTAACAAAGACGGTCGTGTAGCAATCATATGCTCGATTCCCTCCACCACCTGTGCTGCCGTCGGCCGTTGCTTCACGTCCTAACTCCTGCTGCAACATCCACTCCACCAGCCATGCCCCAAAGCTTCCCTCCTGCTCCCCCCATCCACTCCACCAGCTTCTGAAACGATGCCGGGCAGTATCCCAAAAAACTCCCCTTTGTATGCCATATAACTACGAACGAGTTGTCACTGTAATGAAGGCGACAGGGTAGCAATCATGTGCTCTATCCTCTCAAGCCACTTGTGCTGCCGTGGGCCGTTGCTTCACATCCTGCTGCACCATCCACTCCACCAGCTTATTAAACGATGCAGGATACCCCCAGAACTCCCATTTGTATACCCAGTAGTCACTGTGGTGTCTAGTTGTCACTGTAGTGAGGGTGGTAGTGTAGCAATCATGTGCTCTACCCTCTCAACCACCTGTGCTGCCATGGGCCGTTGCTTCACATCCTGCTGCACCATCCACTCCACCAGCTTATGAAACGACGCTGGGTACCCCAAAAACCCCCCTCCTGTCGCAGAAGAAAAACCAGACGAACCATCAGCGGAGGAGCCAGAGGCGGTCATACTGACAGGAGTGTCCATAAGAGCGGGGGGGGGGGATGCGGATGAGGAGGAGGTGGCGAGGGGCGGGTGCGGCCACTTGATGGTTCCGCTCATGACTGCTAGCTGCAGGCTGCCTCCTGACTCGCCCAGGGAGAACTCAAAGGGGGACTGCCCGTACCTGGTTCAGGTGTAAGGGTTAAGGCACGGGAGAAACGGGGGAAAGGGTGTGAGACAGAAGTCTATTTTTGAGGCGCCTCAAAAATAGACTCCTCACGTAGGGTACAGGAGAAACGGGGTAAAGGGTGTGGGACGGAAGGAGAGAGGAATCAATGGTGGCGAGGGGCGGGGCGGGTGGGGCCATTTGATGGTTCCGCTCATGACTGCGAGCTGCAGGCTGCCCCCTGACTCGCCCAGAAAGATCTCAAACGGGGTCTGCCCATACCTGAGGCAGGTTCAAGGGAGATGGTGGAAAGGGTTGGGTGCGAAAGGGTAGGAAGATAAGGAAGTGGTGGGGAGGGGAGGGGCGGGGCAAGCTGCAGGCTGCCTTCTGACTCGCCCAGGGAGAAATCAAAGGGGGAGAGCCCATACCTGAGGCAGGTCAAAGGCAAAATCCGAAAAAGGTAGGTGAACTTCGGAAGGTTATGTCAAGTTGCCGCCATCCCTCAACAAGAAAGCAAATGCTGCATTTCCCTACAGTCACACTCACATCACAGGGTGGTGTAGATCCCAGAAAGAGACACGTGTCACTATTCCCTATGTCTCCCTATAGCCACACTCATGGCTATTTCCATACAGTCACTCACACGGTGGCGAAGGGAGTGGTGACATGTTCCACAACTCCCTATGCCTCCCTACAGTCACCCACAATAATCCTCCCTGAAGTCACAGCCATACTTTATAGCAACATTTCGATACAGTCACATTCACACTACTGATATTCGCATCCACCTTAAGTCACACGCACTCACATGGTTGCGTATAGAGTGCATCCATGCGACCACGCGTCACTATATATCTCCCTACCTACAGCCACAGCCAGATTGTGGAATCAACATTCCGTACAGTCACACTCACATGGTGGCGTAAAGGGTGCATCCCAGCAACCACACGTCACTCCTCTCCTCTCATCGACATCCATTTTCACTCACATGGTTTAGAGTTTGAATTTCGAATTCAGCATCACATTTCCCAAACACTCACATGGTGGCATATAAAGCGCATCCCAGCGACCACACATCACTTTTCTCATCGATATCCATTTCACTCGGGCAGTCCCAAAACTCTGGAGCCCTGTACGCCGCTGAACAGTGCTGTGCCGCCCATTCCTATGATGAAATCGAATCCAGAGGGATAGAGAAAACAGTGGGAAAAGGGTGTTAAGTAAGCCAACCCAGAATCTCTGTAGCGCTGCCCGCTTCTGAACAGTGCTGCACTGCGCAATCCTGTGATGGAACCAAATCCAGCGGGAAATGGTAACAGGTGGAAAAGATTTCAGAAAGTGAACTGGAAACCCCCTGAGCTCTATAGGCTGCCAAACATTGCTGCGCCGGCCACTACTGTAATCAAATCAAATCCAGAGGGAGGGAGAAAACAGTGGGAAGAAGGTGTTAAGTAAGCCAACACAGAACTAGTGCTCTGTACGCTGCTGAACTGTGCTGGGCTGCCCGCTTCAGAAAAAGGGGGGAGAAAGCACAAACACGCAGGAGGAAACGGGGTGAGAATTTCAGTGAAGTCCATTTCGGAAACTCCGGCCCGGAGCCCTGTGCGCTGCTGAAGACTGATGCGCTGCCCACTCCTGAATGAATCATATTCAGACTCACCTGAAAAAAAAAAAAATATATATATATATATATATATATATATATATATATATATATATGAGCCTCCTGCTTGGTTGGTTCTTGGTGGGAGCAGGAGTGAACTGGCCTGCAAGAAGAGCGCCTGGTTGCAGGATGTGATGTGTCTCCTGGGCCCTGGCAAGAGCAGCAGACCCAAACCAAAGTCCATTGAAGCCACTGCCACTGCCATCCGAATGCTGCTGGTCGTCATCGGTGTAACGGGCTATTGGGGCCATGCCATTATGCCAGCAGCATTAGGCAAGCGCGCATGTACGTACGTACGTACCAACCTGCAACGACAAGGCCTGGTTGCGGGATGCGATGTGCCTCCTGGCAGGCATGGTGGACCCAAAGCAAAGCCCATTATGGCACGGGACGTCCCATGTAGATGCTGTCAGTAAGCCTAGCGGCTAAGCCTAGCGTCAGTAAGCCTAGCGGCTAAGCCTAGCGTCAGTAAGCCTAGCGGCTAAGCCTAGCGTCAGTAAGCCTAGCGGCTAAGCCTAGCGTCAGTAAGCCTAGCGGCTAAGCCTAGCGTCAGTAAGCCTAGCGGCTAAGCCTAGCGTCAGTAAGCCTAGCGGCTAAGCCTAGCGTCAGTAAGCCCAGCGGCTAAGCCTAGCGTCAGTAAGCCCAGCGGCTGCTTGGTGGGAGTGAGAGGGGCTGACCTGCAAGGACAAGGCCTGGTTGCGGGTCCGAATCTCTCTCCTGGCAGGTGTGGTGGACCCAAAGTCCATTATGGCCACCGAAATATCTGAAGCAGATGCTGTTGGCAGTCTGTCTAACGGCTGCATGGAGGGGGTGAGAGCGACTGACCTGCAAGCTCAGCGCCTGGTTCCGAGATCGGATCTCTCTCCTGGCAGGCGTGGTGGACCCAAAGTCCATTATGGCCACCGAAATATCTGAAGCGGATGCTGTCGGTAGTCTGTCCAATGGGAGCCCCCCTTCTGCTCCTTCTCGCACGGCTCCTGTCCCCCCTGCTCCCACTCCTCCCCCCACCACACCATCAGCACCACCTGTGCCACCGTTATCACCCGCAGCAGCAGCACCAGCAGCAGACGGTCCACTGCTACTGCCTGCACCCGCTACAAAAGCATCATCTCTCTCTGCCACTCCGGTAATGCAAATCCCATCACCACGACCCCTACCCACACCCACTCCTCCTCCCCCTGTTGACCCATGTCCCCCAAAGGCTATGAGGATGTTCCCTGGCTTGATGTCGTTGTGTGCCAGAGGGGGCGAGCACGCATGCATGTGCGCCAAGCCCGAGGCAACCTGGTAGTTCAAGGGGAAAGAGAGAGAAGTGGGGGAATGGGTTGCGGGTTGGGAGGGGGAAGGGGATGGGGGACAATATGTTGCCTGGCTTGATGTCGGGATGTGCGCTAGAGGGGGAGAGCACGCATGCATGTGAGCCAGGCCGGATGCAACCTGGTGGTTCAAGGCGAAAGAGGGCGGGATATGGGAGGATATGTTCCCTGGCTTGATGTCGTTGTGGGCTAGAGGGGGCGAGCACGCATGCATGTGCGCCAAGCCCGAGGCAGCCTGGGAAGAAGAGGAAGGAGGGGAATGAGAGCGAGGGAAATGAGCAAGGTTTGTTACCCCGTTCCCCCCAAAGGCTATGAGGATGTTCCCTGGCTTGATGTCGTTGTGCGCTAGAGGGGGGAAGCACGTGTGCATGTGAGCCAGGCCTAAGGCAACCTGGGGGAAGCAGTGACGCAACAGGGGGAGAAGAGAGGGGGAGAGGTGGGCACTCTGTTCCTGGCTTGATGCCATTGTGTGCTAGAAGGGGGAGCACGTGTGCATGGGAGCGAGGCCTGAAGCAACCTGGCGGAAGCATTGAAGCAACAGGGGGAGAAGAGAGGGGAAGAGGTGATAAACTACGTTGCTTGGCTTGGTGCTGTTTGAGCACTAGAGGGGGGAGTGCACACGCATGTGGGCAACACCCACGAAGGGAGGGAGGGGGAAGAGGGTAATGAGGGGAAAGGGGGGAGGTACATATGCGAGAGGGGGCGATATGAGGTAAATATGAGGTACATATGAGGTACATATGAGGTACATATGCGAGAGGGGGCGATATGAGGTACATATGAGGTACATATGAGGTACATATGCGAGAGGGGGCGATATGAGGTACATATGAGGTACATATGCGAGAGGGGGCGATATGAGGTACATATGAGGTACATATGAGGTACATATGAGGTACATATGAGGTACATCCGTGGCCTGATGCCATTGGGTGCTGGAGGGGGCGAGCACCTATGCTTCTGAGTCGACTCAAAGGCGTATGCGGGACGGATATCCATGGCGCAATGCTCTTGTGTGCTAGAGGGGGCGAGCACCTATATCTATATGCATGTGGGCAAGGCCAGAAGCAACCCGGGAGAGAGATTGGGAAAGGTGAGGGATGGGAGGGAAACGGCGAGGAGGGAGAGGAGGGAGAGGAGGGAGAGGAGGGAGAGGACGGAGAGGACGGAGAGGTGGGACAGAACGTTCCCTGGCTTGATGCTGTTGAGGGCTAGAAGGAGCGACCACGCATGCATGTGAGCAAGGGTCGAGGCAGCCTGGTGAATACGAGGAGGAGGATAAGTGCATGTGAGCAAGGCTCGAGGCAACCTGGCGGCAAAGAAAGGTGCCGTCTCGAAGAATGACTGTGACTATAATGAAACCTTCTCTACCTACCTAGCTGATGATGCTGAGCACTTGCAGGCAGCGGTGAGAAGCGGTGAGAAGCGGTGCCCTTAAGCGGTGGACGACTGCGGCCCCTTGGTCTGAGCCATCATAGTAATATGGCTTCTGAGTCATACATTGTGAGCCGTGACTGTGACTATAGCGAAACATTCATTACCTCACTGATGATGGTGAGCGAGCACTTGCAGTGGTGAGAAGCGGTGGAGGTGAGAATGTATGACGATAACGAATCACTCACTACACGCCTTTTCTCACCTGGCTGAGGATGGTGAGCACTTGCAGTGGTGAGAAGCGGTGGAGGTGAGAAACGGTGGCTTTTAGGTGAACACGATTGCGAACATGCAACCTGTGACTATAACAAACGTTTCCTCACCTGGCTGATGATGGTGAGCACTTGCAGCGGTGAGAAACGGTGCCCTTTGGTGGAGGAGGACTGCGACCCCTTGGCCTGAGCCATCCAAGCCACATGGTCTTGTATCGTCCCATCCCTATAGACAGGAAACACAAGGTACGCCTCCTTGGTGCCCTGCTGCTGCTGTTATGGGGTGAAGGGAGAGGTGAAGGGGAGGAGGAAAAAACGTGGTGTTGATTGAAAGTGGGTAGACTGGGAAGACAAGGTACGCCTCTTTGGTGCCCTGCTGCTGCTGCAGGGGGGGTCGAGTGCGGAGTGGGAAAAGGGATCAAGAGTATGTGAGAGGAACCCCAGTCAGCCCGAGCCATCCAAGCCTCATGGTCTTGTATCGTCCCATCCCTGTAGATTGGGAAGACAAGGTACGCCTCCTTGGTGCCCTGCTGCTGCTGTAATGGGGTGAAGGGAGAGGTGAAGGGGAGAGGGCAAAAACGTAGTGTTGAAAGTGGGTAGCCACAGATAGGGAACACAAGGTACGCCTCCTTGGTGCTCTGCTGCTGGTGCAGGAGTGAGGAGAGTGGCGAATGGGAGAGGGACGGAGCAGCGGAAGGAGCGGAAGGAGGAGGGAGAGGGGGGACGGATGGGGGGTGAAGGTAGCAGGGGAGGGGACGGAAACGGGAGGGGATAGAGATTGTACCTTTGATGACACTATCGCGTGTTCTACTAAAGGGAGCAGGTTGGGGTGGTCGAGCTTTGAAGCCACGTCGATTTCGGCCTTCACCAGCAGCAGCTGCTCCTTCGTCTGTATCAGAAACTTCTTTAACGCGTATGTGTTGTCAGCTGGAGGGAAAATGCAGAAGAATATAAACAGAATTGGACACGGTAAAAAACGAGTGGAAACAAAAAACCAGAGAATTTCGCACCAAAGTGGAACTTAAAGTTGGGAAACTTCACGATGGCACAGTGGTGGCGAGAGCTTAGAAGAACAAGGCCTTGAGGGGAAGACTGCCTTTGAGTTGACTCAAAGCGAGAGCTTAGAATGGACAAGGACTTAGAAGGGGGAAAGAACGTAGCCATATTAGGAAAAGGGGGAGGAGGGCCATATTAGCCAACATGAAAGCTAGGAGGTATAGCGGCGAGGATAACGCTCCTTTAGTGCGAGGATCGGTTAAAGTGGTCTTACGGGAGACGTATTTCCGTTTCGGCTTGGTTGGAACAACCGACTTAGCGTCCGATTCGTCGGCTGGTTCTGCATTCTCCCCCTGATTTCCGGAATTGCCATCACCACTCGTCGCCACGTCAGCAGCTGGATCCGACGATGCGTCTGCCAAGCTGGCTGCCACATCAGCGGCGCTGCTGCTGCCGGCTTCGCGAACGAGGTAAACGAAAGCGTAACCACCTTCGCCAAGGTTCTGAACGATGCGAAACCGTCGCCCGTTGACCTTCACCTCCTCTCCGCTGCTCACGGCGTCATAAATCGCAGCTAGACCCGACCACGTGCAGCCCATTAGGTCTTTAATATCCCGGAGGTCTCTAATATCCTTCAGATCTTTCGGGTTACCACTAGTCCGCGCAGCCCCCTGGCGAAAAGTATCGACGAGGTGTTCTACGTTTTTCGTCACGTTTTTCACGCCCTGGCTTTCGATAACGTTGTCGTACAAACGGGAGAGACCCTGACCCAAACCGTGAGCCTGGTTCTGAGGCTCCGCAGAACCGCCCTGTTTCCCGTTGGAACCGTCCTGTCCGCCGGCGGAACCGCTCTGAACCCCGGCAGAACTGCTCTGGCCGCCGAATACGCTATCGACGAGTTTCTCTACGTTTTGTTTCACGCCCTGGCCCCCGGCGAAGACGCTGTCGTACCAGCGAGAGAGACCGTGAGAGTTCATGAGACGAGGCTCATGCTCGCGAAGATCGGCGGAAACTGCTTCGTGATCTTTTCACGGACCAAAAAATCGGTACCCAAGATGTGTCGTTCTGACACTAAATAACTCTGCAGATCAGTCCATCTTTTTCGCGACAAGAATCAGGAGGAGCTCTAGGAAAGTAGTCGCAGAGGTATGTACATCGCACGGTGCTCAGGGAAAATTGGATAGTGCAGATTCAACGGTCACTAGGTCCTCGCGCCAGGAGCATCTCGACTCTCGAGGAACTCTTGGATGGCTTTTCTTCCTCCTCCGTCCGATGAAATCACGTGGTCGTGTTACGAGGATCTGACGGCTGCGAAGATCCCAAAGATATGTTCCCAAGGCTGGGATCGGGCAGTTGCTGACGGTTCGCTTCGCTGTGATTCGCTGTTCTGGGTGGCCTGGAGGTTTGGAAACTGGATCTTCGTGGCAGGTCCGACTCAGCTTGGGGTCAACAAGAGGCTGCGATTCTTGGAGAAGATTTTGTCTCTGGAGACATGCAGCGGACGGGTTGGAGCTTATTTTTCAAGACACTAGAAACAAATTCCCCTACATTTCCTCCCGAAGCGACGATGTTTAAATTGTAAATGGTCCTCGTCAACCTGGGGAACTGTAGCGTTCACCGGGAAGTATTCATGCATGCAGATAATAGGCTCCTCAAATAAGCCTCGGGCGCAAACAATGAATTAGAAAGTAAACTTAGAGGGGGCAAAACAGCGACTCCACTGGGGATCGAACCCAGAATCTCTGGTTCCGTAGACCAGCGCCTTATCCATTGGGCCATGGAGTCACGTTTAGCAACTGGACCATTAAAAACCGTAAATTTTAAAACTGACCACCACATCTTCTGCCTATGCCGTTCCGTCACTTTCAACCGTCATGGCTACTAGTTGCACCGCCGTCACGTCTCTCCGGCTCTCCCTCAACCAGCAGCACCTTCCGCAGCATCTGCGCGGGTCTGAGCCACGTCAGCCATGCACGAATCCGCGAGGATCGCTGACATGTCATCAACCCTACGTGTGCGACGTATCCTCGCGGAAACTTCCTGCCGTCAGCAGCAGACATGGCGTGGGAGTTAATCTCGCTAGTCTCGTTAGCCTCGTTAATCTCCCTCTTCGACATTCAGATAGTGCGCGGACGCCCATTCTCGCGCCTCAGCTACGTCTCCCTGAATGCCGTAGATTAGAGTCCCGTCGGCTACACGTCGACAGCAGCTCGTGTCACCAACGCATTGTCGGAGCGGATAAACGCGCCCTGGGAGCAAATGGAGGGAAATGCTTTTCTTCTTGGTCAGGACTAGCCCCGCTAGGAAGCTTCGCCGCATTTCCAACCGAGTTGATAACTGAGCGAGAGTTGAGGAGAGAAGGTCGGAATACTTTGAAGTGTCGATCGGGTGCGGATAATAATGAGACGGAGAATGACTCTAGCGAGGGGGAGGCGGAGGGGGAGAAGGCGTGGTGGGCGCAAGGGTGGGACGTGCCATGGGGGGGAAGAGAGACGGGCATCGGAATGGGCGCGTGGATCTCGAGGTATGTGCTAGTAACGAGTGCTGGTTATACGGAGGATGGGGGAGAAGGCGTGGTGGGCGCATGGTTGGGACGTGCCTTTTGTGGGGAGGGGGGGTGGGGGGGGGGAGAGAAGAGGCAGGCATCGGCATGTCTGCATAGATCAGTCTCTGAGGTATGTGTTTCTAACGAATGCGGCTTATAACGAGTATTGAATTGGACGATGAGGCTTTCGTTTTCCTCATCTACGAATCCCTCCCTGTGTGTGCGTGCATGACCCCCCCCCTCGCTTCCCTCTTCCCCCCCCCTCTTCCCCCCCGGCTCACCCTTCCCCCCCCCCAGCTTCATATTCGTGGGCATTGCCGTGCAGCTAGCCTGCCTGAAGCTGGGATGGACCCCTTGGAGGGGCACTGATCTCGACGACGAGGCCCTCTTCCTCCTCATCAACCAGTCGGTTCGCACGGCAACAGGGCTTGGCATTGTGTGGTTCGTCGCTCGGCCCTACCAGCCACTGCCCAGCGACCTCTTCCACTTTGGTAGGTGCCCTTTGGGGCAGGTGCTCTAAGGCTCTCTCCCACTCTGTTGGCATCGTGTGGGTGGTCACCCGCCTTATCAGCCACTGCCCAACGACCTCTTACACTGGGGTAGGTAGGTGCCTTCTGGGGAGGGTGCTTTCTGGTTGGGTGCTTCTAAGGTGGGTGCGTGCCTTAAGCACTATTGTCCTCCCCTTATCTCTCCCTCCGCCCACACTCCCCTCCCTCATCCTCCGTCAATTCAGGATTGGAGAACCCATTTAGGCGATGTTTTTAAGGGTGTTTTTTAGAATTTTCAAAAGCACCCTGCAAATTCAGGATTGGAGCACCCATTTAGGCGATGTTTTTAAGGGTGTTTTTTAGAATTCTCAAAAGCACCCTGGAAATTCAGGATTGGAGCACCTGTTTACACGATGTTTTTTAGGCGCCTCAAAACTTGGCACTCTTTCCCTCCTCCTATCTCTCCTTCCTCCCACACTCCCCGTCCTCATCCTCGCACCTCCTTTTGAGGCGCCTAGAAAGCAAACCCTTACTTGTCGCACGGGGTGGTTGTGGTTCAGTTGGCATCTTCACTGCTAGTTTCCGTCCCTCGTCACTCCCAACCACTCCCCTTCCCCATCCTCGCAGAATCCTATCATTTAAGATTTCAGTAACTGATGACTTCAACTTTCCTTCTGAGGATCCATTTCACTGTTGTCAGTCACCCATGCTCCGTATGCCGCAAGCTCCCTAGTGGTGCTCTTGAAGATCCGTTTCACTGTTGTCCGTCACCCATGCTCCGTATGCCGCAAGCTCCCTAGTGGTGCTCTTGAAGATCCGTTTCATTGCTGTCAGTCACCCATGCTCCGTATGCCGCAAGCTCCCTAGTGGTGCTCTTGAAGGTCCCTTTCATTGCTGTCAGTCACCCATGCTCCGTATGCCGCAAGCTCCCTAGTGGTGCTCTTGAAGGTCCCTTTCATTGCTGTCAGTCACCCATGCTCCGTATGCCGCAAGCTCCCTAGTGGTGCTCTTGAAGGTCCCTTTCATTGCTGTCAGTCACCCATGCTCCGTATGCCGCAAGCTCCCCAGTGGTGCTCTTGAAGATCCGTTTCATTGTTGTCAGTCACCCATGCTCCGTATGCCGCAAGCTCTCTAGTGGTGCTCTTGAGGGTCCATTTCACTGTTGTCAGTCACCCATGCTCCGTAAGGCGCAAGCTCCCTAGTGGTGCTCTTGAGGGTCCATTTCACTGTTGTCAGTCACCCATGCTCCGTACGGCGCAAGCTCCCTAGTGGTGCTCTTGAGGGTCCGTTTCACTGTTGTCAGTCACCCATGCTCCGTATGCCGCAAGCTCCCCAGTGGTGCTCTTGGTGCTCTTGAGGATCCGTTTCACTGTTGACGATGGTTGATTGTCCTGAGCTGGTGGGCGCATCTTAATCGCAAGCCCTCTTTTTGAGGTGCCTAAAAATGGTGTGCGCATCTTAATCGCAAGCCCTCTTTTTGAGGTGCCTAAAAAATGGTGTGCGCATCTTAATCGCCGGCCCTCTCCTCTTTCCCCCACCCACTTCCCCCCACTCCCCTCCACTCCACCCCACCCCACCCCACTCCACACCCCACCCCACCCCACCCCACCCCACCCATGCACCATCTCTTTCATCAGGCTTGAGGACCCGTTTAGTTGTCGCAAGGGGTAGCTGTGGGCCGGCGTGGGCGTTTTGACAGCTAGTGTCTGGACCCACCCACCCATTCCACCCCCTCCCTCTTTCCCCCCTGTCACGGGCCGGCATGGGCGTCTGGACCGCTAGTCTCCTTCCCTCGCCCATTAACTCCCCTCCCTCCCCCTTCGCCCACTGCAGGGTTTGAAGACCCGTTTAGTTGTCGCAAGGGGTGGTTGTCGTGGGCTGGCGTGGGCGTTTTGGCTGCTGGGCTGGTGGTGTTTGCCACTGCCAGTGCTACAACGGCGCTTTCAGGAGGGATAGACGCACCTAGAGAGGTACTGCTCTGCTACTGTTGTGCTCTTGTTGATCTGTCATGGGCCCGTGTTGGCATGCTAGTTTCTGGGTGGGCTGGTGGTGTTTGCCACTGCCACTGCTACAACGGTGCTTTCAGGGGGGATAGGCGCTCCTAGAGAGGTACTTCTAGGCTCCTGTGGTGCTCTTGGTTGTTGGTTTGTCGTGGGCTGGCGTGGGCGTGCTGTCCGTTGGGCTGGTGGTGTGTGCCACTGCTACTGCTACCACCATGTCGTCCGGAGGCATAGTCCCCCCTTGAGAGGTACCGCTATGCTCCTGTGGTGCTCTTGGTTGTTGGTTTGTCGTGGGCTGGCGTGGGCGTGCTGTCCACGGGGCTGGTGGTGTGTGCCACTGCTACTGCTACCACCATGTCGTCCGGAGGCATAGACCCCCCTTGAGAGGTACCGCTATGCTCAATGTGCGTTACTGAACTGTTTGGCTTCTTGCCATGTTTTGAGGCGCCTCAAAACAAAATGAGAGGTACTGCTATGCTCAGTGTGCGTTACTGGACTGTTTGGCTTCTTGCCATGCTGACTTCTGGGCTGGGTGGTCTTTGCCACTGCTACTGCTGCAACGGCGCTTTCAGGGGGGATAGACGCACCTCGAGAGGTACTTTTTGGCACAACGCACTCTCTCTCTTGCATCTCATGTGTTGACTGCTGGGCCTGTGGACTGCAGCTGATCGGCGTGGGAAAGGGGGCGGGATTTCCTCCTGGGATCACTAAAAGCCCCCCCCCCCCAAAAAAAAGGTGTGTAATGAGTCGTCTTTTGAGTCGACTCAAAAATCGACTCATTACTCTTGGGATCACTGAAAGCCCCCCCCACCAAAAAAAAAACCTGCTGGGCCTGTGGTGTTACAATTGCGCAATGCTACAATTGCGCTTTCAGGGGGGATAGAACCCTTTAGATAGGTACTGCTATGCTCTTGATGATCTATCATGGACTGGCGTTGGCATGTTGATTGCTGAGCTGCTGGTATTTGCCACTTTTGAGAATTCTAAAAAATGACTCCACTTTGCCACTGGTACTGCCGCTACCACTGCACTGTCAGGAGGCACATCACCCCTAGTAGTGTGTGCTGCGTTTAGTTTTGACGCGCCTCAAAAATCCGCGTGATAGGAGTCTAGTTTTGAGGCGCCTCAAAAATCCGTGTGATAGGAGTCTAGTTTTGAGGCGCCTCAAAACTAGACTCCTATCACTGCCGCTACCACTGCACTGTCAGGAGGCACATCGCCCCTAGTAGTGTGTGCTGCTTCTCTCCTCTTGCGGCGCGTTTCGAGGGGACTTTGACTTGACTGAAAAAATAGACGCCTCTTGTGTGTGCTGCGGAGTCTATTTTTGAGGCGCCTCAAAAATAGACTCCTCTTGTGTGTGCTGCACAATGCACCACATCTCCCCTTCCTGCGCCTTTTAGGAAGCAGACTTATGGGTTCCTCCAGTGCTCCCCATGTATGTCGTGGTGCTCAGCATCTCCTTTCAGCACTGGTGCTGAAAAAATGGAAAACTTTTGAGTCGACTGAAAAAACTCTCCTTTCAGCTCTGGTGCTGAAAAAGTGGAAAACTTTTGAGTTGACTGAAAAAACTCTCCTTCCAGCACTGGTGCTGAAAAAATGGAAAACCGCCTGTAGAGCCTGTGGCGCTCCCCATCTATGTCGTGGCGCTCCCCATCTATGTCGTGGCGCTCCCCATCTATGTCATGCCGCTCCCCATCTATGCCGTGGTTCAAGCATCTCCTTTCAGCACTGGTGCTCTCATCGTCGTTGCTGCCATGCTGTTGCCTCCCGTTCTACCCTCTATGCCCCTCTCCCCACCAGGATGCAAATGCGCTGGTCCAAGTGCTGCCCATAATAGCCGCCTCTCCTTTCAGCACTGCCCTGGGGCACCTCAAACCAATGTTCTCCCTCCCTCCCCTGCCTCTCTGCTGTAATCCCTCCTCTCCCCCATTCAGGATGCAGACGCCTTGGTTCAAGTGCTGCCGATAATCGCCGCCTCTCCCTTCAGCACCGGGGCTCTCATCGTCGTTGCTGGCGTGCGTGGTGGTGGCTCCCACTCACACTTCCTGCTGTGCTGTGTCCATCCCTGTTGCGCCCCTCAGGATGCAGACGCCTTGGTCCAAGTGCTGCCGATAATAGCCGCCTCTCCCTTCAGCACTGGGGCTCTCATTTTTGTTGCTGGCGTGCTTGCGCCCATCCTAGAGGAAACCATCTTTCGAGCCTTCCTGCTTACGTCTTTGACTAAATGGTGGGTCACCTTTTTTATGAGGTAATAGTCACCCCTGGTTGGCTACCCGCAAACAATCAGCACCGGTGCTCTCATCTTCGTTCGTGGCTGGCAAGCTGGCGCCCATCCTTGACGAAACCATCTTTCGAGCCTTCCTGCTCACATCCCTAACTAAATGGTAGGCAATTCCCTAGGAGGTATGTCACCCCCACATTTGTCCCTGGTGCTTTCATCTCATCTTCGTGGCTGGCGTGCTCGCGCCCATCCTATTAGAAACCATCTTTCGAGCCTTCATACTCACGTCCCTAACCAAGTGCTACGTTACCTCCTAAAATCAGCGTGGCTCGCCCCGTATCCTAGAAGAAACCATCTTTCGAGCCTTCATACTCACACCCCTAACCATGTTGTGGTTTCCTTTTCACCTCTAGGTATGAAGACTTCGCCCCACCCCCCCCTGTCAAACATGGCAGGATGCCGGTACCCCTGGCAGTAGCAGGCAGTTCCTGTGCGTTTGCTGCTGCGCATGACACCCAACGAGTTTCCAAAGCTTGCTGCTCTCCTCCGCCCTCTGCACGCCCCCATCTTTTTACATACACAACACACCAGGATGCCGGTACCCCTGGCAGTGACTGGTAGTGCCTGTGCGTTTGCCAGTGTTGCTATCTCATCCATCCATCATCCCTCCCCCAACCCACCTACTCCCACTGTGTCCCTGTCAAACATGGCAGGATGCCAGTGCCCCTGGCAGTAGCGGGCAGTGCCTGTGCATTTGCTGCGGCGCATATGACACCCAACGAATTTCCAAAGCTTGCAGCTCTTGGTAGGTTTCCCTTTGTTTGACCTCCATTCACTTACTCACTCGCGTTTCTCCCCTATATCTGAATCTCAAGTGAGGCGCGTTCAAGCCGTTGACCCGAATTGTCCATGATTATTAATCTTGCGCCCAGCAAACTGGGGGGAAACAGGGTCGTGCGAAAGTGTGCCGAGAGGTTGGGTTTCGTCCCCTCAGAAGAAGTTGGGCGAGCCCACTGGCTGAGTTTGTCGAAATCGACGGCCGAAATTTTCGACCATCAATTCTGTGGCCCAGAGTTGGATTCTGAGCCGCACAATCGTCGCCCAAAACTGTTGTACCCAAAAAGTCCTAAAATGCACCCACACTCGGCCCTTTCAAACTTCTTTGCTGCGCTGCTTTTCCCGAGCTGCTGTGAGGGGTTGAGTGCGGTTTTCATGGTTAATAACCTTGATGATTAAATCCTGCAATTGGGGCCAACGGCTTTAGAAGAAGGCCATTTACTCACTGCCTCCTCACCTCCCTTCATTTGTCATGAGTCTATTCTCGACTGGCGCAGATTGCTTTTGTACGTAATGAGTCTATTTTTTAGCCGACTAAAAAAAAGGCTCATTACACACCACCTCCCTTCATTTCACTCTCTTGGTGTTGAGCTTCACCAATGTTCACACGTGCAATCTCCTCTGCCTTGCATTTGCCACTCGCTCCTGGTTCTCACTCTCTCTGTCTCTCTGTCTCGCTGGCTCTTCACCCCGCTTATTACTGGAGGCTTGGTGTTGTGCTTCACGTATGTTCGCACGCACAACCTCCTCTCCTTACTACTCATCACCCATTCTCTCAGCTCTTACCTCTCGCTCCCTGTCCGCCCCTGCACCCCACTTTATCACCGCAGGTTTGGTATCGGGCTTCGCGCATGTTCGCACGCGCAACCTCCTCGCCTTCGCTCATCACCCATTCTCCCACCGTTTTATCCATCTGTCCCTGTCCGCCCCTGTATCCCACTTGATCTTCCACAGGCTTGGTATTGGGCTTCACGTATGTTCGCACGCGCAACCTCCTCTCCCCGATAATCATTCATTCTGTGTGGAACTCAGGAGTTATCATCATCCTCACCTTGTTACGGGTATGTTTATTGCACTTCAGCGTTATGCCAGTATTCCCAGTCTCCTCTCACCAATAAGTATTCATTCCATAAAACTCAGGGGTTATCATTCTAGCGTTTCTAAGGGTATGTATATACTTGCTGTCGGAGCCAGTGCGCCTCTGTCCCAATCTCCTCTCCCCATTTTTTATTCATTCCGTTTGGAACTCGGGAGCTATCATCATTCTCACCCTGCTTCAGGCTTGCTTTGCTACCCAGTATCCCTGTAGTGTGCCCTGTGTTGCCGCTGCAATCTCCTCTCACGCCAAGGATCGTTAATTTTGCGTGGAACTTTGGAGTTATCATTTGCACACTCTGTCTAAAGTAGATTTCTCTTAGTCTCTTCTCCCCTTCCTCCCTCCAGCCAAACGAGCATGACATACAAGAGAACATATGAGGAGCTCTCTCTTGTCACCTCTTGTGTTTCATGTGCCCACTCTCTGTGATGTTAATTTGTCGCTTCTCCCCTTCCTCCCTCCAGCCAGACGGGCATGGCATACAAGAGATCATATATGAGTATCATGGAAAGCGGCATGATTCCCCAGCATTATGCGCGTGCTCTTTCAACCCACCCCTCCCCTTTCTCCCTCCAGATGGAGGGGTATGACATTCAAGAGATCATATGAGGAGCTCTCTCCTGTGACTTCTTGCGCGTCAGTCAAGAGAAGCCTCAATATTCGCCGCCTGTTTGACCACTAAGCACACCGCCCTCAACACATGGTCGATACAGCTCTTTTGAGGGCCCTGGAAACCTGCCTGGCAGTCACAAACACACCTTCCCAACCACCTTCCCGCCTTTGTGCACGCATACACACATACACCCACCCTCCCAACCACATTCCCAACCACATTCCAAACCACATTCCCAAGCACATTCCCAACCACATTGCCAGCCGCATTCCCGACCACATTCCCAACCACATTCCCGACCACATTCCCGATTTCCAACCACATTCCGAACCACCTTCCTTCCCAACCTCATTCCCAGACACTTTCCCAACCACATTCCCGACCACATTCCCAACCACATTCCCGACCACATTCCCAACCACATTCCCGATTTCCAACCACATTCCGAACCACCTTCCTTCCCAACCTCATTCCCAGACACATTCCCGACCACATTCCTGACCACATTCCCAACCACAGTCCCAAACACATTCCCAACCACATTCCCAACCACATTCTCAACCACATTCCCGACCACCTTCCCGACCACATTCCCAACCACATTCTCCACCACATTCCCGACCACATTCCCAACCACATTCCGAGCCATCTGCCCACCATCCAGTGCCGTGCCGCGCCGAGCCAGTGTGTCTCATCACTATACAGTGTCTTGTGATACCCTGTTTTGTATGTACCCATACAAACCCTCGGGCCACAGCATCCCTGAGATTCCCTACAAGGTCAGAGATTAGTTCAGGAATCTTGTACCCTATTCTGTAATGATAGTTGCTAGCCGGTCTTTCTAAGGATAGAAGCCAAGGTCGCGGCGCTGTGCTGCTGCCAGCCATCCATCCTATCATAGGGTGATTGCCGTAACAAGTTAGCTTTTAATGCGGCTGCAAATCCTGTGGCACTGCACTGTCTGCTGCCAGTACTCTCCTACACCCATTGTACAACAGCATCATTGTTACTAACTGCTGAATTCAGATGCCACCTAGAGTAGAATGCCCCCCCCCCCTCGTTTTCTGTTCTGTCACCCGCTCCAGCTGCACATTCCGGGGCACAGCGCTGTGCTGCCAATACCCAATCTAGTTCCACTGAGCTAGATTGCTCTATGCCGCTGCGTCTTACTACTAGTGCCCTCCTCTCCTATGTTGAGGCACAGTTGCAGCTGCACATCCTGAGGCGGGGGCACTGCACTGCAGAACTTCTTTACCAATATGTGGAGCTACACTACCTAAACGCATCACTAGTGTTTAGAAACTGCGCCCTCCTCTCGTGTTCCGTCCGACACTAGCCGCAGCTGCACATCCTTGGGCATGGCACTGTGCTGCCAGTGTACTCCATAGTGAACGCCCCTCAACCAGTTTGAACAACAGCATACTGGGTTTTAGTTTATTACTGTATTACGGTGGTACTTGGTGCCCCCCTCTCTTGTGTTCCGACCAACTCCATTTGCAGCTGCACAGCCTGCCAGGGGCATTGCACTGTGCTGCCAGTACTTCTACTTAACTCTTTAGTGCCCCCCTCTCTTGAGTTCTGACGCCAGCTGCTGCTGCACATCCTGCCAGGGGCACTGCACTGCGCCGCCACCGCCAGTGTACGCCATACCAGCACTCTTGTTATGATTGCCGTAACACACACTGCTAGTGCCCCCCTCTCTTGTGCTCTGACACCAGCTGCTGCTGCACATCCTGGGGCACGGCGCTGTGCTGCCAGTACTCCATCGTGAACTCCCCTTTACCCTGTAAGGCATTGCATTTACGCAGGCAAGACATTGTCGAGTGCAGGCGAGACAAGGGGCATAAGGGCACAAAAGTTGAGGCAGAAACTGAACCAGTGGAAATTGCTCCTTGTCGAAGCATGCTGCATCCATGCATTATCATCGGATCAGATGTCGCACCCATATCGTGTCATCTCACACACCTCATGTCACCTCTCCCATATCATCTCCCCTCACCCATGCCATGTTACCTCTCCCATGCCATGTCACCTCTCCCATGCCATGCCACCTCTCCCATGCCATGCCACCTCTCCCATGCCATGCCGCCTCTCCCATGCCATGTCACCTCTCCCATGCCATGTCACCTCTCCCATGCCATGTCACTCACCTGCGTCATGGAGCGAAGGTCTGTTGAGTAGCCAAACATGTTGTTGAGAGGCACCTGCAGGGAGAGGGAGGATCGGCATATACGGAGGGAGGATAGGCGTAATAGGGGGCGAGAATAGAGGCAATGCAGAGAGAGGATAGGGTAAGGAGCATGAGGTGTAACGTGGGTCATGGGACAAAGGTCCGTTGAGTAGCCAAACATGTTGTTGAGAGGCACCTGCAGGGGGGAAGGAAGGCAGGTGAAAGGAAGGTCACCTGGTGGTAACCCACCTGAGCATTGGTGGTAACCCACCTGAGCATTGGTGGTAACCCACCTGAGCATTGGTGGTAACCCACCTGAGCATTGGTGGTAACCCACCTGAGCGTTGATGGTGATCTCATCCCCGTCCTGCTCGCTACCCACAATAATGCCCTTGCGCCTGTGCACACACATACACATGCATACATGCACACATGCGCACATGCATACGTACACACACGGACACGTGCACACATGCACATGTACACGTACACGCACTCACATGGACACACCCGCACATGTGCACGCACAAAAACAATCACACATAAAAAATGGGAGGGAAAATACGGGAAAGTCTTAATTTAACGGCCATTCCCAAAACCCTCTAGACCCGTGCGAGGCACGAGTGGTGTTAATGTTGGCTAGATGGAGACTTAGCACAGGTCAACATTAGCACCAATCCTGCCTCGCAACCAACAGGGAATTCGGCCACCTCTTCTAAGAGTCGTACATGCAAAGGCAGGTGGGCTGCGGATGCCTCATTTTCATCAAGTCTGTTGGTTAGTACAAAAAGCAAATTCCAGAGGGTGTGATTGCGTTTAAGAGAGAGGAAAGAGTCCGGTCAGAAAAAGAAGCTCTTGTTTAGTTTATGCAGCCAGCTTGAGAGTCGTTAAATGTTGGCTAATGTTGTTGAGAGGTTTCCGAGCGGTACTAATTTTGGCCAGATAGATACGTAACAGGTCTTGCTTCTCAACTGACTATGCAATTTCGGCAGATCACGGAGCAGGGCTTCACGGAGCCTCAACAGATCACGATGGATCTATGAGAATTCCAAAAAAATATTTCGTTGGAGTGAGTTGGTTATTGAGAATTCCGAAAAAAAACGAAAGATCACAGAGGATATATGAGAATTCCAAAAAATCCCTCGCTAGCTTAACGAATCCCCAACAGCTCGCAGTAGTGCCAATACTAGCTGCTTACTGTGACCTGCTGAGGCTTGGGCTCACACCACGCAGCATACTAGCTGCGAGCTGTGAGCTCCCAATTTGGCTTAACGTATCCCCAACAGCTCCCAAAAGCGCGAGCAGTAATACTAGCTGCTCACTGTGAGCTGCTGAGGTTTTGGCTCACTGGCTGTCACCATACTGCGACTAATAATTTCGTTCCCACACGTTGTTACTGCCACGAATCGTTTCATCAACCCGCCTCTTGACAATCCCCATGGACTCACCTGTTGAAAAACCCACTGGTCCCAGGGACCCACCTGTTGATATTCCCAATGATCGTCCCTTGGAACTCCACTGGTGCTTTCACTTCCACTCCCATGACGGGCTCTAGGATCACAGGGCGCGCCTTCTCATAGCACTGGCAGGGGGAGAGGTTGGGGTTTAAGGTAATGGGCAGTTGTAAGTGTCAGCGTGGCCTGGAAGCCAATTCCCTTCCACCAAACCCCCATCATGGGCTCTAGCAACACAGGGCGCGCCTTCTCTAACAATGCAAGCCAAGGGGGGGCCGAAGGACGCATGGTGGAAGGAAGAGCAAAACAACACAATAGTGGCACCGCACCCCCGTCGCGGGCTAGTGAATGCGAGCTCGCTGCTGTCCACAGCGTGAGAGGCACCACCAGTAAGCACACGGCGAGTGTTAACAGCAGGCGGGCAGGAGTAGTTTTCATTTATCCATGCATCCAATGCGGCAGGCTCAGATGGACAAACCTGTCTGAACGCGAGCTCGCTACTGTCCACAGCGTGGGAAGCACCATCAGCGAGCACATGGCAGGCGGGCGGGCACCATTAGTTAGCAGTTGTTTTCATCCATCCAGCGTAGTGTCGCAGGCTCAGATGGACTCACCTGTCTGAAGGCATAGAGAGCAGCGAGCTTGAATGCGAGCTCGCTACTGTCCACAGCGTGGGAAGCACCGTCATTGAGCACACAGCGAATGTTGACCACAGGATGGCCGATCAATCCGCCACTGGAAGGAAGAGAAGCGGTAAGTGGGGGTGGAAGTGGGAGAGGTGGTGGGGGAGGGAGGAGGGCATATAGAATGTCAAGAAAATACACAGAGTGGGAGGCGCCGTCGTTGAGCACACAGCGGGTGTTGACCACGGGATGGCCGATAGCTGTGCAGTGCTGTGCAGTGCTGCCACTGTGCTATCCACCTCGCACAGCACCCAGTAGCACCTGATCAAAAATTGATCATCAGACTGTGGAAGTCTCATCTGTTAGCAGCCTCCAGGAAGCCCTTCTCAATGCCGGGGAAGAAGTTGGACGGGATCCGTGCTGTGCTGCCACTGTGCTACCCACCGCTTACCACTCTCCCTAGTAGTGGCACTTCACCACTAACACCCACTAACACCCCCTGTGGAAGTCTCACCTGTTGGCGGCCTCCAGGAAGCCCTTCTCAATGCCGGGGAAGAAGTTGGACGGGATGGCAGTGCCAACGATCTCGTTTTCAAACACCACTCGGGAGTCCGAGCCCGATGCATCTTCCAACGGCTCGATGTAGCTGATGGGGGGAGAGAGGGGAGGTGGGAGGGGGGGTGGAGGGGAGGGGGGAGAGAGGGAGGGGAGGAGACCCAGGCTGCATCTTGAGACGCCTAAACGCACAGCTGTTCTCACGATCTCGTTTTCAAACACCACTCGAGACTCCGGACCGGATGCATCTTCCAACGGTTCGATGTAGCTGGTGGGGAATGGGGGAAGGGGGAGGAGTGGTGGTGGGGGGGGGGCGGGATGAGAAGAACCAGGTTGGGATGTAGAAGCGTCAACATATGGCCGTGCCACCGATCTCGTTTTCAAACACCACTCGAGACTCTGAAGCGGATGCGTCCTCCAACGGCTCGATGTAGCTGATGGGGGGAGAGGGGGGAGGGGTGGTAGGGGGGAGAGGGAGAGGGGAGGAGAACCATGCTGCATCTTGAGACGCCTAAACCAAGATGCAGCATGGTTCTCCTCTGCGTTCAAAGATGCTGACACAGCTCAGCTGTGTCAAAGACCACTCGGGAATCCGAACCGGATGCATCTTCCAACGGCTCGATGTAGCGGGTGGTAGGCTGGTGGTGGTGGGGAAGGGGGGGAGAGGGAGGTGGGGGGGTGGCGAGGAGTGACGGAGGGCAAGCGATTTTTGAGTCGACTCAAAAATCACCTGCGGTGGTGGGGAAGGTGTTGTGGGTCTGATCCCCACCACCGAAACATGTTTGCTTGTTGATTCAATTCAAGGGCCGGTTGAGAGACTTTTTCGAGTTCACCTAATTTCTGAGGGTACAAGTTTTTTTCTAACTGTCAGTTTTTTTGCTAACGCGACCTTCCTACTCTGCTGCTACTCTTCATGACAACTGATCCCTGCGACTAAAAAATCACCTACGGTGGTGGGGAAGGGGGGGAGAGGGAGGTGGGGGGGTGGCGGGGTGTGACGGAGGGCAAGCGAGGGAGGCTGAGGAGTCTATTTTTGAGGCGCCTCAAAAATAGACTCCTCACGCCTCAAAATTTTTGAGGCGCCTCAAAAATAGACTCCTCACGCCTCAAAAGTTTTGAGGCGCCTCAAAAAGAGTGACGGAGGGCAAGCGAGGGAGGCTGAGAGCGGGATTCGAGGGGGCTGGCTGTTGAGGGAATAGCTCTGCTGCCGACAATCTCGTTATCAAGCACTACTCAAGACTCTCTGAACGGGACGCGCCTTCCAACGGCTCGATGCACCAGGGGTTGACCGGGAGAGATTTTTTAGAACTCTCACCTACAGCACAAATCACCTACAGCTCGACGCAGCAGGTGGAGGGTGGATGTGGGGTGGGTGCGGATTCAGAATCTAGGAGAGAGTGAAGGATTGAAACAACATGCTCACACATTCTAAGGTGATTTTTGAGTCGACTCAAAAACACATTCTTGTCCCAAATATCCGCCTGAAGAGTCTATTTTTGAGGCGCCTCAAAAATAGCTTCCACCCAGCCATTTAGTTTCTTGGGAGGAAGATTCCCTTCTTGTCAAACAGGTGTTGAGATGTTTTGGGGCATCTGAAGATTCTCCCCCCCCCCCCTCCAATCCCTCCCCCACCCCCCAATCCCCCCCCCCCAAAAAAATAGAGCATAGGCACTCATCCAATGACACGACTGCACTGCCCTTGCCCTCCGATCTGCTTCTTGTTCTCCGCTCTGCTTCTTGTGCGTGTAGTCAAGCTCCGCCCTCTGAGTGACTGCCTCCTGCACATCATTTCATAGACAACTAGAGCGTGGCGGGCCCACCCTCCCCATCCATCCCCATCCCTCCCCCACCCCTCCCCCCAAAAAGAGCAACGGCACTCACCCCATGACACGGCCGTACTGCCCCTGCCCTCCGCTCTGCTTCTTGTGCGTGTAGTCAAACTCCGCCCTCTGAGTGACTGTCTCTCGGAAGTTAACCTGGGGCTTGCCCACTACTGTGTCCACCTGGCAGGTAAAGCAGAAGGGGAGGACGGAAGAGAGGGGGGGATGGAGAAAGAAGAGTTGAATCAAATTCCCCCCTCTGCGTAACTGTCTCCCGGAAATTCACTTGAGGCTTACCCACCACTGTATCCACCTGGCAGGCGCAAGAGGAGAGGAAGAGCAAACGAAGATGAGAGGAGGAAGAGAGGGAGGGACGTCCGGGGTCAGTCAAGCTCTTCTGCAGGAATTCTTCTGCAGTCAAGCTCTGCTTCCTGCGTGGAGGAGAAGGGGGAGGGAAGGAGGAATTCTTCTGCAGTCAAGCTCTGCTTCCTGCGTTTCCGGCGTTCAACTCTGGCTGTCTATCGTTTTGGAACTTGTTGCCGCTTGCCCAACATGGTATCCACCTGCCAGGGGAACGTCCGTGGCGAGAAGTGCGAGGAGGAGGGAGCTCTTCTGCAGTCAAGCTCTACTTCCTGCGTCTCCTGCACCCAGCTCTGGCTGTCTGTCGTTCGGAATTTACTAGCGACTTCCCCATCACCACTGCATCCACCTGGCAGGGGGCAGAGGAAGAGAGGGAGGGACCCCCCTGGGGTCAGTAGTGGGAGGAGGAGGAATTCTTCTGCAGTCAAGCTCTGCTCCCTGCGGCTTCTGCGCCCAAATCTGGTTGACTGTCGCCCAGAGGAGGTTAACTTGCGGCTTGCCCACCAGTGCGTCTACCTGTCATGTGGTGAAACTTGAAGGAGACAAGGAGGGCGGGCCACGGTCGCGGAGACAGTTGATGGGCAGTTCACAATCCGTGTGTAATGAGTCGATGTTTTAGTCGACTCAAAAATCGACTCATTACACACGGTCGCGGAGACAGTTGATGGGCAGTTCACAATCCGTGTGTAATGAGTCGATGTTTTAGTCGACTCAAAAATCGACTCATTACACACGGTCGCGGAGACAGTTGATGGGCAGTTCACAATCCGTGTGTAATGAGTCGATTTTTAGTCGACTCAAAAATCGACTCATTACACACGGTCGCGGAGACAGTTGATGGGCAGTTCACAATCCGTGTGTAATGAGTCGATGTTTTAGTCGACTCAAAAATCGACTCATTACACACCACGGTCGCGGAGACAGTTGACAATTGTGGCAGAGGGCCGAATGAAAAGGGCGAGATCGCATTCTGAATCAACTCAAAGGGCAGCGCGCAGAATGCAAAAGTCAAGATACATTACTCTCCCTTAAAACCGGGAACCCTGAACCCTTAGGCTGGTTCAATGGTCAATATTAACCCACCTCCATGTTCCTTTTTTTAACCGCTCCACACATGTAGGTGTCCATATACAGCAACGCAAAAATAAAACCTTAACCATACATATGTATAACAAACCAATATATACATACATATATATATATATATATATATATATATGCCCGTACAGTACAAGAACACCCACCTTGTACTCTCTCTTGATACGCTCCACATAGATGTCCAGATGCAGCTCACCCATGCCCGATATAATGGTCTGCAGGTTTCAGACGGAGAAAGGGGTAAGGGGGAAAGGGGGGGATAAAGGGGGGAAAAAGGGGGGGGGGGGGGGGGGGGGGGGGGGGAGGGGGGCGACATGACATAGATGTCCAGATGCAGCTCACCCATGCCTGCCCAATATGATGGTCTGCAGAGGGGGTGGATGGGAGTTTGGAGCAGGCATGGAGATTGAACGGGGAGAGGCGCCTAAGACAGAGAACACTACCAGGCGACTTACCTACCCCTCATATAATCACCGCCCTCTAAGCTCACCTCGCCTTTCTAAGCACACCTCGCCCCCGTCATGACCTAGGCTGACTTGGAATGTAGGTTCCTGCCTGCGGCTTGTAAGCACGTCACCTTATTGGTTGATTACAAACTGGTAATCTTTCCAATTAACCAGATACCCCTAGAAGCGCACCTCGCCGCTGTCTGTCAGTCAGGTTCCAGGCAGACTCGGAAGGTGGCCATGCGACTTGTACTCACTTCACCATTTTGGTGATCAGGGTCAAACGGTCAACCCCCAAACCCAGAATCCCGTATTTTTCTTAGGGGTCCACCAGTTGGCCCTCTCAGCTCACCTCCCCACTGTCAGGGTCCAGGCTGACTCGGAACGTGGGATCCTGTGGCGCATACTCCTCACTACACCATTTTGGTGATCAGGGTCAAACCCCAAACGACAAGCCCAGAACCCTGTATTATCCGAGGTGGTTGACCAGTCAACCCTAGAAGCTCACCTCGCCGCTGTCAGGGTCCAGGCTGACTCGGAAGGTGGGGTCCTCCTTCTGAAAACGGTTCAGCGCCTTGGAAAACTAAAAGAAAAAAAGAGAGCAGGGGTACAGAATGCACGGGAGAAAAGGAGGGGGGAAGAACGGTGGGAATGGTGCGGGTGGGGTGGGTTGGCGTGAGGGGAGTGTTGCTTCAGAAAAGGTGGGATTCCGCTTCTGGTAACGACCTAGCGCCTTGAGGAGTTAAATAGGTTTGGAACAAAACGAGGGATGGCGAAAAAGAGAGAAGAACAGTAGGTTTGTATCTAGCGATCACGCTCAATTGGTCGACTCACCAGTGCGCCCCCATTTTTTTCAACGGGTAATGGAGAGAGCCATGACAGGCTCGGCACATTCAAGGTGACTGTTGACTAGGTATGGGCAACATATAATCGGCTTCTGAGCCGACCCTAAACAAACCTATGCGCCCTCACTCTTTGAAGCAGGGGGGATGGAACGAGACATGACATACTCGGGGGCACATTCATCATGCTATCACTTGGTTGTGATAAACAGGCACGGGATTATTTTGAGCTGTCGGTGAGTCCCGCTGTCTTTTGAAGCCTAAGACATTGACAGAGACATGACTGGCTGGCTCGGGCACGCGCATGTTGACTTTCCTCACCTGAGCACTCCTCCTGAGCACTCCTGAGCACACCCCCAACCGCACACCACCCCTCTCACCTGAGTCCCGCCGTCTTTTGAAGCCGGAGAGATGGAAAGCGACATGACTGGCTCGGGCACGTTCATGCTGGTCATTGTGAAGCGCACCGAGCCGTCTGTGAAGGTGTCACCTGGTGGAGGGGGGAAGCAGTGGGAGAGAAATACTAGTACAGGCTAGACTGGCTCGGCCACGCTCATGCTGGTCATTGTGAAGCGCACGGAACCATCGGTGAAGGTTTCACCTGGTGGAGGGGGGAGGTAGTGGGAGGGGAGTACCAGTACAGGCCAGATTGGCTCGGCCACGCTCATGCTGGTCATTGTGAAGCACACCGAGCCGTCTGTGAAGGTGTCGCCTGGTGGGTGGGCGGGCGAGAAGGGGGTTGGGATGAGAGGAATATTGCCATAAGCAGTGATGAGGGCAGACGCAAGCACGCTCATGCTAGTCACTGTGAAGCACACTGAGCAGTCTGTCGAAGTGTCGCCTGGTGCACCTCACACTCACGCACACACACTCAAACACACACGCACACACTCACGCTCACACCGGCTAACTCACCCGATGCACAGTCCACTCCAAACATGGCCACGATCTCGCCTGCCCCTGCCTCTTGAATGTCCTGCAGGGAGAGGGAGAGGCGAAGGAGAGGGAGGGAGGTAGAGAGGAAGAGAGGACAAGGATGAAAGTTGGAAGAAGGAGCAAACCACATACTCACTCAATCATGGCCACGATCTTGCCCGACCCCGCCTCTTGAATGTCCTGCGGTAGGGGGCTGGGGGGGGGAGGGAGAGAGGGGGGAGGGAGGGGGAGGGAGGGGGAGGGAGGGGGAGGGGGGGCGTAAAGGGTGGGATGGTAACGGCGCCACAAAGCAGTCCACTCCAAACATGGCCACGATCTTGCCCGCCCCCGCCTCTTGAATGCCCTGCGGGGAGAGGGAGGGGGGAGGGTGAGGGAGGGGGGAGGGTGAGAGGGAGAGGGGAAGGTGAGAGGGAGGGGGGAGGGTGAAAGGGAGGGGGGAGGGTGAGAGGGAGGGGGGAGGGTGAGAGGGGGTACTGTCTGGGATGGAAAAACGATTCAAGGGAAAAAAATTGGGCTAGGGAACGACGCCACAACACACTCCACTCCCCCCCTCTTGGTTAAGTAGTTTAGTTTCGAGACTTCTCAAAACGACGCCACAACACACTCCACTCCCCCGCCTCTTGAATGCCCTGAGACAGGGAAGGGAAGTGAGGGAGGGTGGAATGGGACGGTCATAGGGCGGGAGAGGCGACCAACAAAAACATCAGGGAGAGAAGGAAATTCAACACGGTGCCACCACAGGTACGTACATCATGAAATAGATGACTTTTGACTTTTGAGGCTACTAAAAAAACAACACCAAAAACGTCGGGGAGAGAATGGAATTCAACACGGTGCCACACGGTGCCACGCGGTGCCATGCGGTGTCACACGGTGCCACGCGGTGCCACACACGTACATGATGAATTAGCACTGGTGCGCTGCTGCTTCTTGTTTTCCCATCGCGAGTACATCCAGGATCCGATAGATAAAAGAAAAAGCAGCACATGCACACTCACTCACCTGCTACCTGGGGGAGTAGGTCACATGCACGTGCACACTCACTCAACCGCTACCTCTAACTTGTTCCGATCAGCCCCTCACCTCACCTCCATGTCATCAGCATGCATGCGCACAAGGCGGGGGACCTGGAAGCGCACACACACTAGCTTTATCACTCACTAGCTTTATCACTCACTCACTCACTCACTCACCCACCCACCAACTCACCCACTCACCCATTACGTACCTGCACTGCACCAGCCCCTCACCTCCATGTCGTCAGCGTGCATGCGCACAAGGCGAGGAACCTAGAATCGGGCAAACAATAAGAGCAGAGAAGAAAGGCAGGTACAGGCAACAATCAGTCAACTATCAAGCGAATGGATACAGTGCAGTGAGGGGCCTAGAGAAACACACAAGACGAGATGAACGTGCACACGAAGAAGGCCTTCTTGTACACGAAGAAGAAACGTGGGCCACACGTGTACACAGTTGACAATCGTGGGTGGGTGTGGTCTAGTCGAGACGGTATAGGGTAATAATTAGACAGCAGCTTAGGACTTTCTTTTGTAGGTGGGGAAAAAAAAGGAAAAAAAATACTCTAATAAAACCTACAATTCTGTCACTGACTCCCTTGCCACATGTCACATCGCTGGACTAGGTGACTTTTGAGTCGACTCAAAAGTCACCTCGTTACAATTCTGTCACTGACTCACTGGCCTCATGTCACATTGCTGGACTCCCATCAAGATTCTTGACTCACCTTAATTGACTTTCTTTGACTCACCTTGATTGACTTTCTTTGACTCACCTTGATTGACTTTCTTTGACTCACCTTGATTGACTTTCTTTGACTCACCTTGACTTTCTTTCCCGTGCTGCAGTTGATGATGAATTCGCCTCTGCGCAACGTGCCCTCGTAGATCCTGAGGGGGTTTAGAGAGAAAGACACAAGGACAGCAGGGCAGGGACGAGGAGCAAGTGGAAACGGAGGGGCACTAAGCTGACTGCTCCCGTGCTGCAGTTGATGATGAATTCGCCTCTGCGCAACGTGCCCTTGTGGATCCTGAGAGGAGGGTCAAGAACAGTATCAGAAGAAGAGGAGGCAACAGGTAAGAGATGGTTTCTGAATTTCCACCTGTGCTGTGCTGCAGTTGACAATGGTTTCCTCGCTTTAACGCAATGGAGCCTGCTAAAATTCGAGTAATGGAAGTTTGGTTATGAGGCTCCTCAAGAATACTCCTCAAACCTTGAGGCGCCTCAAAACCTGTTGCTCAGTCGACAATGAAAATAACCTCAAAGCAATGGAGCCTGCTAGACGGCAAGCTCTTGCGCATTGGCTAAGCACACGTAGACGCACGCATGCCCATGTGTGCGGCACGTCATACGCATGCTCATGCACCCCCCGACCAAATTCTGCAGCAGGAACGCGCAGAATTCGGAATGACACCCAGCTGTGCATGCGCATGCACCCCCCGACCAAACCAAAACCAAGCTGCCCGACCACAAAGCTTGTTTATATGCCAGCCCAAACGTTCCATCTGCCTGTGTGGAAGGGACCTCTACAAGCACACAGCCTTGAGACGGATTGACACTCAAGCACGCACACACCTGAGGTAGGTCAGCTGGCCGAATCTCTCTTCCTCAAGCTTGAAGGCCAACCCAACCGGCGAGCCTGTTGAGCTCCTTTTTAAGGCGTACTAGAGTGCACACATGCACGCACACATGCGCAACCAAGGGGCCTGACGGATCACCGTCTAGAGATGCGCATAGGTGCATGCACGCGCGCGCGCACACACACACACACACACACACACACACACACACACACACAAACGCACGCGCACACACACACACACAAACGCACGCGCGCACACACACACACACGCACGCACACACACACACACACGCACACACACGCACGCACACACACACACACACACACACACACGCACGCACACACACACACGCACGCACACACACACGCACGCACGTGCACGGAGCTATGCATAGCACGAGGACGCACGTACCTGAGGTAAGTCAGCTGGCCGAATCTCCCTTCCTCGAGCTTGAAGGCCAAACCAACCAAGGGGCCTGACGGGTCTCCAGCCAGATGCACCTGAGTGAAGGGATGAGGGGAAAGGAAGCAAGAGGGAGTCTAGTTTTGAGGCGCCTCAAAACTAGACTCCTATCACGCGGTTTTGAGGCGCCTCAAAACTAGACTCCTATCACACGGTTTTGAGGCGCCTCAAAACTAGACTCCTATCACGCGGTTTTGAGGCGCCTCAAAACTAGACTCCTATAACGCAGATGCACCTGAGTGAATGGATGAGGGGAAAGGAAGCAAGAGGGTTGAGTGCTGAGCCAAAGGGGGAATGAAGGGGAAGGAAGGAAGGGGGCACTTGAAGGGGAGGAGGGGGGAACTGTAAGTCCATTCCTTCGTGCCCCAATCTAGTGGTCAGCAGACTCCATGCAGCTTGTACTTTCGCTCTTGGCAGAAAGTGAGCTCAACTCAAACGCACAAGCTTCCTGAATCAACCAGGACGCCATCCCTACCTTTCACCTCCACTTCGCATGGCGTTTGATCCAGGAGCATGGTTGGTGCCTTCTCTCTTGGCAAAAAGTGAGCTCAAACGCACTAGTATGTCGTGCTTCTCCCATTTCTCCCATTCTCTTCAACTATCCTTCCTCCTTGCCCTTCTTTCCCCCCTTGTCCATTCCGCCTCTTGTAGGTTATCACTGGTGCCGTGGGACCGAGCTCTCCATTACAAGCCGCACAACGCCTGCTCAGATCTACTTAGGATCGAATTCCCGCACTGCAAGACTCCAGTAGGATTAGAGCGAATTGCAGTATAGAAGGAAAACTTACAAGCGAAAAGCGATAGTCCTACTGAGTCGCATACTATTTACACGTCCATCTCCCTCTGCTCCGTTGTCCCCTTCATCTTCATACCCTTGAGAACTGAGATTGCTCTTGGCCCTGCTTCTCGTCAGATTAGGCCCCTGCTGACGCCCTCCACCTCGTTCCCGCTCGCGCCTCGATACTTCGACATTTCATTCTCTCCGCCCACGATTCGCTCATTACCGAACTTGTACAGTACTGTACTGTACCTCCCTCCTTTCCACCTTATATTTCTGTTGTACATTCAATCTCTTCTCCAATTCTTCTCTCCTTTTACTCACCACTTCCTTCACTGCTGTATTAACCGTGGGAAGGCTCATGTCTTCCCGCGTGTAACGCGACAAACGCACTAGTATCCTAAATCACCCAGAACGTCATCCCTACCTTTCACCTCCCCTTGGTATGGCGGTTTTATTGACTTCATGTGATTGATCCAGGAGCATGGCCTGGAATGGATAGTCCACCCCTCCACGCACCATCTCACTCCACTGAAATCGAAATTAAAAAAGGAAAACGCATGTACCTTCGTCGCCCCTTTGTTCTGGTCCAACCAAGGCATGGTTGCTGACTTCCGTGGGGCAAGGCAGGTGGTCCACCAGTGACCACTCCATGCAGCAGCGGTGAGAGCACGGGTATCACAAGTCAATGGGAGAATCACAAACACCACAATCACACACACCTTCTCCTCCCCTTTGTTCTGGTCCAACGCGTGGTTGCTGACTTCCGTGGGGCATGGCAGGTAGTCCACCACTCCATTCAGCAGCGGTTGCACACCCTGCTCAGGTGGAAATCCAGGTGGCAGATTCAGGTGGCAAAATCAGGTGACAGTTCAGGTAGTATAGTCAGGTTGAAATTCAGGTAGGAACAAAACAACAGAGGTGGAGATTCGAATTTCAGGCCACAGAGACAGGCAGAACCACGGTACAGTAGGATGCAACGGAGGAGCGCAACACGGACTCTCAACGCAGAACTCGCAAGGTGGCGCGTGATCAAAACAACTCTAACCCTGTTCATAAACGTCCCATACATTCTCATGAACCCAGGCGGGAACTTAAGCGCCAGAAAAGTATTTTTTTTAGGCGCCTCAACAATTTGATCGAAACAACTCTCTCCCTGTTCATAAACGTCCCGCACAACCCCTTGAACCCAGGCAGGAACTTAAGCGCCAGAGTAACTTTCAAATGAAAACACCTTCCTCCCTCCCTCCTCCTACCCCCTCCTCTCTCCCCCCCCCCCGTTCCCCCCCAACCACTCATCCTTTTTATGGACATCACGTACATCCCCTGAACAGGGTGTTTTTGAGATTTCTCAAATACATCCCCTGAACAGGGTGTTTTTGAAAATTCTCAAATGCAACCCCTGAACGAATACAGGCACGAACTTGGACGCTAGAGTAGCACGCGACCAATTTCTACTTTTCCCCTATTCCCCCCCCCCCCTCTCTCCCCTCCTCCCCCTCTCTCCCCCCTTTCCCTCCCCTCCCCACCACCGCTCACCCTGTTCTTGAACGTGCTCCCCTTGAACACAGGCACGGACTTGAGCGCAAAGGTGGCAGGCAGGGGATGAGACAACTTTCCTCCCCCACCACCACCCCTTTCTAATGAAGATTAAATGGGTTCAACCCGCAGCAAGTCACGGAGTAGTCTCTTAGATCGGATACTAAGCTAAGCTAAGAAGCAAGAAAGGTAACGCGAAATTGTGACTAGTGAGGAAACCCAGACAATTAGTCCGGATGCGCGGGTACGCGTTTCGGCAAAAGAGCCTTCATCAGCACACTGACGATCAGACTTCCTCACTGATCACTTCTTCTACTACCCTTCTTGCTTGAGCTCGAGAAATTCGAGCCGTCAAGCCTCTCAAAGGATCGCGGCTCCAAGTGGAGCGCTCCGCCAACTCCTTCTCTAGCTGTCAAAGTTTTGCAAACACTCATGCAGATTGGGAAGCTCCAGAAGGTACGTCACCAACTTTTGGGCGACATCCAACTGGTTACAAATTCTCAACTACACTAGTTTAGCTCTAACTAATCTGTTACAAAACTTGCTAGGCAATTTCCAAGTTGTAACAAACCGAGGAAAATGACGGCCTTGAGTTTGCAGGGTATTTTTGAGAATTTTCAAAAATACCCCACCACCCCCCCTTCCTACCACCCACCGCCCCACGACTCACCCTGTTCTTGAACGCGCTCCCCATAAACACAGGCACGAATTTCAATCCGAGAGTGGCGCGGCGGACAGCAGCTTGGAGCTCCTCGGCTGAAATCGGCTCGTCGTTGAGAAACTTCTCGGCAATTTCGTCATCCACCTCTGACAGGTGCTCTATCAGCTCGTGCCTCTTCTCCTCCGCCTTCTCCTTGAGATTGTCCGGCACGCCTGCCTCTCGCCGCACCTTCTCCCTGTGGATGGGGCGATAAGGGCACACAGAGCTGACTTTTGAGTCGACTAAAAAAAAAACGCACCTTCTCCCTGTGGTTGGGGCGATAAGGGCACACAGAGGAAAGCATTGAGCCCCCCTGCATAATGATGCTTCGACTTCATCGTCCACCTCTGGCAGGTGCTTTACCAGCTCGCGCCTCTTCTCCGCCGCCTTGGAGGTCCTCCTCTATAAGTCTTGGTGCTTCAGATTCACAGAGATGCCCTGCTCGATTAGCACCATCAATTTTGGGCGACGCGGAAACAGCGTGAGATAACTTCATTGTACGCCTCTCACAGGCGCTCTATCATACATGCATTAGAGCTTATATTATACATGATGCACATAGCGTTTTACACATACTCTCTACAAACATACCCACTTGAGCTGTCGACGTAAATGCAGGACAGGGAGCTGAGGTCGACGCCTGTGAAATATAACCCTATGACATACTCGTTATAGACCATACCCACTATACACATATTCACTATAAACACACCCGCTGGGTCCGTCAAAGTAAATGGAGGACATGGAGACGAGATCAACCAGACCTGGCATACTCGTTATAAGCATTCCCACTTTTACCATATATTTACTACAAACATACCCGCTGGGTCCGTCAAAGTAGATGGAGGACATGGAGACGAGGTCAACCAAGCCTGAGAGATCTGACTCCAGGCCAATAGGAATCTGATCAAGACACGTGAAACAAAGGGGGAGGAAAGGATGGGGGTGGGGGGAGGGGGAGATGGGGGAGGGTGGGAGGGGGACGGGGAGGGGAGAAAACTTGGGAATAAGGTAAAAGGAGGGAAAGTTGAGATAGGAGGAGGAAAGTGAAAGAAAGAAGGAAAAATACAGCTCAACTTAATAATTTGTAAGGGTTCTTTGCCTCCAGACAAAACGAACCAACGCACCCACAATCACACAATCACACAGTCACAATTTTTACAATCACACGACACGACCTGTCATTTTGCAGAAACGCTCTCTGAAAGAAAAGAACCCGCGTTGATGGTGGAGCAACTGCGGTCCACAATCAAGTAGAATTAAACCCACCTGCATGGCAGCAGCATTCAGTCTGAGCTTGGACCACAGCTGCCCCACCACCCACAGTCACACCGCCTGTAACTGTCAACATCAACAGCATCTGCAATCACACGATCTACTACAGTCACACCTGCTAATAGCGCACCCACCACCACCAGCACCCACCTGCACTGCAGCAGCATTCAGTCTGAGTTTGGACCGCAGCTGCCCCACCACCTTCCACGGGTCTGCTCCCGTACGATCCAGCTTGTTGATAAACGCCAGGCGAGGGACACTGTGAGGGGGGGAAGTGTGGAGGTGGGGTTGCGGACAGGGGGGAAATAGGAGGAAAGAGGGTGGACGGAGGAGCAAAGAAAGGCATGTTGCCTACTACTACCTTCCACGGGCCTGCTCCCGTGCGATCCGGCTTGTTGATAAACGCCAGGCGCGGGACGCTGAGGAGACGAGGAGGGGAAAATGACAGGAGAAACAGCAGAAAGGGAAGGGACGAGAGGGGCTTGGCAGGGAATCAGATCAGCTCCAGCCCACCACCTTCCACGGGTCTGCTCACGTGCAATCGAGCTTGGTGATAAACGCCAGGCGAGGCACACTGGGGAGGAGGGGAGTGCGAGAGGGGACAGAGAGGGAGGGCGGAAAGGGGGTGGATGGAAGAGCAAAGAAAAGCATGCTTCCCACCACCTTCCACGGGTCTGCTCCCGTTCGATCTAGCTTGTTGACAAACGCCAGGCAAGGCACACTGGGCAGAAAGAGGGGAGGGGAAGGGCGAGTGGGAGAGGGGGGGGGGGAAAGGACGGAAGAGCAGAGGACAGCATGTTTCCCAGCACCTTCCAAGGTTAAGTATAATCAGGGTATAGGTATGGTCAGGGTTTAGGAAAAATCCGAGTTTAGGTGTGATCAGGTTATGGTAAAAATCAGGGTGTAGTGTAGGTATGATCAGGTTCAGGTATGAAAATTGTTTAGGTTTGACCAGGGTTTTGGTATAATCAGGGTTTAGGTATGACCAGGGTTTTGGTATAATCAGGGCTTAGGTATGACCTGAGTTTTTGTATAGTCAGGGTCAAGATATGATCAGGGTTAGGGAATAATCAGGTTTTAGGTTTCCGGGATTAGGGTGCTGATCTGGTGCCCCATTCACAGCATTGCTGGGTTGCCCAATCAGTCCACAACCACTTGGGCGGCGAGTCGATACAGGTGGGGCTCTAGCACCCCAGATGGTTCGATAAAGGTGGGGCTTGAGGGTCGAGGATTTGAGTTTCTTGTTTACCCAGGGGCCAGGGGCCAGGGGTCAGGGGTCAGGGGTCAGGCATGGTGGGGCGTTTGCTGTAAATTGACTCCTCTCCGCCAGTGTCCCTCGCCCTGCCTTTATCAGCAAGGTGGATTGCACCAACGCAGAACCTTGATTATACCCCTAATTATACCTCACCCTGATCATTCCTGAACCCTTATTATACCCGAACCCTGATTAGACCAAAGCTCTGATTATACCCCTGAATCTATAGTTAGCCCCACCCACCTGCATTGTCTCATCTGCCTGTTGACCATTATCGCCTCACTCTGCACGCCGCCAACGCTGCACAGCACTAAAACTAGCCCCGTCCAGCACCAGCACCCCGAAACCCTGACAACCGGAACCATAGAACCTAAACCCCAAACGCGAGATTCGTACCTGCATGTGATTTTTTAGAATTCAAAAAAATAATCTCAGCACCCCTAAACCCTGAGAACCGAAACCCCCGAACCGAAACCTGAAACCCAAGACTGGCTTCTTACCCTGAAACCTAAAGCCTACACCCTGGATTCTTACCTGTATCGCCTCATCTGCCAATCAACAGTTATCGACCGGCTCTGCACACCCCCAACGCTGCACAGCACCAGAATAGCCTCGTCCAGCACCCTCGGGCCTCAGCAACCCCCAGAACCTGAACCCCAGAACCGAAACTTTAAACCCGAGGCTCTTACCTGTATCGCCTCATCTGCCGATCAACAGTTATCGACTGGCTCTGCACGCCCCCAACGCTGCACAGCACCAGAATAGCCTCGTCCAGCACCCTCGGGCCTCAGCAACCCCCAGAACCTGAACCCCAGAACCGAAACTTTAAACCCGAGGCTCTTACCTGTATCGCCTCATCTGCCGATCAACAGTTATCGACTGGCTCTGCACGCCCCCAACGCTGCACAGCACCAGAATAGCCTCGTCCAGCACCCTCGGGCCTCAGCAACCCCCAGAACCTGAACCCCAGAACCGAAACTTTAAACCCGAGGCTCTTACCTGTATCGCCTCATCTGCCGATCAACAGTTATCGACTGGCTCTGCACGCCCCCAACGCTGCACAGCACCAGAATAGCCTCGTCCAGCACCCTCGGGCCTCAGCAACCCCCAGAACCTGAACCCCAGAACCGAAACTTTAAACCCGAGGCTCTTACCTGTATCGCCTCATCTGCCGATCAACAGTTATCGACTGGCTCTGCACGCCCCCAACGCTGCACAGCACCAGAATAGCCTCGTCCAGCACCCTCGGGCCTCAGCAACCCCCAGAACCTGAACCCCAGAACCGAAACTTTAAACCCGAGGCTCTTACCTGTATCGCCTCATCTGCCGATCAACAGTTATCGACTGGCTCTGCACGCCCCCAACGCTGCACAGCACCAGAATAGCCCCGTCCAGCACCCTCAGCGCTCTTTCCACCTCGATGGTGAAGTCCACGTGGCCCGGTGTGTCGATGATGTTCACCTGAGGGGGAGGTCAAGTGGAAGGATGAGAAGAAAGAGAGAGAAAGGGGTGGGTAAAAGCCCCGTCCCGTCCAGCATCGTCAGCATCGTCAGTTCCACTTCAATGGTGAAATCTACGTGTCCGGGCATGCCGATGATATTCACCTGAGAAACACAAAAAAGTTGATGGGTCAAAGTAAATGTTTGAATGGTTTATCAAGAGCGGTACGGGTTAGTGGATAAGGAGACACAGAATAGCCCCGTCCAGCACCCTCCCTCAGCGCTCTTTCCAATTCAATAGTGAGAGACGACTGCAGGTCCATCAGGTTATGCATGCATTATGCATGTCGCAGCGGACTGAATGCTGATCCCTTTCTCAAGCGGTATCTTTCACTCTCTCCTGTCCAGGTACCTACCGTCTATCTTCAGCAGAGCCTTCAGTCGCTCATCCATCTGTACCTGGCCTTTTCCCATTGCTCACCTGGTGGTCGCCCCACGTGCTGCAGTGGGTGGCAGCGGACTGGATGGTGATGCCCTTCTCCTCTCCAGGCCCATCGAGTCCATCTTCAGGCAACCCCTGGAGTCAACTAAAAGGTAGTATCCACCAAGTACACAACCCACGTACAGTGCGTGGCAGCGGACTGGATGGCGATTCCTTCTGCCTCTCCAGGTCCATGTAGTCCATCTTGGCGCCCACGCCGTCCCGCCCCCTCACGCCTTCAGGCCACCCTCGAGAAAGCTGATACCTGCCAGCCACGTACAACCCAACTACTCCCTCACCTGGTGGTCGCCCCACGTGCAGTGCGTGGCAGCGGACTGGATAGTGATGCCCTTCTCCCTCTCCAGGTCCATCGAGTCCATCTTGGCGCCCACGCCGTCCCGCCCCCTCACTTCGTGAATCTCGTGGATCCGCCCCGTGTAGAACAGCACACGCTCGGTCAGAGTTGTCTTGCCCGAGTCTATGTGCGCTGATATGCCGATGTTTCGAATCTGGAAGGAAGGTGCAGGGAAACAAAGGGAAGGGCGGACAATAAGCCCCCTCACTTCGTGAATCTCGTGGATCCGCCCCGTGTAGAACAGCACACGCGCTGTCAGGGTCGTTTCCCCCGAGTCAATATGTGCCGAGATTCCAATGCTATGCATCTGAGAGAGAGAAGCGGCAAGGCAGCCGGGAAGGGGGAAGGCAGCAGGGAAGGGGGAAAGCAGCAGGGATGGGGGAAAGCAGCAGGGATGGGGGAAAGCAGCAGGGATGGGGGAAGGCAGCAGGGATGGGGGAAGGCAGCAGGGAAGGGGGAAAGCAGCAGGGATGGGGGAAGGCAGCAGGGATGGGGGAAGGCAGCAGGGATGGGGGAAAGCAGCAGGGATGGGGAAGGGAAGGCTCCTTCCCCACATGCTTTTGAGTCGGCTCAAAGTCAGCTCTGTCCATCTTGGAGCCCAATCGACTTTTGAGTCGGCTCAAAAGTCAGCTCTGTCCATCTTGGCGCCCAATGACCAATTCTAACCGAATAACGTGTTGGTCATTGGGTTTTGTCTTTGGGCGCCAATAACCTGTTGGTCATTGGCAAGATTGACCAAATAACCTGTTTCGAAACGCTGCTTAGCCTGAAAACGACAAGATTTCGAAATGTGGAGCAGGGCAGGGCAGGGCAGGGCAGGGCTGTGGATCCTCCATGCGAAGCTCAGCACTTTGACCCCTCGAATTCGTCATACCCGATGCCAGATGTGCTGGAGCTGACACTTACATGAGGGCATCAGCACATGCATAAGCTGTATATGAAGGGGAAGGTTGACTTTTGAGTCGACTCAAAAGTCACCTCGGTTCGACACATGTAGACCACGTTCGAGGAAAGCAAACATCCCTCTTCAAGCTCACCACCTCGCTTTCTCCATCCCCTCACGCCACGGCTCTATCTTCTTTTCCTGCTCGCTCGCAGCCTGCGTGGATCAATTCACTTACAAACAAGTCTAAAGAAAAAGCATCTCGGTTCAATCTCAACATCTCACCTTCAATGATCAAGCTCATCATCTCACCTTCAATGATCAAGCTCATCATCTCACCTTCAATGATCAAGCTCATCATCTCACCTTCAATGATCAAGCGCATCATCTCACCTTCAATGATCAAGCTCATCATCTCACATTCAATTATCAATCTAATCAGCTCACTTTCTCCATCCCCTCACGCCACGGCTCTCTCTTCTCCTCACCAATGCACTCAGCGCCTGACAGGTTGTGCGTGCAACAGATTCACTTACAAGCCTGGAAAAGGCAATCATCCCTCTTCAATCTCATCAGCTCACCTTCTCCATCCCCTCACGCCACGGCTCTTTCTTCTCCTCCTGCTCGCTCGCAGCCTGCGTTCCATACCACCTCCCTCCCGTTCCTGCCACATCCGAGCCTAGCACTGTAGGTTCGGCAAACCGGACCCCTCCTCCCGAGCCAAAAGTAACGCTTTTCCACGCCGATAGGCGCTTTGCATCGACGCTTTCCCACGATCCGAAGGGAGATGATTCCTGGGGAGGGGCTAAGCTCGGCGCGCTGCAGCTGTTTCGCGAAAGCAGAGCGGATGTGAGGGCCGGACCCGCGCGTCGATCTGATCCGTTGGATCTGAAGCTGCCGCGCCGGGAGGCGGATCGGACGGCGGCGAGGATCAGGTCCTTGGATCGGCCACGTGCCATGGGTGACGTGTCAGGCGAGGGGCGATTCTGGGGTGATCAGGACAAATGGCAGGTGGGATGAGGGGATGCTGCTGATACGTAGGTATTGATAACGGGGCGAGAGACAACGGCGATGGTGGTTTCAGGAACGAGGAGCGATGGAGGAGCGGTGGAGGAGCGATCAGTGCAGTGGAAGGTGAGATCCGCGGTAGATGATCAGTTGGTGTCGGTAAAACAACGAGTTGGCGATCGGATCAGAGGATGAACGACAAGCCAATGATCGATCAGAAGCGGCGAAGTACGAAAGTGAGCGAAGTGATCAGATGATGTACGGAAGAGGAATGGACGGTCTGGATTGATTGGCGAATGCAGAATCGCGAAGATGAGGGGTGTCAGCGATCACGCGCGTAGTGGCTGAACGCCAGCAGTGCGACGATTGCCTGAACGCCAGCAGTGGCTGGGGCAATCGATAAGTGCTCAGCAAAGAAGCACCAGCAACCCTGGAATCGGGAAGATAATTCCTAGTGCTCGGACAGAGGAGTAATTCCTAGTTTCCCAAAACCAGGCACGTGCCAGCCTCGGCAAGCCCGGCTTGGGATGTCGAGCGCAAGCAGGAGGTTTGGCAGGAGCTTGAGGGGGAGAGAAAGCCACAGTGCGGCCCGGCAGCGCTTGTTGTGTGCCTAGCTACGGGATCAGCAGAAGCCCCTGGTTCGGTAGCTTCGTCTGTCGGTTCACCGCCAGAAGCACGTCATTGGCTGAGCTACCACAGGTCTGGGAACTCTTTGATTAACTGCCCTATAGGAGCATTCGGCACAAACCACAAGCGCTCATCTTAGTTCCAATGAACTCTTGAGAAGTAAATGGTGTATAAGTTACTGACAAATGCGTGCATTTCCCTACATACATAGTAACCCCACTAGTTAATCCTGAAATTACACATATTTGGAACAGATTATAATTTGAAATTGGGAATTTGCATTAGCATTTTTGGCAAAAACATGTTTTATGTGGATATAAAACTCGTTGAGTTCTATGCAATTATGCGGATTATGGTGAACTTGAAGAGTAGCGTGAGATGAAGTATCGAAGTTGTGAATGACTGAAATAAGAGGCAAGATAAAGGAACACCTGAGCTATCTTAGCCGTGAGATTCGAGGTTTCAGGAAGGAGATCGAAGGGCCTTTAAGTGTCGACGAGAGGCCTGGAGAACACACGAAGGCTTGGTCCAAAGGTCTTGAACAGTGTCGGAGGCTCGGAGAGAAAGGTCCGGGACCGAGCCGAGTGTTCACGTGTGTACGCAATAATCAGTACAGCTCGGTAAGGAATAAAGTTGCCTTGCAACATTCCTATCACATGAGTTGGTTTCTGTTACAGATGGTTACCCCACTCCATCCTCCCTCTCCTCCAACCTGTCCTCTCTCTTGCTGACGAGATCGCTCATCCTTAGGGCGCGTCATATTTTTCTGAACATGGGTTTTTACGAACTCATGTTCTCTCGAATGTTTCGCAGTGCTTCGCGAGGGGCGAACACGCTTACCAGCTCCGAAATGAACATGGGGAGAAATAGCATTTTGGGCGTGTCTCAATTTGTGGGGCGAGAATTTCCAGATTGTCGCAAAAATTTGACGAGCTTCGCAAAACTAGTTACTCTGGTGCTCGCTTCATGTTCACAAAAATGTGACGCGCCCTCAGTCCGCCACCGTCACTGGACTATCAAGCTGACCTCTATACTGTACTAGTTCACGTTGAGGCAGCTCAAAACTCTCCCTCCTCTCATTTCTATGCTAGGAGTGCGTTGCTCCGCGTTTCTGATCGTGCGCGAGTCCAGAGTCATAGGAGAATCCAGGTTACTTGGGTTCAACCGCTCTCACGTCATTGGCTGCGGATTCCGCGTGGCTTGTATCCTCTCCACTTTCGAACTGACTCAAACGCCATTTAGGGGATCCCGTTTTGCCCAATTGAATTGAGACCGGTCCTTCGCCCTTTTCTAGTTATAAAAAACTACCCAGCATTTTTGCGACTTTACTCGCGACCGTCTACTGCGGGCCGCCTCGCCATTTCCCTGTCTGCCTCGTATTTTACACTCCGCCCGGCTAGTCGAGTACTCTCATCGAATTGCTGTTGGTCTCATTTTCCCGCATCGAGATGTCCAAGGCGGCGCAAGGCTCTACGCGTAAGGTACAATGAACGTCCCTTGGGACGTGTTTTCCCTTCCACGAGGTAAGAGGGACTTTCCCTACCCTAACCCCTCTTCCTTCCAACGTCCCGCCCTCTCTCCCTTCCTCAGTCCGCCCTCCCCCTCTCTCTCCCTCAAGCGGCCCGTTTATTGCTGGAACCCTGGGTACAGGCTAGGCATGTGGGGTGACCATGGGAACCCTCACTCTCCCTCCCTCTAGTTTTGAGGCGCCTCAAAACTAGACGTCCCCCCCCCTCTCTCTCCCTCCCTCTCTGCTCATTCATCTTCGCTCTTCCCTCCCCCCCGTCCGCTTCCTGATTTTCTCCTTCCTTCTCCCCGTCTCCGTTCCTCCCTCAATTCCTCTTCCCCTCCCTTCGCTTATGAGTCTGTAAAAGAGTGATCCCCTCTCCCCCCCCCCCCCCCCCCCCCCCCCCTTCTCCTCCCTTCCCTCTCCACACTTGTCCCTTTTGACTTCAACTTTCGGTTCTCTTTGGATCCCCTCTTCCTCCAGACACAGAAGGACAAGGAGGCCGTGAAGAGTCCATTTTTGAGGCGCCTTGAAAATAGACTCCTCACAAATCGCTTCTCTTTGGATCCCCTCTTCCTCCAGGCACAGAAGGATTAGGAGGCCGTGAAGCCCAATAAGGAGAAGGGGGCTCGTCTCTCTTCTGTCGTCGAATCTTCATCCATCTCCTCCCCTCATGCACACCCCACCCTCACGACAGACACAGAAGGGCAAGGAGGCTGCGAAGCCAAAGAAAGAGAAGGGCAGCTGAAGGAAGCACGTGAGGGGATACCTGAAGGGACACCTGAAGCGCTCCTGTTTCTCCCCCCCACTCCCTCCCATGCATGTGCACCTCCCACTCGCAGACACAGAAGGACAAGGAGGTTGTGAAGCCAAGGGAAGAGAGGGCGGTGTTTGACCTGCCAGGGCAGCTGAAGGAAGCACGTGAAGAGGGACCTCAAAGAGAGCATATCCCTCCCCCCCACGCACCCCCTGCATGTGCACCTCCCTCTCGCAGACACAGAAGGACAGGGAGGCTGTGAAGCCGAAGAAAGAGAGGGCGGTGTTTGACCTGCCAGGGCAGCTGAGAGAGGCACCAGAAGAGGTGAGGTGGGGAGGAAGGGAGGTATGGAGGGGGGCACAGACAGAGGAATATATATGGGCAGCTGAGAGAGGCCCCAGAGGAGGTGAGTGGGAAAGGGTTGGAGGTTTGGGGAGGTATGGGAGGACGCACAGGGAATTCAGATGACAGTCAAGATGACGAAGGAGAAGGTGATGTTTGACCTGCCAGGGCAGCTGAAAGAGACACCAGAGGAGGTGAGTGGGAAAGGGTTGGAGGATTGGGGAGAATTCAGATGAATGTCAAGCCGAAGATGGAGAAGGTGCTGTTTGACCTGCCAGGGCAACTGAGAGAGGCACCAGGGGAGGTGAGAGAGCAGAAATAGACTTGGTGCAGGGGCAAGTAAATTGAGGGGAGTATGGAGAGAAATCAGGGAGGCACAGGGGAATAAGGATGAATGTCAATCCGAAGAAAAGGAAGGTGGCTGCTGAGGGAGGCACCAGAGGAGGTGATGTGAAAAAGGAAAAAAGTACTTAGTCAAGTGTGCTTCTTTTTTTGGCCAAAGCACAACCTTCCTGAACTTCCCCCCTCCCACCAGCATCCTCTCCCCTTTCATCTTCTCCCCCCCCGCCTCCTCTTTTCCCTTCTCCCCTTCCTCCCCCGCCTACCCTGTTATTTTTTCTTGGACTGCAGAATGAGCCTCTTCGCATATTCTACGAGAGCCTCTACAATCAAATACCAGAAAGCGAGATGGCTCAGATATGGTACTGCTCATGTTTATGTTTCTTGCAACTTTTTGAGTCGACTCCAAAGTGATTTTTGAGTCGACTCAAAAATCACAAGCGAGATGGCTCAGATATGGTGCTGCTCATGTTTATGTTTGTTGCAACTTGCTGTTTGTGTTGCCTGCTTAAGCATCATCAATTCCTCAGTACAGTGGAGTAACATCAAACTTTGCTGGCGAAAGTATCCCTTGCGGCTTAGCCTCATCTCTTCTTGTTAATGAAAGGATGGTTTTTCTTTGCCAGCTGGGGTACAGGCACTTTTTGTTTGCCGCTCAATTCTGTCTCTCTGTATGCTCACCAAGTCGCATCATTGCATATTTCCAGCCTGCTGTACATTGCTTAGAGGATGATGGAGCATGGGTTGTTGGACGAGGATAAAGTGCGGCGAGTGCTTTGTTAAGAAGAGCGAGGATGCAGATAAGCAACAGCAGCAACCCCATGAGTCGGTACTGCTACTTGTTGACCCGACTTTATTCAACATCCCTTTTTCATTTCTGCTTTGCTTTGCGTTACAGGATGATGGAGCATGGGCTGTTGGACGAGGATGAAGTGCGGCGAGTGCTGGTTGTCAAGAGAGAGGATGCAGATAAGCAACAGCAGCAACCCCATGAGTCGGTACTGCTACTTGTTGACCCGACTTTATTCAACATCCCTTTTTCATTTCTGCTTTGCTTTGCGTTGCAGGATGATGGAGCATGGGCTGTTGGACGAGGATGAAGCTCGCCGAGTGCTGGTTATCAAGCAAAGGAGAGGAGGAGGCCGGGGAGGTGCAGCAGCAACTCCTGCTTCTGCCAGAGCAGCCACGGCCGTCCGAGCCTCCTCTGCTGCTGCCTCGGCAGCTGCCTCCCGAGCCTCAGCCACTGCTCTGGGCAGCAAGCCTGGTTCGGCAGCAGGAGGCAAGGCACAAGCCAAGTCTCCAGCTTCGGCGACGAAAGTAGAACCGAGCAGCAATGGTAGAGCGAGAGGGGGAGCTAAGACTCCTACGTCTGGAGGGCGCAAGGCAGCGGTGAAGGCATACAGAGATGAAAGTGATTCGGAAGAAGAAATCATTCCTTTGAAGAAACTGCGCCGATGACCTTGGAGGCTGTACAAGATTTGTGTGACCAATCAAGGCTTGTATCAGGCGGCCACAATGACGTTTGCCATGTATAAAACATATATTTCCACTTCCTTCTCCGCACCAATTTCGATATCGTTATAGGATTCTCCCTAAATTTTGAGGAGTTGAAAGTTTTGCTTCCCAACCTCTTGTGATTGAGAATGCCTGTTAAATAATTCTCTATGTACTACGTCTAGTAAATCTAGAAACTGTACACAACCGTATCTCTGGTTTTTGTGCCGACAATCCCGAGGTCTTGATGGGTCGATGACAGATGCACCATCCTGCTCCGATTTATTTTGCTCGGAAGGCTGAAATAGAGCAGCTGCCGATGTGGATTTCAACTAACGCAGAGTTGCTGCAGAGCATCGCACAACAATGGCGATGCTTTTCCGCCTTCTCCTTCTCACGTTCTGTCTCTCCGTTGCACATCATGGACGGTGTTACGCGTTTATTCCAGGCTTGCACCCACATACATTCAGGTGTGTTTCAGCGTTTGACATCAGGACACATTTGATGACACCAATGAACAAGCTTTTTGACTGACTGTCTTCGCCGTGCCAGAGAAAATGACACCCTACCGATTAGCATCGTTCCTTTCTCAAGTTCGGTGCCGGGAGTACCGGATTTCTACGACTTACCGTTTTGCCAGGACACGACCTTGTGGAGGGTTCAGCCTCAGTATTTGCCAGACGTCCTGCTAAACACGCAGCTGCTTCCCACTCCCTATGACGTCAAAGTCCTTACCAACGTAACATGCCGGTTTCTGTGTCTCGTTCCGAATTTTGCCAACCAAGGAAAGGCTTCGAGGCTCTTCACAAAGCTGCTTACTTCGAAGAGACGGCCACTCATTAAACTGCGCGCTGACAGCCTCCCCGTATTGCATACGAAAAGCCTGGGAGACACAGTAGATGGCTATGGCATCGGAAATCACGACGCGGATGACTTTTATGTGACAAACCATGTGCGTTGATGGCCTTCTGATGTCGAGGTTCTTCCCCGCCATTCTTCTGAAGGGACCGCTTTGCTGAATGTTTAATTCTTGCAGGTTACTTTTCAAATTCACTATTATGACTGGACAAACGGCGTCGGAGAGCGCGAAGTAAGAATCTCATCTGTTCAGATGCAGCCACGTTCTTCGGGCATTGCTCCAAAAAGGATTGGCGAATGCGAATCTGAGTCTCATCCTCAGAAGGCATCTGGTACTTATTCATGGGTTATTATGTCTCCGTCTCCTACTGTACTGATCCTTGCACCTGATGTGCAGGTGACGTTATGTTCACCTACTCCGTTTACTGGATAAGGTCAACAAGTCAATGGCCTTCCAGGTGGGATCATTTGCTCGTGAAGGAAGGCCTGACCGTCAGCTTTTGGACAGCTGTCCTCTGGCTAGTCATCGCTTGTGCACCAGTGGTCATTCTTCACGTCCTGTGCAAGTTCCTACTTCGCCAACTTGAGTCTAGCCACCGAACCAAGGGCTATGAGCCACTGAAAGAGCACACTCATCAGGTGGAGCACGACAGAACTTATGTGCTATCCTCCCTGGTAAGGAAATTTCACTTCCCTGATCGCCTTCAGGTCATTGTTCCAAATCTTGCCAGTAATTCTTGCTGTTTCACAGGTTGGAACAGGCATTCAACTACTTGCTGCTGCTTTAGTGGCAGCGTTAGCAGCTGTGCATGGCCTGCGGGATCCAGACTCTCGGGGTTCAATGGTGCAGCTGTCCTTCTACTCGTTTGTTGGGCTGGGGGCACTCAACGGATATGTCTCCGCCAGGATCTTGAGCTCATTCAAGTCTTCCAACATCATGAGATCCGTTCTGCTGTCATCAGTACTTCCTCCGACACTAGTGAATGGAATTCTGGTTCTGCTGAACTGGACACTTGATGCTGGAGGATACCCACATGCTATTCCTCCAGCCACCTTGGTCTCGCTTTATCTATTGACGCTTTCTATTTGCTCCATGACTGTGTACATGGGCTCTTGGGTTGGAAGCTTTGCATCCCAAGCAGACTGGCAGCTGGTTCCGTTTCATGGAAGCATGATGCACCATGAGCGAGATTCATGGGAGTTCCACAAACTTGGTTTTCGGTTTGGAGGACTCCTCCTTGTGTCTGGTGCTGTGGGAGCTGCCTTGTTTTACCATTTGACAACACCTCCTCACCAGTGAGTATACCCTGAGCCATTAAGCTGTTCCTGCAATATTGGGGTCAAAGTCCGGCTACCTAGTTACTGGGGGAGTGATTTTGACTCGATTTTATGAACTTGCAGGTTGTCATATACTTCACTTCTGCTTGCATTTGGTGGCTTCGTCACCATCTCAGGGTGTATTTCAAATCTGTCAGCCTACTTCCAATTTTCGAGTGGGAATACCAAATGGTAAGTTCTGTCGGTTTCTTGTTTGCATAACTCATCTCGAGCAGATGCTAACCGTTGTAGAATGTTTGTTCTGCAGGTGGTGGGAAAGTTTCTATGTTCCATCATTCGCATCGCTTTTCCTTTTTGGTGCTGGATGTGCGCTTTCCACCCTGCTTTTCTGGAGTGGGCAAGGGCACGCTGCCTTGATGCTGGCAACTTACTCACTTCTGGCTGCAAGCGTAAGTGCACGACGCTGTTCTGTAATGTTCGGTGTGCTCCACTGCATTCCATGTTCCAACATGTGACCCTCTCTGCAGGTGGTCGCTCTCGCATCTGGTGCTATTGGCTTCCTCTCAAGTTGGCTTCTGGCATCCATGGTGGCAAATTATTGTGTGAAGATGGATGGAAGATGCAACCTTTAGGAGAATTGACATCACCCTGCACCATGTGTGGTGCTTAGATGTAGCAATACTGTTCGTCCACGTTACATTATGCAATTGCTATGACCAACTTTGGCTTCAGCCTTGCATGTATCAAACCGATGTACTTCTCAGCTGCAATTGCAGGAACCAGCAAACACGCAATTGTACTTCGGCTTATTGGTTATCAGGCTATTCATAACATGCTCTGGAACCCTCAACTAACGTCAATCATTATTGAGGCAATGCTTTCCGCTTCTTGGGTCTTGCAGCAGCATCTTGCCGATTGCCACCAGGAGATGCAGTGCCGGACGAATGTGGCGCACCACCACCTCCCACTGCTGCTCCTGATGCACCCACCCTTCCCCCACCCCCTCCAGCAGTACCCCCCCCTCCCCCTCCTGGCCTCTGCCCAGGGCTGCTGGGGGGTGGGCGGCGGGCACCTGGCTTTCCACCACTCTGTTGAGAACCAGAGGAGTTGCGTGAGGATTGCCCTGGTGCAGATGGAGGAGTGCGACCACCATGCATTGCTGCTCTTCCTGGCCCACCCGCTCCTGCTCCGGCCAAACCAGTTCCCGAGCCTGAAGCAGGAGGTTTGTGAGGTGCAGAGTGCCCGGAAGGATGAGCAGCCATGGGCAGGGGAGGCAAAGGAGAGGCAGGAGGAAGAGGAGGCGTGGAGGCATGAAGAGAAGTTGCAAGACCAGGCGTTCCGGGGACAGTTGAGGCAGCATTAGCTGTAGCCCCACCACCACTCGTTGCTGTTTTACCAGCCGCAGTGCCAGAACTCCCAGCTCTAACACCTCTGGTAGCACCAGTACCAGCAGCAGTAGGAAAACCCTGAGGAGGCGGACCCCCTGTGCTTGTATCTGTGTCAGTCTCTGTTGCATCTCCTGCTGCCTGCAGCTGCCTCTGTTGATGCATCATCTTCAGCCGGTTGTTCCGGTAATGCTGCCAGAAATAGAACTGCTGCCCGTGGGCTAGCTCCTGAACAGCATACAGAGGAAATAAACCCAGATAAGGTTTCGAAAGGAGTCGGAAAAGGTTAAATGGTTAGAACAGCGGAGTAAAAGGGCAGCGGAAAACAGGGACGCTGGCCAGCACTAATCTGCGAGCTTGTTAGCCGAATGTGCAATAGCAGCGTGCAAGTGTTCGCTTCATGGCAGCTCAAAAGAGTAAGGCAGTGTCGGTAGTTGGCACCATGACCGTATAGAAAGCATACACACAGACGAGACAGAGCGACAAAATCTCTACCCAACTTGTCGGCGGCGGGATGCGCCATGACATACACATGCATATATACACAGGCGGATAGTACGCAGTACGCGTATATTCCAACATAAGTTGGCGGGATGCACCATGGCAGTGCGGAAGTGCTCGCTTTGAAGCAACTCAAGGAAGCAGAGACCGTGTCGATATCTGGCTGTTACACCAGGCCCATGTGCCATAGTTGGCACCATGCACCGGCAAAAGCATACAGAGACAAGACAGGGTGAGCAGCACTATCCCCACCCACCTTGTGGGCAGGATGCGCCATGGCAGTGCGGAAGTGCTCGCTTTGAAGCAACTCAAGGAAGTAGAGACAGTGTGGGTACCTGTGAAATCCAGCCCAATTCATGGCCATGCCATCCGTTCCAGAACCACACAATAACACGCCACGTGCCCGTGCCATGAAATGAATTATGAAACACAAAATGTGTCATGCAATTGCAATCCAAACTTTCCAAACCATGAACCCCGAAGGGAGGAAAGAGCGGAAATTGGTGATTCTTATGATATGTTGAAGAGAGAGGAGAGGGGGAGGGGGAGGGGGAGGGGGAGGGGGAGGGGGGGAGAGGGGGGGTTGAGCAAAGTGTTACGATTCGGCAAAGAAGAGGCGAAGAAGAGACACAACGTGTTGTCAAAGGGAAACAAAAATAAGCCTTTATTTGTATTTGTATATACCTCACAGCATAAGCAAATGGGATTTGAACGTACACAATAAAAGTGGAATACGGGGGCGTCCGCCAATACTGTAGGTAGTGAATGTAGTTGACAAATGCTGGGTCTTCGAACTGCTTGTTCTGTGCGAGGTCTGGGGGGACCGGAAGGGAGACGGAAAGAGGGAGCGCGGGGAGGAGGGGGGGGGGGGGGGAGCGTACACTATGAAAGTTGAGTACGGGGGCTTCTGCCAGTACTGTAGTCTGTAGGTAGTGTATGCAGTTGACAAAAGCTGGGTCTTGGAACTGCTTGTTGGTTCTGTGCGAGGTCTGAAGGGACCGGATGGGATGGGAGAGGGAAAAGGGGGGGGGGAGGACTTTGAGTCGACTCAAAAGTCACCTCCGGATGGGAGAGGGAAAAGGGGGGGGGAGGGGGGGGGAGTTGGGTGGAGACTTGAGCGCACACAATGAAAATACACAATACGGGGGTGTTCGCCAGTACTTTATGTAGTTGACAAATGCTGGGTCTTGGAGCTGCTTGTTCTGTGCGAGGTCTGGGGGGAAATGGTGGAGACGGGGAGAAGAGGAAGAGGGGGAAGGGAGGGGGAGGGGAGGGGAGGGGGAGGGAGGAGGAGGAGCATGAGGAGGCGGTTTGGTGAGGGACGGAATGGGGATGACAAGGACACACAACGAAACCCTGGCCTATGGCATGGCATGGCAAGAATTCTGTCATGGCATAGCGTATGTGGTGGCATGCATTGCATCATAACTCACAGTAAAATAACCCACACTAGATTCATTCACAGTAGATCGACTCACAGTGAATGTAGTTCGGATTCGCCAGGCATTGAACGAACTCGAGCTCCACCAGAAACCGGTGCCTGCCGCCGTCCGTCTCCTCCAAGATGTAATCCCCGCCGTCCATCTTGAATGTCCAAGGCCTGGAAATGGTCTCCTACTATCCAGCCTATGCCCGTACGTGAGATGAATTTTTAACGACGACGTCCATGGCTCATGGTAATTGCTGGCCTACGCGAAACGCCGGAAGTGAAAGTGCCCACAATGGCGAAATATGAGGAAAATTGGGGAAAATGGGGGCGGCGAAAAATGGGGAACGAAACGACGACAGCGCGAAAATGGAAAAAGAATGGGGCTGGGAACAACGATGACGTCGTTTATTCTCTCCCGAGAATGAAACTAACAACGGCGCGAGCCCGACGAAGTGAAATACCAGAAGGAGCAGGGGCCAACCTAGAACTGGAGTCTAACAAGCAGACGGAGGTTTGTTGTGATAACTACGACACGCATGCTTAGTACTGTACATGCTACTGAGTCCGAACGGAGGGGAGGAGTACAGTGGCTGTAATAACGGTTTCGGTTTATTTCGATTAGATAATAGCGTGGTACAGTGCGGTGGAACTTCGTTTGAACACCTTCCGAGAGCGTTGAACGCTGTAATGACGCGCTCTGTAGCGCGTTATAAGAGTTGCGTCGGTATCGGAAATTTGTACGTAACTTCTAACTAAAAAAAAAGCATCAGCTTGTGTAATTTCCAAATTGATTTTGTTCATTAGCATCAATGCACCAATGATTATAAAAATGCTTTCATAATAGTAGAAATCGACCCTAATTCCGTTTATTGAACCCCTCAACTTTCCCAACAATGTCTTCAACACTGACAAGACATCAACATTGAATATGTAGAATAACAAAAAAACTGTTGTACTGGCAACCCAATTCTCACTCTACCTACCGTACATAATGGCTTACGTCAATAACAATACGCAAATAAAAGGGTAGCCCTACTTTTAGTCAAACCTCGTTTCTACGTCTTGGCTTTCTTCACTGAAGGGAACATGCGCACACGGCTCAACATGTCCTGAAATGACACCGGGAAGGAACGAAGGAACAGATGTGGACTCCCCTCCACACTGTACACCCGGAAATTGTTGCTAGCATCACCATTGCCTAGCCTTCCGCAGCTTAGGTCTCCTGCCATTGTACATCTTAGGTCATTTTGATGGGAGCTGATTCTGTCATGACTTGGAACTCCTGCTCCTCCACTCCCATTGCGAGTAGAGCTGCTGGCGCCACCGGAAGTGCTTCTAGGCATATCAAGGCAGCCTGTGTTGGGGATACCGGAAACTGCGGGCCCCAGTGAGGCTCCAGATGCATCCATGGCACAGTGACAACCAGCAGGGGCACCATCAGAAGCAGCACCAGCAGACCCAGCAGCAACCCCTACAGCATCACCACTGTTGCTGCTGCTGCTGCTGTCAGTGCATGCACTACAACGACCGCCAACGCCACTCCCACATGCCCCGTTCCTCCCTCTTCCACAATCCCCGCATGCCCGCTCCGCCTGCTCCTTCTCATCCCCCCTCTTGCTCTCTGTCGACCCAAACCCCCCATCCATCCCCACACGTCGACCATCGTCTCGTTTCCAGCCCTCACCCCCTCCTTTCCCTACTCTCCGCCCTCCTCCCACAAACTCCAGCCAGACCCCTCCCGGCACCTGATCCGGGCGGTAGACCCTCACTATGACCAGGTAGACCGGGAAGGAGAGGAGCAGCGAGGCGACGGTTTGCAGGGCGGAACGGACGGTGGAGATCGCGAAGCAAAGGGAGGCGAAGAGGATGTGGAAGATGGCGGTGGTGGGGAGGAGGAGAGTGAGGATGGTGAAGAGCAGCGAGCCGAGAGTCAACTGGCCGAGCGTGCACTCGACTGAGTCGATACGCTTGTGGAGGGGGTTCCACTTCAGGCCACTGCCAGGGGAGCAAGTGGGGTGTGGGGCAGATATAGACAAAGGAGGGGGTTGCGGGACACAAAAGAGGAGTGATCCGAGGGTGAGTTGGCCGAGCATGAACCCGACTGAGTTGATCCTCTTGTGCAGGGGGTCGACTTCAGGCCACTGTCAGGGGGCAGGTGAGAGTGAGAGCGAGGAAAGCAAAAGGGAGGGGGGGTGTGGGGCAGAAGAGGGAAGAGAGAGCGCATGAGTTGATCGAGGATGCACCCAGCAGAACTGATTCTCCAGTGAAGCAGAGGGGAGAATCGGAGAGGGGAGAAGCGGAGAGGGGAGAGGCAGAGAGCGGAGAAGCTAGGCAATGATACAGGGGGGTGATTGGATGCAGCTGCATGCGATACATACATGGGCGCCGGGCACCAATGAACGAGCACCAAGCACCAACAGGCACCAAGCATCAACAAATGACGTCCCTGTGACACATTTTGCACGGCCTGAAGCACTCACTTGAAGAGGCGGCAGAGGGCAACCACATAATTCAGCTGCATGCAATACATGAGCGCCGGGCACCAGTGAACGAGCACCAAGCACCAACAGGATAAGATAGACACAGCCTCCCTCCCCCTCTCCCCGGCCCCTTCCCTTCCCCGGCCCCCTCCCAAGGCACATATTGCCGTGCCTAGAAGCACTCACTTGAAGAGGCGCCAGAGGGCAACCACATAATTCAGCTGTATGCAATACATGGGCGCCGGGCACCAGTGAACGAGCACCAAGCACCAACAGGCACCAAGCATCAACAAATGACGTCCCTGTGACACATTTTGCACGGCCTGAAGCACTCACTTGAAGAGGCGCCAGAGGGCAACCACATAATTCAGCTGTATGCAATACATGGGCGCCGGGCACCAGTGAACGAGCACCAAGCACCAACAGGATAAGATAGACACAGCCTCCCCCCCCCTCTCCCCTGCCCCTTCCCTTCCCCGGCCCCCTCCCAGGGCACATATTGCCGTGCCTAGAAGCACTCACTTGAAGAGGCGCCAGAGGGCAACCGCATAATTCAGCTGTATGCAATACATGGGCGCCGGGCACCAGTGAACGAGCACCAAGCACCAACAGGATAAGATAGACACAGCCTCCCCCCCCCTCTCCGCGGCCCCTTCCCTTCCCCGGCCCCCTCCCAGGGCACATATTGCCGTGCCTAGAAGCACTCACTTGAAGAGGCGCCAGAGGGCAACCACATAATTCAGCTGCATGCGATACATGCACGCCAGGCACCAGTGAACGAGCACCAAGCACCAACAGACAGCCGGCATTAATTGCCATACATGTGCTTACTTGAACAGGCGCCAGAGAGCAATGACTGCATTCAGCTGCATGCGATACATGGGCGTCAAGCACCAATGAACGAGCGCCAGCTGGAGGTTCGACAGGAGCACCAGGTCCGCAATCACGCCCACAGCAGCCGACATGCCCAGAAACAGCCCCGCCGAACCAACCACCAGGACCGCCAGGTACGGCAGCACCGAGCCATAAGCGCTGCCGAAGCTAGCCCAAGCCTGCAGGGCTTGCCAGGATAGGGCGCCGAACGCAGCGGTCAGCTCATCATTAAGCTTGAGCCCGATGGGCTGAGAGATCAAGAGGACTACGCTGGTTCGGAGCACGTGATTGGTCAGGAAGTGGAAGAGGGAGGAGAGGGCGGAGGCGATGGTTCGGAGGAAGAAGAGGAGGAGGAGGGAGAAGAGGAGCCCCAGGGAGTGGTCCAGGAGGAGCGAGGTGAGAGGGGATGCAATGCGGTGCTGGGCGATATGCAGGTCCATGGAGGAATACAGAGGAATCTTGGGCTTTCCAGAGGAATCGACAGAAATGGGGAATTCAGGGGAGAAGGGAGCCGGTTTTACAGGATCTGCAGGAAAACAAGGCTCGTTAACCTGGAGCGTTTCGGGCGGGTCTGTTGACGATGGTAGGGATGCTTTTAACGATGTGCCTTGGGTGGATGGATCAGGTGAGTGAGTGGCAGCGGCAGCAGCAGGACCATCTGCTGCTGCTGCTGAACTGTTGGATAATTTTTAGGGTCGAGTCGAAGGTGACTTTGTCAACAGGTGCAAGACCAGGGTCTGCTGCTGCCACGTGGCCTTCGGTGAAGTCTTCTTCGTTTGAGAAGAAAGACGCTGATTGGAGGGCAGCACGGAGGGAAGCGATGAGCCGCTGCCGGCGAATCATGCACTGCCACGTGGCAGAGTTACTCTTCAGAGCAGCGGTAACTGCTCTGCCTGTGGATGTAACCACTGAGATGGTAACCACCCCCGCCTCTTGTAACAGCAGCAGGAGAGCCACGGGTGCAGCAGCAATCTGAGTCGCTACAGCCAAACTCAGCCGCCCAACTTGCCCCATAGCATCCAACGCTGCAGATTCCTCACCGTCCTCTACTATCTCTCCCTCTATAATCACCTCCTGCTTGGTATCCCCACCATTCAGCCCGAAAACCGCCCCCCATATAGCCACCTTCGCTTTACGAGGGTATGTGGTTGCCCCTGGGATTTCCTTTTCTTCCACTGCCTTAGTCTGCTTCATAGCATTCTCCTGAGGCTGCTCCAGAAGCTGCAGGTGCAATGAATCTGGACCGGTTTCTCCCTGCCCTGGTTCCACCTCCCCCGGACCCAACCCTCCCCCCTCTTCGTCTGGGCCCCCCTTTCCGCCGCTGTCACCTGTGTTTTCTCCTGCAGATGTCCCTACCGAGCCCGCTTCAGCTGCAGCGGATACTGCACTCACTGCAGTACACAGTTCCTCATCTGCTGAAGGGTCTGTAGGTGCACCGGGCTCGGCGTCCTTGCTGGGTTTTGGAGTCTTTCCAAGGAAAAAGATGCGCTGAATAAAGGCAGGGTGGGAGAGAGAACGAGAGAGCAAACGAGGAGAGAGAAACGGAGCGGGGGAGAGAGAGTGAGGAAACGGGGGAAAGTCTGTCGTTGCACCGGGCTCAGCGTCCTTGCTGGGTTTTGGAGTCTTTCCATTCCGAGGAAAAAGTTGCGCTGAAAAAAAGCAGGGTGGGAGAGGGAGCAAACGAGGGAGGGGAACGAGGAGAGCAAACGAGGAGGGAGAGAGTGAGCAGACGGGGGAAAGCCTGTAGCCGCGATGCGCCAGGCATGGAGCTCTTGACGGGATTTGGGGACTCCTTTCCAAGGGAGAAGATGCGCTGGAGAAGCAGGGTAGGAGAGAGAGCAAACGAGGAGAGAGAAACGGAGCGGGCGGAGAGAGTGAGCAAACATGGGAAAAGCCTGTAGCTGCGCTGAACATGGAGCTCTTGTTGGGCTTTGGGAACTCCTTTCCAAGGGGAAAGTTGCGCTGGAGGAGAAGCAGGACGGGGAATTGAGTGGGAGTGGAGGTGGGAATGACGGAATGGAGGCGCTTTGGGACGAGTCAGAAACACCCCACTCACCACAAGAGCTGAGGAGACACTGCCAGAGAGCCCCTGAGAGCGCCTGAGAGCGCCAGGAGATTTTCAACACCAAACACTCTCCCTACAAACAACAATCTAGAAGCCGAACGACCCTCTTAGGACCTTACCTTCATCCTACACATCACCCCCTCACGGCAAGAGCCGTGGAGATGACAGCAGCAAGGCCCCTGAGAGCGCCAGGAAATACACAACATAAAAAGCCCTCATTACAACACTGTACACGCCGAACACCCCTCGGACCTTACTTTCGTCCTACACACCACCCCACTCATTGCAAGAGCCGTGGAGATGACAGCAGAAAAGCCCCCGAGAGCGCCAGAAACCATACAACACCAAAAACGTTCTTTACAACACTGTACACGCCGCATACCCCTCATAGGACCTTTCATCATACACAAAACCCCACTCACCCAAGAGCCGTGGAAATAACGGCAGGCGACCCCCCTCATAGCGCCCGGAATCGACCCCCCAGCAGCAGCCGCCGGACTAGCAGCAGTCATAGCAGTCTATCGTCAATCATACACAGCACCACACTCACCGCAAGAGCAGTCGAGATCACAGCAGGCGACCCCCTTATAGCGCCCGGAATCGACCCCCAGCAGCAGCCGCCGCACTGGCAGCAGTCACAGCCGTTGCTGCTGTCGCTGCAGCTGCTGCTGACGCTGCTGTAGCCGCCGTCGCGGCTGTAGCAGCCGCTGCTGCAGTGGCAGCCGTTGCAGCTGTGGCAGCCGTGGCGGCTGTAGCAGCAGCAGCTGCACTGGCGGCAGTGGCTGCAGTCGCTGCAGTAGCGGCTGTAGCGGCAGCAGCAGCATTCGCGGCTGTAGCGGCTGTAGCAGCGGCAGCAGACGCTGTGGCTGTAGCGCCCCGCCTGCAGCTGTGAAGAGTGCGGGATGTTGTGGTGCTGATGGTGGTGGTGGCAGTGGTGATAGTGCTACCTATAGAGGTGGTAGCAGACCCGAGGGTAGTTGAAGCGGTTGCAAGGGAAGTAGAGGCAGTAGCGAGAGCGTGTGCCATGTTGAGCTTGTGAAACGGAACACTCTGCAGGAAAGGGGATACATATGGGAGGAGCAAAAGATTTTGAGTTGTGGTGCTTATAGAGGTGGTGGCAATGGTGACGGTGAAGCCTATAGAGGTCGTTGCAGACCCATCACCTCGGGTCACTGTTTTTGCAGAGTGTTTTTGAGAATTCTCAATCTCAAAGTCACTGTTTTCTTGGAGGCGGTTTCTAGGGAAGTGGAGCAGTAGCGACGGCGTGCGCCATGTTGACCTACAGCCCTACAACCTCATGCTTCACTGCTCCACAACCCAACACTACAACCTCATGCGTCTCCACTCACATATCCGCGCGACTTGGCTCTCTGCGCCCTGGGAGCGTCGAGGTGCCCCGAGTTGGCCCAGAACGACCGCGGCCACACGCCCACCCTCCCCGCGTCGGACGACCACCCTTCGAGACTCATCACTCCGCAACCCTACAAAACTCACGCCTCACCGCTTTACAACCCTACAACCTAATGGTTCACTGCTCTACAACCGTACAGTGCCCTGCTTCACCGCTCCACAACCCTACAACCTCATGCTTCACCGCTCTACAACCCTACAGCCCGACGCTACCGTCTCCACTCACATATCCTCGCGACTTGGCTCTCTGCGCCCTGGGAGCGTCGAGGTGCCCCGAGTTGGCCCAGAACGACCGCAGCCACACGCCCACCCTCCCCGCCTCGGGCGAAGACACAGACGGCGACGAGGGAACGGCGTTCTTCCCCGAACCTTCGTCGTCCGGCCCGTCTGACCCGTCCTCCCCTCCCTGCACCACACTCATCCACTTGCGGCAGTCGGCCACGTAGAAATGGCCGGGGAAGCTCGGCTGGTCGTAAAAAACGACCTGCAGTAAACGGAATGGGGTTGGGAGGGGGACGGGGTGTGGGGGGTGGTGGGGGTACATAGGTGGTTCGTTGAGAGAGGGGATGGTTCAAAGGTCCTTAGAGGCGCCTCAAAGCTCATCCACTTGCGGCAGTCGGCCACGCAGAAATGGCTGGGGAAGCCCAGCTGGTCTTAGAAGACCACCTGTGGGGTTGTGGCACGGACGGGAGATGGTTATTGGTGGTCGTTAGGAAAGCGAAGAATGTTTTGAGGCGCCTTGAAAGTGGATTCACTCGCGGCAGTCAGCCAATGCCCTCATACGCTCTCTAACTCAATGCTGGACTCTAACGCTCTCTTAACGTGTGGTAGCGCACCTGAGCGGACACTGGATGCCCAGCAGACGCCACGTCCGACGGCTCTCTGCCAATGCTCTCATACGCTCTATCTCAACGCTGGACCCTAACGCTCCCCTGGGCGGAAGCGCACCTGAGCGGACACTGGGTGCCCAGCTGACGCCATGTCCGATGGCTGTCCTGCCGAAGCTCCCGATGCTGGCTTGGAATCAGGATCCGACTGCGAGCCCGTGCTGACAGGATCAGTAGCAGAGTCGGCCGAATCGTCGGAAGCAGGGCCGGATTGGCCTGATTCCCCGCCGGACCTGCACACAGAAGGAGCGAAAATGCGGCGTTACAAGTGCGCAGATTTTCGTAGAACAGAGTCCGAGTCTCGGGACGCAAAAAAACTGCTTGGGATTAATAAATTAGGGGTATAATCCGCGCGGACACTGTTAATTGAAGGCGAGAAAACAGGACAGAAGGGGAAATGCAGGGCTTGCAGCTGCACGTTCCGGCATAAGCACGAACGAAGAACGCATGCTCATCAAGTTGAAGCACGTAGATGTTTCCATTTATTAAAGGCAAGCAAGCATACCTGGTACCACCAGGTTGCTTCGAAGCTTCGTCGTCCGAGCTGCCGCTGGACGCATCAACGTTCATACGCATTCCGATCAGCTCCACATTTCGCCACCAGTCCAATATCGCAGCTCCTTTACCGCGTACAGGCGGAGCCGATCCCGCCGCCTCCTGCGACTCCCCGGACCAGAAGCGCCTGACGGCGACACTGGCGACGCCGGCGACGTTGGCGATTGTCGCTGCTGCTGCCATCTTCGTCGCCACAACAACGTAAACGGCACCTTAGACGAAAAAGCCGATCCGTTGCTACCCTGGCCATCTTGACCTACATCCTTGAAGCTCTCCTTCTTATCGATGTTTAAGGGCTCGATATCTTGCAAGCGATCGGAGTCGCCGCCGAAACTCCAAGCCGATCGAGGCGAGCAGCAGCCAGACGCTTTAGGCGAGCTCGCTCCGGAGGAAAACCGGCTGAAGAAGGACGAGAAGGACGAGGAGGAGAGATTGGAATGTTCTGGAAGGACCGAACATTCCGCGACGACGCACGCACGGTCAGGCTCGTCGAATGCATTCGACTGGTGAACGGCGGGAGGATTATTGCCAGGCCGGCTATTTTCATGGCCGTTTAAAGGAGACGCAGACGGGTCTAGGTCGCAGCGCTTCATGCCAGCGCTGGAACTGTCGTCGGGGATTGTCGCAGGAGCCTTGCAGCTATCCTGGTCAACGGGAGTGGATTTCTTGTAGCTGTTAGACGGGTCTAGGTCCCCTTTCACTTCGTCGTTGCGACCCGAGCATGGGGGAGTCGCAGCTGCGACGATGACATTGACTTCGCGAGTTTCGCCAACGTCGGCTGACTCGATCCATCCTAGTAACCGCTGTCGCTCGCCTTCCAACGGCACCTGAACCGGCCACCAGACTGTAACCCTAACCCGCTCCGTGCTCTGCTTCCTAAAGCTCTTGCAGCTAACTGGCCCTGCCTGTTCAGCCATGCTAAAAATGACACGTCAGCGCCAGCCGAACCAAGTACAAGCACAGTGTGCACCAGCAGAAATAAAGCGCACGCTAAGAGGGCAGTGCTAGAGTAACAGAACGACTTGGCAGAGTCACATGGCTCGGAATTGGGGGGTTCTGCATCCTGATTCCTGAAGCACTGAGGTGAAAGGGAGATGGTGGAGACTGGGGAGACTAAGCAGGAAAGGCAACAGTGCAGAAACAGAAACATAGGCACCATGCAGTAGAGCAGGCACCTCAACCCTCCGCGGAAAACGGCCATCAGAAACAGATGCTCAAGCAAAATGCCTGGGGCCATGAAGTGGCTGGTTCCCACTCTAACGTTGCAAAACCGAGATGCAAACTGTTAAAACGTTAGAACTTTGTTATCACCGCTTTAAAACGCTCAGGAAAGTTTCACGGCATTGGGGCAAACTTACTCGGGCAATTTCAAGAAATCACCACTCCTGGCCAGACTGCTCAGCGTAGGGTTTCTTTCATGACCATCACACACCTCTCGCCCTAGTTTTCGCCACAGCCACAACTCACCTGTCAGCCCTCGATAAAGGCACAAAACTCTATCCCGGCGCCTCCTTCCCTTCTGTTGGTTGGCCAGATCGTTCGGGCAGCCCCTATTGTTGGGGTTTGGGGCAGTGGCTGGCAGGATATGCTTAGGCGCGCACGACGAATTTCGTTGGCCCCGTTGTTATAGTAACAACGATTCCTGCCGCCGAAGCCCATACCTTCTGAACCATTCATGTGGGCGACGGGGTTGTTCCTTGGAGAATTTGAAGATGCCTTTCGCACAAAGCGAATCGGGTCCCTGATATATTCGCCCAGATTCGTTACCATCTCGCTTCCTGTCGCCGAGGTCTGGTGCCTCGTGTCTGCTGGCAATCAACCTGAGGACTTGGCGGGATGCGTGTTGGCGCCGATTTTGGAACCACCTCGCACGTTTGGGCTTGAAGGTGGGGCTAGCTCAAGCACGTCAGCGTGGAGGGTACCCTAACTTCCACGCAAGTTCTTGCCCCGCCTGACTGGTTGACCACAGAACTCTCCGCTAAGAGGAACGTTTTTGTGGCCTCTTTGAGTATGCTCATAAAGTGTGGGGCAATCTTGTAGTTTTTGTGGAAACAAATAATGGACTCTAGACGATCTCTCATTATCTAGTTTCTCGGATTTTATAACTCTTAGGAAGTTCTTTTTATCTCAAAGTGGGTATGGAATACTTGATGGTGACATGCACATGAATGAGATGACTTATTACAAAACAAGAAATACTGTTAAATTTTTAAAGTAAAAAGAGCAGTTTCTGTTAATTTTGTGAAGCTAAATTTTCAAATGATAGATAATTGATCTCAATAAACACGTATTCGGGGAGAGGAATGTATGATGGAACGTTCAAGCTGGAATAATAACATCACAAAGGTGGGTACCTGTTCCCAAGAAAGAGATTCTATCACTGCAACGCGTACAAAGAGCATTGTAATTTGCGTCCCCGTAGGTCCTAGAGCCTAGACCTGCTCCTAGATATCTCCACAAGATAGTACAGAACTCATTTCCCTGCCTTCACGTCTCGTTCCGTCAGCAGCGTTGTTTATTCCAGGACGCCTTAGCCCGCTTCTCGCAAAAATCTCGAACTTAGGGAGGGATCAGGCTAGGCAGTAGGCAACTGTCGTAACGCTGGTTGGTCTTGGTGCGATAGATCCGAACGCTTGTCCAAGGGACTGATCCGACGACCAGACCGGAGGCTGGTTCGAATTGGCTCGCGATTGTTCTCGTGCTCGTGACCAAGCATCTATCGATCTACTCTTCCTCTGGGCCTAGCGTCTCGCGCCACTTATCCAGCCATGGTGAGTGCTTTTGAGGCGCCTCAAAACCGCGGATAAGGAGACGACTTTTGAGGCGCCTCAAAACCGCGGATAAGGAGACGACTTTTGAGGCGCCTCAAAAGGCGCCACTTATCCAGCCATGGTGAGTGAGTGACGCTTACGTAAACGTGAGTGCTTCGAAGCGCCGCGACATCATCCCTTGTGGCTCTGTCCGTACCTGCCGTCCCTTGTGACTGTCCGTACCTGCCGTCCCTTGTGTCTGTCCGTACCTGCCGTCCCTCGTGACTGTCCGTACCTGCCGTCCCTCGTGTCTGTCCGTACCTGCCGTCCCTTGTGTCTGTCCGTACCTGCCGTCCCTCGTGACTGTCCGTACCTGCCGTCCCTTGTGTCTGTCCGTACCTGCCGTCCCTCGTGACTGTCCGTACCTGCCGTCCCTCGTGACTGTCCGTACCTGCCGTCCCTCGTGCCTGTCCCTCCCCTCCCTCGACTCGGCCTGCTGTCCCTTTAACTTGACTCCCGAGGTAAGCTGTCTTATGAGTCGATCCAAAACTCAGTTCCCTCGTGTCTGCCCCTTTGTCGTGCCTCGACTCGGTCAGCTGTCCCTTTTACTTGACTCCCGAGGTAAGCTGTCTTATGAGTCGATCCAAAACTCAGTTCCCTCGTGTCTGCCCCTTTGTCGTTCCTCGACTCGGTCAGCTGTCCCTTTTACTTGACTCCCGAGGTAAGCTGTCTTATGAGTCGATCCAAAACTCAGTTCCCTCGTGTCTGCCCCTTTGTCGTGCCTCGACTCGGTCAGCTGTCCCTTTTACTTGACTCCCGAGGTAAGCTGTGCTCGCACCCGCATCATGTTGCGGCGTCTTTAAACACGTGTTGACACCTGATTAGACACTCTGCCGCCATCTTTCTCGTCCCTAGTCCCTCCCATGTCCCGTTTCGCTCTCCTGTTCCTCCTCTTCCTCCTTGGCGAATTTGAGCGACCTCTCTGGCAATAGCTCTCGCTGACGCCTTTGAACGCCCTTTTCTTGGCGGATTTGAGTGACCCTTGTGTCAGCAACCGTCGCTGATGCTTTTGAGCACCCTTTTCTCTCGTCCTTCCGCCCTCCTGTATCCCGCATTCCATCACTTCCGTGCTTCAGTGTTGTGTGACATTATAACGAGGTGACTTTTGAGTCGACTCAAAAGTGTTGTGTGACATTGTAACGAGGTGACTTTTGAGTCGACTCAAAAGTCCCCTCCGGTATCCCGCATTCCATCACTTCCGTGCTTCAGTGTTGTGTGACATTATAACGAGGTGACTTTTGAGTCGACTCAAAAGTGTTGTGTGACATTGTAACGAGGTGACTTTTGAGTCGACTCAAAAGTCCCCTCCGGTATCCCGCATTCCATCACTTCCGTGCTTCAGTGTTGTGTGACATTGTAACGAGGTGACTTTTGAGTCGACTCAAAAGTCCCCTCCGGTATCCCGCATTCCATCACTTCCGTGCTTCAGTGTTGTGTGACATTGTAACGAGGTGACTTTTGAGTCGACTCAAAAGTGTTGTGTGACATTGTAACGAGGTGACTTTTGAGTCGACTCAAAAGTCCCCTCCGGTATCCCGCATTCCATCACTTCCGTGCTTCAGTGTTGTGTGACATTGTAACGAGGTGACTTTTGAGTCGACTCAAAAGTCCCCTCCGGTATCCCGCATTCCATCACTTCCGTGCTTCAGTGTTGTGTGACATTGTAACGAGGTGACTTTTGAGTCGACTCAAAAGTGTTGTGTGACATTGTAACGAGGTGACTTTTGAGTCGACTCAAAAGTCCCCTCCTGTGTCCCGCATTCCATCACTGCCCTGCTTCCTCTCTCCCCTTCAGGCTGCGACCCTCGCGGATTCCTTTTTGGCGGATCTGGACGACCTCTCAGACAATGAAGAGGCGCCTCAGGTGGGTGGGTGGGTATGTGAGTGGGTATGCAAGCCTGCACGCACTTGTGTCAGTGGGCATGAGTCGCTGCACTGCACCTGTGTGAGTGGGTTAGCGAGGCTGCACTGCACCTGTGTGCCTACTGCATGCACACAATCGTTTGGTAGTGTTTCATAAGTGCGGATCTAACCGACCTCTAAGGCAACAAAGAGGCGGCTCAGGTGTGTATGTGTGTGTGTGTGTGTGTGTGAGTGGATACGCGAGGCTGCATTTCACCTGTGTGCCTACTACTTGCACACAATCGTTTGGTAATGATTCACAAGTGCGGACCTAGACGACCTCTCAGACAATGAAGAGGCGCCTCAGTGTGTGTGTGTGTGTGAGTGGATAAGCGAGGCTGCACTGCACCTGCGTGCTCACCTACTGCTTGCTTGAACACTTTCTTTCGGTAGTGATTCATACGTGCGGATTTAGCCGACCTTTCAGACAACGAAGAGGCGCTTCAGGTGGGTGTCGGTGGCACGTATGGGCTAATCAATAAGCTCATCACCTGTCGGCCTAATGTTCATTCACACCTCACTTAAAGCGGATCTAGACAGCTTTTTGGACAGTGAAGAGGCGCTGTAGGTGGGCTGATTGAATGCTAGGCAAGGTGGAATCATTGAATGCATTCAATCAATTACTGGTAATTCCACTGTTCACACACTTTTTTTTTCTTTTCTTTTTTTTGTTAACGAGATATTTTAAAGCGGATTTGGACGACCTTCCTGAAATCAAAGAGCCTCTTAATATGTTTTCTCTGATGTTGAAGCCACCTCTTTTCTTGCCTTTTCCCATGACCTTAATTTCTCCTTGGCTTCTTCCCTTTTTTGCAGGAAGCTGGTGCTGGGGAGGGTACAGAATAAGGATCGAATGAGGAGGAGGAAACAACGGGCCTAGAAGCGCGCAACTATGAAGGTCCGGATTTTCCCTTCGTGCTCTTACTCTCCTCTCCGTTATGCAGGAAGTTGGTGGGGGGGAGGGCGCTGATGAAGGGTCAGACGAGGAGGAGGAGACAATGGGCCCAGAGGCGCTCAATTATGATGACTTAGAGTCCTTTTTCTTGTGTTTCCTTCTGTTTGCAGGAAGTCGGTGGTGGAGAGGGCGTGGAGGAGGGGTCGGATGAGGAGGAAGAGACAATGGACCTAGAGGCGCTCAACTACGATGACTTGGATGCTGTGGCCAAGCTGCAGAAATCAGCCCGGTTTATCGACATGATGCGGGTGGGTAGGTTGGGTGGGGAGTATGGCGTAGGTAGGGTGTGGGTAGGGGGAGGCGTTTTTGGTAAGAGATGGATGATCTAGAAGCGCGCTCAACTATGACGACCTGGATGCCATGGCCAAGCTGCAGAAATCAGCTGGATTATCGACATGATGCGGGTGGGTGGTGGGCTTTGATAGGCATAGTGGGATCAGAAGGGCCCAGTGGTGGACGCGAGGGGGAGGCGGGTGTCAGGAGCGTTCCAATGCTGCGGCCAAGCTGCAGACAGACATGATGCGGGTGGGTGATGGGCATTGATAGGCATAGTGGGATCCGAAGGTGCCAGTGGTGGAGGAGGGGGAGGGGGGGGAGTCAGGAGCGCTCAACCATGACGACTTGGACGCTGTGGCCAAGCTGCAGAAATCAGCCCGGTTTATTCACATGATGTAGGTGGGTGGTTTCAGGTGGGTTTGGGTGGGGCGCATGACTTGGGGTGGGGGGGTGGAATGTGGCGCTCAACTGTGGCCAAAGAGGAGTCAGTGAGATTGGTCGACATGATGCGGGTGGGTTCAGGTGGTGGGGACTTATAACGGGGTTATAGTTGGTGGTTGGGATGGGTTGGGCTGGTTGGAGGCTCATAGGTGTGGGTGAGGGCTTATCGACGCAGGGAGGGGAGGGGGAGGGGAGGGTAGGGGAGGGGAGGGGAGGGGAGGGGAGGGGAGGGGAAGGGAGTGGGGCTGGATGTCGGTGGCCAAGCTGCGAAAGTTTTTGAGTCGTGATTGGCATGTCGGTGTGAGCTGGAATGAGCAGGCTGAACTTCCGTTCCTTTCCCATTAGCTTTAGTGCGTGTGGGTCACGGATATCCAGCCCCACTCCCTTCCCCTTTCTCCATCCCCTCATACTTTCTTCACCCCCCTTTCCTCCCCTGCCTCCCGACCGCTCTTTCAGAGGGTGGAAGCTGCACTGGAAGCTTCGGATGCCCAACTGGCCAGTGAGGGAGAACCAGAGGGCGCAGGACCCTCTTCTGAACAGAAGCAACTGGAGCAGCAGCAGGAGCAGCAGCAGCAGGAGCAGGAGGGTGGCAGTCTGCCTGTGTCGGCGGCATCAGCAGCCGCAGCAGCTGTAGCTGCAGGCCTCACCCCTCCCTCTGCCACTGCTGCTGCTGCTACAGCCGGATCGGCTGCTACAGCTGCTGCTACAGCTGTTGCAGGCCCTATGGACGAATCAGAGTACCAACTAATCGTGGACTGTAACGGTCTTGCTGTAGACATTGACAACGAGATAACCATAGTGCATAACTTCATTAGAGACAATTACCGCCTTAAATTCCCCGAGCTGGAGTCCCTGGTGCTGCACCCGATCGACTACGCGCGCGTGGTCCGTCGGATCGGCAACGAGATGGATCTGACGGTGGTGGATCTAGAAGGGCTGCTGCCCTCGGCGACGATCATGGTGGTGTCAGTTACAGCCTCCACCACTACGGGACGGCCGCTGCCAGACGACGCGCTTCAGAGGACGATGGAAGCGTGTGATAGAGCCCTGGCATTGGACGACGCAAAGAAGAAGGTGCTCAGGTCAGTTCATTGGGACCTGATGTGTTCGCACCTTACCAAGTCCTCTCTTTGGAAATCTCAATGTCTTTGGATGACGCAAAGAAGAAGGTGCTCAGGTCAGTTCATTGGGACCTGATGTGTTCGCACCTTACCAAGTCCTCTCTTTGGAAATCTCAATGTCTTTGGATGACGCAAAGAAGAAGGTGCTCAGGTCAGTTCATTGGGACCTGATGTGTTCGCACCTTACCAAGTCCTCTATTTGGAAATCTCAATGTCTTTGGATGACGCAAAGTAGAAGGTGCTCAGGTCAGTGGTTTAAGCCCTGAACCCTGGTTGTCTCAAGTTATTGTGTTGATTGTGAATCTCCTTGAGCTGACGTTGCAGAGAACAATGGAGGCATGTGATGCAAAGAAGATGGTGCCAAAGTGGGGCGAATGTCTCAAGTGGTTGTGTCTCAAAGGTTGTGTCTATCTTTCAAGGCGCGTAATCTTAACCCCTGCCTAATCTCCCCCTTCTCGCCTCCTTACCTCACTCTCAGGTTCGTGGAGAGCAGGATGGGAGGTTTGGCGCCGAACCTATCAGCCGTGGTTGGTTCGGCGATTGCAGCTCAGCTGGTGGGCGTGGCAGGGGGGCTCATGGCACTAGCCTCCATGCCTGCCTGTAACATCCAGGTGGGCGTGGCTGAAGTCTTGTGGTATGCAGAAATATATGGCGAGAGTTTAGCATAATTCAGGTGGTGTTCCTTAGCTGGCTTGCGTGGCAGGGGGGCTCATGGCTCTCGCCTCCATGCCTGCCTGCAACATTCAGGTGGGCAATATATGGGTGCTTCCTGTAAGCAACATGTAATACTGGTTTTTAAGGTCTCCCAAATACCAACTTGCAACATGTCCTTTGGGTGTTGCCACATCCAGGTAGTCCTCTTCTTCCTGGTGGTTTTCTCAGCTCGGCTGGTGTGGGCGTGGCAGGGGGCCTCATTGTTGTAAAATATATATCTATACAACATGCATGCCTAGATTAGGAGGTGTAGTCATTCTAATTATTGGGGGTTGTTGGTTGGGTTGACCAACCCCACATTTGGGTTGGTCAAGATTGGATTTGGTCCTAGACATTTGGTTGGCACTATTCCAACCAAATGGTCCTTGGTCCTAGGAACCAACCAATCACCAAGCACCACACTTTGTGGTTGCTTGCCTTCCAAGCAATCTCTCTCATTGGTCCACATTGTGGCCAATCGAAGAGCACCACACTTTGTGGTTGCTTGCCCTACAAGCAACCTCTCCCATTGGTCCACTTTATGGCCAATAGGAGAGCTTCCCTTCCAACTCTTCCTTGCTCCTTGTTTTGTACAAAAGAGCCTCTTGGCTCCCTACTCAATTCAATTTTTTCTCTTCCAAGCTAGTTCCTTCATGGTATTCAGAGCCACAATGGCTCACGCCACCTCTAGTCGATCCTAACTAGCACGGCCGTATGCCGTCCCTCCTCGTCTTCGAAGCCTAGCCCTTCCTTAAGGCTCCTTCCCGCGCCCCCCGTGCGCCCTCTCCCGCCGCGCTATTCCGTCGCGCCCGCTCTTCCTCCCGTCCCGCGCCTTTTTGCCGCGCCCGCTCTCCCTTCCGTCGTGCGCCTCCCGTCCCGCTTGACGACGCGCTTCTAGCCGTCGCATCCTTCTACTGCGCCCGTTGGTGCGCTCCTCCGTCGCGCGGCCCGTCGTCGCACCCTCCCGTCGCGCCCTCCCGTCGCGCGCCTTCCGCGTTTGCGTGCACCCGTTCGTCGCGCTCTCCGCGCGCCCAACCGTCACGGCTCCCGCGCACGCCCGTCGACAAATTCTCCCACCGCGCCCGTCGCCTTTCGGTCGCAGCGCGCGCACGGCCGTCGGTCGATTTCTCCGCCGCGTGCGCCCGCCCGTCGTCGATTCCGCCGTCGCGTGCACCCGTTCGTCGCGCCATTTCGGCGTGCAGCCGCCCGTCGCATCTTCCTTGGAGCGCGTCGTGCAGCTCGTTTAAGTCGCCTTCGGCGACTTCAGAGCTGCGCTCCGTGCACCTATCCTTCTCCTCCCTCCCCCCTTCTCCTCCTCCTTTCCTTTTCCTCCTCCTTTCCTTTTCCTCCTCCCCCCCCCCCCCCCCCTCCTCCTTCCCCTCCTCCTCCTCCTCAATGGCGTCCGATTCCTTGGTGGACCTTACCTCCGTCGACGCTCTTGAGCTGCTGCCCGACAACACCGCGGTCAATTGGCATTCCTATGCCCAAACCGTCACGGTGCTTCTCTCCTCGGTGACGGTCAACGGCTACAACCTGAAAGCCGTTGTCCATCTGGAGGAGCGCGGTCTTCAGCCTGCCCAGCCGGATGCTCCCGCGGGCCCTGCACCTCCTCCTCCTGGCGATGCTCCCGTCAGCCCCGGCGATCCTCCAACCTTCGCCCCTGACGTCAACGACCCTCAGAGCTCCGAGACCGCCATCCGCACCTACCGTGCCAGCCTCACCGACCACGTCCGCCAGCAGCTGCTCTTCGAGGCTTCCCGCGCCAAGCATGACGCCGCCACTGCCGCCTACAACACATATCAGGCGGCGCTCGCGGAGTACGTCAGGCGCGAGTGCGCATACATCACCGACCTCGCTGCCTGGCGTGTCGCTGACCGGCGCGCGCTCACCATCCTCCTCGCCACCATTCCTCCCACCCTCAAGCGCGAGCTTGCTCCCACCTCCTCCTCCCACCTCTGGCGGCTCCTCACTGATCTCTATGATCGGCAGGACGTCGCCACCCTCTACTCCCTCATCAAGGAGTTCCAGAGCCTCACCATGGACTCTACCACCGGCGCAGTTGCCTTCACGCGTCGCGTCCTCGACCTCGCTCGGCGCCTGGCGGCTCTTGGCGTGCCGTACCCGGACCCAGTACTCTGCTGCCACCTCCTTGAATGCTTGACTCCTGCTTTCGACACCCATAAGATCGCCTACATGCAGCTGATCGACAAGCGCATCACCCCGGCTGAAGTCGCCCAGTGGATTATCACCACTGAGGCCGACCTCTTGCGCCATTCCTCCTCCATTGCCGCTGTTGCTCAGCAGCGCAACACCAGGGGAGGGCGTGGGGGTGGGTGTGGCGCTGGTCGTGGTGGTGGCGCGGGTCGTGGTAGCAATGGCGCAGGACGTGGTGCAGCAGCCGCCTTTCCTCCTTGCCAGTATCTCCCTCGCTATGGCCCCACGGGGGGTCAGCGCTGTGGCCAGACCACTCATGCCACTGATTCTTGCTTCAAAGCGCTCAGTGATGAGTGGTTTGCCCGCGGCAACACCGGCACCCCCCCCCGCTGGTCCTCCCTCTCTCCTCGCCCCACTCCTCAGGAAGTTCGTACCTCCCCTCTTTTTCAGCTCGTCTCCTCCCCCTTGGCCCACCAGGCCGTCTCTCAGCATCAGCAGCAGCAGCAGACTCCGCAGCAGATCCTGCCGCAGCCGTTCAGCAGCAGCAGCAGCAGTTCCAGCAGCAGCAGCAGCAGCAGGGGCAGCAGCACCTCTTCTCCCAGTTGCAGCAGCAGCTCCAGCAGCTCCAGCAGCAGCTTGACCTCCAGTCACAGCTCCCCCTTGCACCTCCTCCTATGGCTTCCCCCCAGCAGCCCTACCCCGCTTGGACCGCCGGCACCACCGCTTCCGCAGCTCACCTCTCGGGCGCGTCTTCCGCGCCCTCAGCCACAGGCAGTGTGACTCCTTTCCCCTCCTCTGGTTTTGTTGGCATGGTTAGCCAGGTTGGAACCCCCGCCCCTTCTATGTATTCGGCTGCTATTAATGAGAATGTGATTCAGTACTCCGTCCCATCTCCTCCCCCACATCCTCCCCCCTCCACCACGCTGGACTTTGTCCTTGACAGTGGAGCCACTGAGTCCGTCCTTCGTGATGCTGGTACCCTTCACGCTCTCCCAGCCCCCACCTCCCTCCTTGGTGCCGATTCCAGCTTCTCTATTCCCTGTCGCCACACCTCTACCCTCCCCTGTCCCCTCTTCCCCTCACGTACCGTCACTGGTTTACACATCCCCTCCCTCCGTACTAACCTCCTCTCCCAGCGATCCCTGCAGCAGGCCGGTATCACCACCGTCTTCCCAGGTCGCGCTAATCACTGCCTCCTATACCATCCCACAGGTCGCCTCCTCTCCCGTATTCCCTTTTGTCCTCTCTCCCCGCCTATATACCCTTCGAGTTCCTCGTCTTCCCTCTGCCCAGGCAGTCTCCCGCTCCCTCCCCCACCTCACATCCCTCCCCCTCCTCTCCCTCCTTCTAACCCAACCATTCCCCCCCTCCCCCCTGACCCAACCTGCTCCTGTCGATCCCTCTCCCATCCCACCGTCCTCCTCCACCACAGGCTTGGTCACCCCAACTTTGCCACCCTCCGCTCGACCGTCTCCTCAGGTCTCCTTCGAGGTCTTCCCCTCACCCTCCCTCCCCTCCCTCCCTCCCTTGCCCCACCCTGCTCCGTCTGTGTCCAGAGCAAGCTCAAGCAGCTGCCGCATCGGAGTTCCCCCTCCGCTGCTGCTCAGCCGCTTGATCTTGTTCACATGGACCTCTGGGGCCCCAACCCCTCCCCTTCCCGCCAGGGCCATCGCTACATGCTTGTTCTGGTCGATGATCACAGCCGATATTCGTCCGTCTCCCTTCTTCGCTCGAAGGGTGATGCTCTGGCTGCGATCATCGCCTGGCTCAAGCAGGCGAGCACCCACTTTGGCCGCCCTGTGCGCCGCCTTCACTCTGATGGCGGTGGCGAATTCCTTAATCGTCAGGTAGCCTCCTACTGTGAGCTTCATGGCATTCGCCAGACTCACACCCTCCCCCACTCCCCCCAGCAGAATGGTGTGGCCGAGAGCCGTGTTCGGGAGATCACCAAGATTGCTCGGTGCCTCCTCGTCCATGCCTCTTGCCCCCCTTCTCTGTGGGGCTATGCCCTCCTTCACGCCACCCTCCTTACTAACCTGTACCCCCACCCTATCCTTCCCTCCACCACTCCCACCGAGCTCTGGACGTCGGCCAAGCCTAACGTCTCCTCCCTCCGTGTGTGGGGCTCCAGGGCGTATGTCCTCATTCACCCTGCGGACCGCCCCCGCACCATGGGAAAGCTCGCCTCCCGTACTCTCCCCTGCATCTTCCTTGGTCATAATCCCTCCTCCCCGGACTACCTCTTCCTTCACCCCCCCTCAGGTCGTTTCCTCCGCAGTCGGGATGTAGTCTTTGATGAGTCCACGCCCTACTATTCCACTCCTCCCCCCACTGACCCTCTCGCCCCTGCTCCCAGGCCCCTCAACTGGTCCGACACTATCCCACCCCCTCTTCTCCCTCCCCCTCCCATCCTCCCTCCCGCTCCACCTCCTCCATTCCCCGCCGCCTCGGTCCCTAGTGCTCCCCCCTCCTCTGGTGACATATTTGACCCTGACCCTTTTTTTCCCCCCGCCTCCCCGTCCCACTCCTCCCCCTCCGCTCCCTCCCATCCTCCCCCCTCCCCTCCTCCCCCCTCCCCCCCACGTCCCCCTCCCCCCTTGCGTCCCACCCGCTCCATCCTTACCCGGTATCCCCACACCAGGTCGCGTGACGCAGTCCTAGGTGCCCCGCCTCCTGTTATCCTCTCTTCCTCTCCCTTGCCTCCTCTCTCCCCTCTCATGGACCTCCTTTTTCAGACAGTCTTACAACAAAACACTAGCCCAACCCTGCCGCCGAGCTCCAGTACCGCAGCAGCACCAGCAGCAGCAGCCGTCGCTCCTTCCTCGCCTTCACCCGCAGCAGCAGCAGTGGCGGCAGCAGATGCAGCAGTAGCAACCGCCTCAGCAGCAGCAGCAGCAGATGCATCCTCAGCAGCAGCAGCAGCAGCAGCAGCAGCGGCAGCAGCAGCAGCTGCAGTCCTCCCATTCATTTTCCACTCCTCCCTCCTCGAGGACTCCCATGAGGAGATCCTCAACCTCCACCTGCATGATCCAGCCCTCCTACCCATCTCCCCTGACCTCAGCGGCACACCAGTCTTCGCCTTCTCCTCCGCCCCCACCATCTTCGTCCCCGCCACGTACGAGGAGGCCATGGCGTGCCCTGACGCTCACCTCTGGCTCGCGGCCATCCTCAAGGAGTTGGAGGCGTTTATTGCCAACTCCTCCTTTGTGGATGTGCCACGCCCTCCCTCTACCACGAACGTGGTCAAAGGGAAGTGGGTGTTTCGGGTGAAGCAGCTTCCTGGCGAGCCGCCAGTCTACAAGGCCCGCTACGTCGCCAAGGGCTTCACCCAGCGCTACGCTGTCGACTTCTTCGACACCTTCTCTCCCACCGCCAAGCCCGCTACCATTCGCGCAGTCCTCGACCTCGCCGCTCGCCTCAACATGGAGATTCACTCCATGGACGTCTCCAACGCATTCCTCCAAGGGGTCTTGCGCGAGCTCATTTACATGGAGCGTCCTGCCGGCTTCCACCTCCCCTTTCCTTCCGACTCTGTCTGGCAGCTGCGTCGGCCGGTCTATGGGCTCAAGCAGGCACCAAGGGAGTGGCATGCCAAGCTTGCTGCCACCCTCGTCGAGCTTGGCTTCAGCACCTCCCGTGCCGACCCCAGCCTCTTCCTCCGCACCTCCCCCTCCCCCTTCTACATCCTCGTCTATGTCGACGATATGATCCTCATCACTGCCGACTCCGCCGAGCTCGAGCGTGTCAAGCGTGAGCTTGGCAGCCGGCTCAAGTGTAAGGATCTAGGGGAGCTGCAGCACTATCTCGGCATGGAGATTACCCGCGACCGTGCTGCTCGCACCATCTCCCTCTCCCAAGGCCACTACCTGCAGCAGGTCTTGGAGCGGTTCGACATGGCTCGAGGCACCCCTCAGGTCACCCCTCTTCCTGTTGGGCACCACCTCACTCCCCTCACCTCCCCCTCCTCCTCCTCCCACCCCTACGCTGAGCTCATCGGCTCTCTCATGTATGCCATGGTCTCCACCCGCCCTGACCTGGCATACCCCATCAGCGTTTTGGCCCGCTTCGTTGGTACCGGCAAGCATGATACCACCCACTGGCAAGCGGCCAAGCGTGTCCTCCGCTACCTTCGGGGGACCAAGGACTACGTCCTTACCCTTGGCGGCCCCTCCCCTCCCCTCCTCACTGGCTACTCTGATTCCTCCTGGGCTGACTCTCGGCCTGACCGCCGCTCCTCTCAGGGCTATGGCTTCTCTCTTGGCAGTGGCCTCATCAGCTGGCGCTCCACCCGCTCCTCCTCCATTGCCCTCTCCTCTTGCGAAGCAGAGCTGTATGCCGCTACCATGGCTGCGCAGGAGGCCCGCTGGCTCTCCTTCCTTCTTGAGGAGCTTGGTGCCCCTCAGCGCTGTCCCACCATCTGGTGCGACAACGCCAGCACCATCCACCTCACGAAGGATGCTGTGTTCCACGGGCGCTCCAAGCACATTGAGCTTCGCCACTACTTCATTCGCGAGCTTGTGCAAGGTGGCCACCTCCGGCTGGGCAAGATTGACTCTGCTGCCAATCTTGCCGACATCTTCACCAAAGCCCTCCCCCACGCCGCCCACTCGTCCCTCCTTCGCCTTCTTGGACTCGCTCCCCCCGTTCCCTCGTCCGCCTCCTGATTCAAGCCCTCTAGTCTTATGCATGTTGGGGGGTTGTGTTGTAAAATATATATCTATACAACATGCATGCCTAGATTAGGAGGTGTAGTCATTCTAATTATTGGGGGTTGTTGGTTGGGTTGACCAACCCCACATTTGGGTTGGTCAAGATTGGATTTGGTCCTAGACATTTGGTTGGCACTATTCCAACCAAATGGTCCTTGGTCCTAGGAACCAACCAATCACCAAGCACCACACTTTGTGGTTGCTTGCCTTCCAAGCAATCTCTCTCATTGGTCCACATTGTGGCCAATCGGAGAGCACCACACTTTGTGGTTGCTTGCCCTACAAGCAACCTCTCCCATTGGTCCACTTTATGGCCAATAGGAGAGCTTCCCTTCCAACTCTTCCTTGCTCCTTGTTTTGTACAAAAGAGCCTCTTGGCTCCCTATTCAATTCAATCTTTTCTCTTCCAAGCTAGTTCCTTCACTCATGGCTCTCGCCTCCATGCCTGCTTGCTAGTGCAACATCCAGGTACTACTCTTCTTCCTTTCTCTCACACACTGTACCCTCCCCCCGCTCCCCCGCTCGCATTCTCCCTATCAGGTGCTTGGCAGCGAGAGGAGAGCTCTGTCGTGTTTCTCCACGACCTCCTCCCTGCCGCACACGGGCTTTGCCTTCTGTGAGGTCGTCCAGGCCACCCTCCCCTTGCTCAATCCCTCCCCTCTCTCTCCTACCCTCTACAGGTACTAGGGTCAAAACGCAAGACCCTGTCGGTTTTCTCCACCGCCTCCTCCCTCCCCCACACCTTCATCCTCTTCTTCTGCGAGGTCGTCCAGGCCACCCCCCCTTGGTTGACTGCTTGCTCTCTTGCTCTCTTGCTCTCTTGCTCTCTCCTTCCCCTACAACCCTGCAGGTCTTGGGAAGCAAGCGCAAGACGCTATCCGGCTTTTCCACCGCTTCCTCCCTCCCCCACACTGGCTTCCTCTTCTTCTGCGAGGTCGTCCAGGCCACCCCCCCGCCCCTGCGCATGCGAGCCACGCGCCTCGTGGCGGGTAAATGCGCCCTGGCTGCCCGAGTGGACGCCATACACGGGGACCTGGCCGGGGGTGCGGGGAGGAAGCTGAGGGGCGAGATCGAGAGGAAGATTGAGAAGTGGCAGGAGCCGCCCCCGGCGAAGCAGCCCAAGCCGCTGCCGGTGCCTGATGCTGAGCCAAAGAAGAAGAGAGGGGGGAGAAGGTTGAGGAAGATGAAGGAACGGTGAGTGAAGGGGTGTGTGTGTGTGTATGGGCGTTAACATTTGATAATGGCGTTGGGTGTGGTCGTTATGTAGAGGAACTTGCCAGCCTCATGCAGTTTGGCAGTCAACGCTGGGTGGGTAGATGGGGCCATTGTTCCCCCTTCCCTCCTCCACAACCCATACCATATACCCAAAACACATGCGGGATTATGGGCATTCGTAAACTCGCCAACCGCATGCAGTTTGGAGTGGAGGAGCAGTCGACGCTGGGCGACGGGTTGTGGGAGGGCAATGGCATGCCCTCGCGCGGGTTGCTTGCAGTGGGTGAAGAGGGTACTTGCGTGGGTGTTGTTTCAGCTGCAAGCAACTTTTGAGGCACCTCAAAAGTCGCGGGTTGCTTGCAGTGGGTGAAGTGAGTACTTGCGTGGGTTTTGTTTCAGCTGCAAGCAAGTACCCACTTCTCCCCCGCTCCCTCCCTCCCCCTCCCTCCCTCCCCTTCCCCCCGGAAACAGTTATGGCATCACTGATCTGCGGAATCTCGCCAACCGCATGCAGTTTGGAGTGGAGGAGCAATCAACGCTGGGGGATGGGTTGGGCGAGGGCTATGGTATGCTGGGGCGTTGGCTCACCTGCCAGTGCCATCTCCTCCCTCGCTCCCTCTCCCGCCCCCTCCGGCTCCCTGCTCCCCTTTCCCCCGGAAACAGATATGGCATCACGGACATGCGGAAACTCGCCAATCGCATGCAATTTGGAGTGGAGGAACAGTCGACGCTGGGGGACGGGTTGGGCGAGGGCTATGGCATGCTGGGACAGGCGGGTTCGGGGCGACTGAGAGTGGCGGCTGCTGCCAGCAACCTCAAGACCAAGGTGGCCAAGAAGTGAGTGCGGGCTGTTCTGTGAGGGCTGATTTTTGCGGGCTGTTCTGTGCGGGCTATTCTGTGCGGGCAGTCTGCATCATGTAACTGAGAGTGGCGGCGGCTGCCAGCATCCTCAAGACCAAGGTGGCCAAGAAGTGAGTGCAGGTTGATGGGCTAAGTGTGATTTATGGTGTAAGTTACAGGCAGCACACTCGGTTGTCGTGGCTGCTGCTGCTACCAGCAACCTCAAATCCACAGCCCTGGGGTTCATGTTTTGGGGGATCCATGTGCATGTGCATGTGCACTCATATTTTTGGGCACCTCAGATTTTAGCACACTTCTGGTTTCGACTCAACCACAGTACCTCTCTTCCCATTTTTCTTCCCATCTAAACTGTTCTCAGGTTCAAAGAGCGCAGCTATGGCAGCAGTGGCAACACGTCGGGCTTGTCTTCGAGTCTTGCATTCACACCTATCCAGGTTTGGTGCTTCGACTCTTGAGGTGCCCATAACTAGTCTGGCTTTTACACTGTTCCAGGTATGGTGAAGCGTTCTGTGTTGTAGACGATTCTTTCTGTGCTGGGGATGCACCAGCCTCTGATGGTGCTCTTAGGAAGCTTGAAATATTACTGCATGCTGCTGTTGATAGACGTTAATATTTGTCGCACTAAATATCGCACCAGATGCCGCACTAATGCCGCACTGATGCCGCGCTAATGTCGCACTAGTGTCGCTCTAAATGTCGCATTAGCATTTGTTGACAGCAGGCCAGCAATGTTGCGCATGCAACACAACCCCCCTACCTACCACCACTCTTGTGCCCCTCGTGCCTCTGGAACATGTAACAAATTCTCTCCACCCCATCCCCCTTATTGTCATCCCCTCTACAGGGCATAGAGCTGTTCAACCCTCAGGCAGAGCAAATGCAGATTGCTTCGTTAGCATATTCCCCCATTCTATCCCCCTTATTGTGGTCTCCCCTACAGGGCATAGAGCTGACCAACCCACAGGCAGCGCAGATGTCTCGCATGGGCAGCGACACACAGAGCAAGCTTTCACTGTAGAATATCTTGTTTCCATTCCCCTCTCCTTTATTTTATCCCTTCTCTCCACATGGCATAGAGCTGACCAACCCACAGGCAGCACAGATGTCTCACATGGGCAGCGGCACACAGAGCACCGCTTCTGCTGACTTCTGGTACATTACATTGGCTCCACTCCACTCCATCCCCCTTATTATGGTCCCCTCTACAGGGCATAGAGCTGACCAACCCGCAGGCAGCGCAGATGTCCCACTTGGGCAGCGGCACACAGAGCACGTATTTCTCAGAAACAGGCACCTTTTCCAAAATCAAGAAGCCGTGAGGGGAAGGGGGAAAGAGGACAACTTGCATACAAAGTCGAGTTGCATGTACTTGATACTACTGTAAACACCCGGATGAGGCTTGTGTCTCGTATTTCTGGGGACCCGCATTACGGTTGGTTTGTGCCCACGAAATGTTGAGGGCGTGGATGGTGGGGGTTGTGTTCTCAAAGTTTCGCAATCAGTTGCAATTCCAGGGTTGGATTTTGGGGCGAAATTTTTGTCCCGTGAGACATTTTCGGGTCCTGATCAGGGCTGACGTTTCAAAAAAAGGCACTCTGATTTTACCCCCCAATTTTTTTTCGAAGTATGATGGGTCATTTTTCGAATTTTGCCTACTCTGAAATCTCTGTGTCCAAAAGTTGTCTAGGCTGAAATACTCAGGGTTCAGAATGTAGAATCAGAGTCCACGGGCAGGGCCTAACTGTTAAATGATATATTTGATACATATATAATGGTAGGCTTGGTAGGTGCTATTGGATTCTACTATAGAAGGTATAACCACCCTTCTTGTATCCCTCTCTCTTCTATTCCAAGTCCCTTCTCTCTCTATATTTTTCCTAGCCTAAAACCTCACGCCATTCCATGGCTTCCTCTTCCTGGCTACCTCTTCCATGGTTTCAGAGCAGGTTGCTCTTCCTGGGCCAGCTTATCACGCTTCCGCCGTGCACTCCTCCTTTCTCTCTCGCGCTGCCATAGCGGCCGCGTCGTGCTGCCGCGGCCGTCTCGACGCGCTGCTGTGGCATCGACGTCAAGTCGTGGCGGCGTCGTCGATGTCGACCGGTGGCGGCATGACAGCGCCGTCGTGCTGCCAGTGTGCGTACGGCACGGTTAGCAGCGGCCATCGCCCCGTCTTAGCGCTGGCCAGCACACCCGCATGCAGCCAGCGTGCCACACGGGGCGGCACGCTCCCGGGCTCCGCTGCTGAAGCCCCGCCTGTTAGAATACTAGAATGATTAGAAAGAAGAGAGAACAAGGGAGATATAGGGTTTGGGTTGTACTCTCTAAGAACACAGACCTATTCTAGGCTATAACTTCGACATGAAAATGTATGTATAAGACCAGGTTGTCCACGTAAACAAGGATGTAGAACGGAGTCTGGCCAGCACGAACGAAGAGCGAGGGGTCTGCAGAGGACGGAAAGAACTGCAGGTCAGCTAGCGTAGCATGCAGCGTGTCGTGCCACTCACGGGGCGCCTGTCGCAGACCGTAGACCGGGCACCGGAGGAGCCACTAGGTCCTAGGAGGGAAGGTACCGGTGAAGCCCTGCGGTCAGCGTAGGTAGACTTGCTCATGTAGAATGCCCTGGAGAAACGCTATGGAGAAGTCAAGGGAGTGTAACTCGTATCCACGCTGTGCTGCTATGTGTAGCAGCGCCCGAAGAGTAGTCATCTTAGGGGTCGGGGCGAAGGTCTGAAAGAGGTCCACCCCCTCGCGCTGACTGAAGCCTCTAGCCACGTAGTGCGCCTTGAACACAGGCGGCTCTCTAGGGGGGCACTTCACCTTGAAGAGCCACCAGCCCTCGACAACGTTCACCCAAGGTGGGGGAAATGCGTCGAAGTAGGTGCCGGTGGATCTCCAAGACGCCATCTCCTGCTCCATGGCAGCTATCCACTGAGAGGCCCAGGGTCCCGAGGTCGCCTCAGCGTAGGTGCGAGGGGTCGGGATGTCAAAGGCGTCTGGGTCACCCTCAGTGACTAACAGCATGGAACAGAGATGGGAAGCAACCTTAGACAAGAAAGCAAGCTCGTACTTTCTTTCCTCTAGGACGTCACTGCCAAGGGCAGGCGCACCCCCGATGGATGGAGGAGAGACAGGGTCAGAGACCATAGCGGTGGCGTAGTCAAGGCGGCGGGTAGAGGTGAAGTGAGCGACGGCAGTGACAAGAGTGTCAAGACTCGAGACAGGGACAAACGAGTCGGTAACGAGGGAGGCAAGGATTCGAGGAATAAGAGGACGAGTCAATGGGGAAACCGAGGAAGACACAGAGGACAGTGCGGGCAGTGAGCTTGTCCGTGCCAGAGGCCCGAACGTGAGCAAGGCAGCCCCAGACTTGGAACGCGAACGCGTCACTAGGGAACGTGGTCCAAAGAAGGGTCGGCGAAACCTGCGGCCGTTGAGAGCGTGGCCACAGGTTAAGCTGGTGAGCGGCGTTGCAAACGGCGAATGGCCGCAGAAAATGGGGTGCACCTGCATGAATCATGGATGTACGAGCCACCTCCATGACCAAACCGATGCATCGCTCAGCGACCCCATTCTGCTGCGGGGAGTCCGGTAGAGTGTACGACTGGGTGATGCCCTCCGCACGACAGAACTGACCAAGCCGACCAGAGGCGAACTCGCCGCCACGGTTGGAGTAGAGCCACAGCACATGGAGACCGCGGTGGTGGCGCGCAGCTACAACCCACGGGATAAGAACGCCAGGCACATCGGCCTTCCGCTCCGGGGGAAACACCGTGTTGTAGTGCGTGTAGTCGACAATGTGCACGAGAAAGTAGCGCTTGCTATGCGGTCCAGGGACGGGGGCTGGGCCCCAGACGTCCAGGTGCAGGGTCTGGAGGGGTGCAATGGCAGGGCGAAGCCAGGAGGAGTGAGGAGCACGGCACAGCCGACCCTCGACGCAGGGCGTGCACGGCGGCGCAGGCGAGGGAGGGAGGGCAGGAAGCGACGCAGGGAGACCTAGGACAAGACCGTGCTGAGACATGTAACGCAGATGCGGGAGTGCGGGGTGACCTAGGCGGTGGTGCCACAGAAGCGACGGGTGAGTGAGCGACCGACACGAGCAGGCCGCAGCGACCTGGGTAGACGCGGGACCCGGGGAGGACGCGCCCATCGGGGGGGGGAGTAGTGTCCAGCGTAAAGAGGCTAGACACTGGGTCCTGGGGGAACGTCGCAAGGGGGGCACCTGAGGTAGGAGGGGAGTCTGTACTAACTAAGTTCTTGGAGAACGAGGGGATGTGCAGGCATGTAAGGGAATCCGAGGGGGCCGCTCGACAGGGAAGGGTAGTGGAGCTGCGAGCAACGACAGGACCAAAAGTGGGGTCAGCAAGGGCAACAGAGGCAGGGGCAGTGAGCGGCGTCAGAGTGGCGTGGTCGCGGAAGAAGCAGGCAGACGCACCAGAGTCGAGCGTGAAGGACAGCGAAGCAGTAGTCGCAGACGAAGGAGGAGGAAGGGTAGAGCCTTGGCGAGACAAAGCAAATGGTCCTGCGCCAGACATAGGAGGGGAGTCTGTACTACATACAGGGGCTACGCCTAAGCTAGAGAACACAGGGTAATAAGATCCGGACACACTAGAAGCGCCAGCATATAGAGAATGCAGGGCAAAATTGATCTGATCCATGTCTAAGTCAAACACCGGCACACCGTGTCGGAGCAGACTGGGCCAGTCAGGGAGGTCTAGGGCTGGGCCGAAGCGGCGACGGAAGAGGTCCTCGAGGCGGCGGAAGCAGCGGGCGGTCGGGTGTGGGCGGCGGCACACAGTGCCACGAAGGGGCCCGGTCTGGAGCTGGTACTGGCAGCTCACAGCACCAACGCCACCGGTAGACGCCGAGCTGCGGGGGCCGCCACCGCGGCCACCACCTCCTGGGGCTCCTGGCCACCCCGGCGGGAGGCGGGCCCATGACTGCTGCTGCTATGGCAAATTCTGCTGCTGCTCCTGGACACCAGCCCCAACCCCCTCGTCTAAACCACTGTCCCCGCCACCACCACTACCACCACCAGCGCCACCACCACGCCCTCCTTTGGGGTCGCGGTGACCCCTACGCTCTCGCTACTGCGGGAAGGCCGCAGCAGCGGTCTCAGTGGCTGGGGCAGCCGTTTCAGCCGAAACGTCAGCGTACATGCTTTGAGAGGGAGCACAGCCCTGAAAGATAGGGACTGCCACAACACCGCTCGAGTGAGCAATAGTGCGCTGGCGAGTCTCTATCTTAGATAGGGCAGTGACAAAGGCAGTCAGGGTGAGGTCGCCTGGGTGCTGGCTAAGGAAGTGGTCTCGGGAAGTGGCTAAGCGGCCAGGTAGGCGCATGGCAATAAAGTACAGGGCAGCAAAGAACGGTGGGGGGAAAGCAGTGAGCTGGGCGGCAGAGCTAGCAGCGCGGTAGCTAGTCTCTAGTGCACATAGGTGAGTGGCAAGATCGGCGACAATGGGGAAAGCAGAGAGATCGAGGAAGAGCATGGGGGGGATCAAGCGTCCAGGTGAGGCGGAGGCAGGGGTGGAGTAGCGTGCAACAACTGAATCTAGGAAGTCTTTGGCGTTTGCAACAGTAGTGAAGCGGGGACGCTGAGATAGGGGAAGCGCATTACTAATGGCAAGCTGTGCTACAGCATCGTGAGAATCCCAGACAGCGCGAGCGAGCGCAATAGCAGCAAAGGCCTTACTCTCAGCAGTGGTGGGGTCAGCAGGGAGGGGATCATGCGCGGGGATGTGGGTGAGCAAGCCATCAACATGCATAGCTAAGGAGTGCCCATCCTGGCGCTGATCTGTCAGGTGCTAGCGAAGATCAACAATCCAGGCGGCGAAGTCAATCGCGTGCCCCTCCGCGTCTAGACATAGCATGGTGTTCGCCATCGCGCAACCTCAGCGCCACCGGGATACAGCGGCACAGGGACATAGCAGCACGGAGACACGGGTACTCAGCTGCACGGCAGTGCAGCGGCGTGGCGGCAGGACTCTCCGGAACGGAGACCGGACGGAAGGTCGAGGAGGGCGCAAGAGGGCCAGTGGGCGCGTGAGGAGCCAGCGGACGCGCAAGGGGCCGAGGCGCACGAGGGGCCGACGAGGCGCGCGAGAGGCCGGGCAGGTGCTGGAAGGGCCGGCACGTAGAGAGGAGCTGGCAAGGCGCGTGGGACCGGCGGTGCGCAAGTTGGGCTGGCTAGGCGGTAGGGGCTGGCTAGGCGCGAGGGGCCGGCTAGGCGCGAGGGGCCGGCTAGGCGAGGGGGGGCCTGTCACAGGATCGAATGTGTCAAGGAAAGATTGCACTATCGATCAGTACAAGGCGCTTTTATACTTCCAGAGTACATCAGGTAACCAGGTTTATCTTATCCTAGGGGAATAGACCCTTCTAGAAGATAGAATCACCTTGCGTATAGCCACGCGAGGCTATTGGCTTTAAGGGATTACAGCAGGATTACGCTATATAGAGCGCACCAGTACATCCCAAGCCTGGTCGGTGATATAACTATAATAGCAAGATAAACCAAAGGTTAATGGAAAAGGAAGAATAGGAAACCAAATGAGATGGAATAAAAGAGAAATGAAAAAGGAAGTAAATAAGAAAAGGCCAAGTGGTGTAACGGGGTCGTACTCTCACACTTCCCCCCCTCAAAGCTGGGTGGTAGAAGTAACACCCTGCTTGACAAGGTAGTCATGCAGAGGACGACGGGCGTTACCCATGTCGGACTCAGGTACCCAGCTGTCCTCAGAAGGATCATAACCGTTCCAA